ATCAGCTCAGAAAATATGTAAGGCTGCCGCTCTCTGCATGATGAAAAGCTCATGGCTCCTTCCCTCGTCCTCCTCTTCCTCGCCACATGGCGGGTCTGGTTCTGATGACGACACGGCCTGGGAACCGGCGGGGTGAGGTCATGCGGGGCTAAGCGCTGCTGGGTGTTTGTTGCGAGGACGTCATGCCAGATGTCTGTGTGGTAATGACAGGGCAGCGTGGCCCGAGTTGCTCGGATCCCTTGTGGCTCCTGGTTCTCATTTCTGCTGCGATTTGTTCATCATTAATCATCTGTATTTAAACTTTATGTTCTGTTTAAACCCATTTCCCTTCCTGCTTGCTGTTTTTTTTTTTGTTTCAGCTGCAGTAAATTCCAGGATGCCAGTTTCACTCGAGCGTCTTATTTAATGGTCAGCAGTGGTTAGTTTGAGCTCTGAAAGCGAAAGGAGTTTGAGGTCCAGAATCTCGACTACCCGCCTCGGTCTCAACATTTAAATCCAGCTCTGCTAATGCGTTTCAACTTCTCTGTTCGTTCACTTCAAGCCTTTGTGGAGAGAAACTTTTTCTCCGGCTTTGATCTTCCTCAAACTTCATCCCTGCAAGCTGTTTGCATCCAACCACAGCCAGATTAGAGAGTCGGAGACAGAATGACACGGCCTCTGTTTCGTGCTCAACCCTCATTACTCAAATCAAAGACATTAAAGGCCTCATGGCTGCTTTTCCGTCTGTAATCTGGAGATTTTATGGCGCGATCGGCCCCCTCTGTGCTGCTGCTGCTGCTGCCGTGTGACTGCATGATGACTGACTCCGGTGTGTTATTATTTCACACCCCTGACTGCATGGGGACCTCGTGCACTAAGGTCCCCAGCGGCTCCTGCTGTTTGGGAGTGCCGTCATGCTGTTGGGAAGTTTGGTAATTACACCCCGAGTTTGTTAGTCATTGTAAATGAGCTTAAACGACACAAGAAGCTTGAATAGAGGGATCAGGCTGGATAAATTATGGGGTTGTTTAGGAACTGACAGATGTGTTCAAGCGTCACTGTTTGACAAGTCTTTACATTACTGAATTTCACTCATTATGAAAAGATTACTCGGGTCTCAAAGTCTCTTAATAATAGTGATCACGTTGGTTTTCTTTAGCAATGCCTAAAGGAGAGTTTAGAGAAACACAAACTGAGTTTGAAGCTGGGTAACATTTTAACGTCATCTCATGAGGTTGAGCTCTGATTTATACACCAAGTTTTATACTAATTAATAATTTGATTTTTGATGTTTTTTGAGCCTCCGTATTTTGATGCTTCTGTTGCACTTGAATTTTCCCTCTGTGGGAAAATAAAGAATATTCTTATTTAACTGGCGTCTCATAAAATGGTCTTTAAACTGGAGACACGGTACGACGGGAAGTTTCTGCACCTTTAAAAACTTAATGAGGATCAGCTGTGCAAACAAAATTAGGCTGCAGGTCTGGCTTTGTTTACAAAATCTAACTTTCCTTTGACTCTGATTTTAAAAAATCTGTTTTATATTTCATCAAGCATTCATTACTGTGAATCTGATCAAAACCACCACTGTTGATAAACATCCAGTTTATCAATAGCGATTGAAAAAGCTGGTTACGGTTGAACGTGCAGCTTTTTCAGGACTTTATCGTAATAAATACTGTGGATGAGTTTTTACAGGATCTGATTTACCTGCAGGCCGACTGAAGGACGTTCGGCCTTTGTTCTTCTGTCACCAGCCGTCTGTTTAGTGGAGCTGGGGGGTGCGAGTGGGTGGGACGTTATGATCTCACCCCACAGGAATCTGTGTGTTCAGTGGGTCGACCCACAGAGGAGCTCTGCATCCTGTTTACGGCGCAGGTACCCCCTCTTTTTAACAAATCTCCACCTGAGATCACCACTCAGGTTCCTTTTTCCCTTCATTTATTCTATAGAAACTAAATCTTTGGCTGTTTTCAACTAAAGGCCTTTTTGGGCACAACAGACAGATTTGGGCCAAACGCAGAGACTGTTTTGGCCGTTCCTGTTTTTAGCCTGTCGGTCTCAATCAGTAAAGTCTGGAAAAACCCACAAGTCATTTTGGTCCAGTTTCTACTGGAAACATCTTTGTCACTTAAGATGAAAGTAAATAAGATATAGTAAATTAAATAAGGATATAGTAAATTCTTTACTATAATTTAAGTAAATATTTTCACTTGATACAAGTGAAATAAAATAAATCACGTCTTCAATATGAAGAGACATTATTTGTCTTCAAGTGTAAAAACTAGAAACTGGTCAAAATCACTTGGTAGGATTTTGTGTTTTGCAGTGCATGTCTCATAAACTAGTCATCCTCCGCCCCGTTTGGGTTCGGGTCAGAGCAGGTATGCTTGGGCGTCGCTCTGGCTGCCGATGACGTCACTTCCTGTGCGGGTCGGGGTGTGGCGTGCTGATAAGAGCCGTTCGGCTCCAGCCCGCCTCACCTTTGCCCACACAAGCTCTCGGCTTTATCTCGCTTTCCTTTTCAGCCTTTATTTGCCGGTCCCTCCTAGCAGCAACCCTCCCGGCTCCCCGCCGCTCTTCCTGGGTGTTACTGCGTCTCCATAGACACGCAGCAACAAATCGGCAGGAAGCTCTAAAACTTCCCCTGAAGCAGAACGACGTGGGGAAACTGTTTGTTCCAGTGGAAAGGTGGATGTGACGCCTCCTCCCTGAACAGAACCGGGTTCGGGTCGCTGCGGCCGGAGAGGCTCATTAGCGGCGTAAACGCAGCTGATTGAACTCCTGACCTCTTTGTGAACAATGGGTCACCATGGCAACAACCATGGTTGCCCTGAAAACTGTTGACAAAGACGCAAACGGCTCCATCAGCTCTGCGCCCGTTTTAAATCTGGGAGAACGAAAGCTGAAACGCTGCAGTTATTCTCCGTTTGCAGCAAAGATCGTCTAACAGAAACACGGATTCAGTTGATGGTTTTACTTCAAACAAACAAAGAGGAACTTTAACACAATGGCAAATATCACAATACTATAAAATAAAACCACAAAGTTAGAATAAAGTAAAAAACAAAGTTGAATAAAAAAAAAAAGAGCTTTTACTCTACAAATACCATCTGCTTAGTGTTTTATTAAAATCTGAGTTAATTGGCAATGAGTCTCCCTGGGGTCAGAGGTCATGATGCTGCAGCCAGGCAGCAAACAAACAAAAGAACCCTGTTTGTTTTTCTTGGTAGAGAAACTTATTCTGTCCCACAGCATCACAGAAACCCCACCGTACTGAACAGTGAACAAGTTTCCATGTATTTTCTGTTTTAGCGACACTTTATGTTGAAGTTTTGCACCTCAACCAACCTTGTTCTAAAACAAATTTTAAAAAAACAGCCTTTTTAATAAAATTTCTATCAAATGGCAACGTTTAAGTTCCAGTAAGTCTTTGTTAGTGACTCAATAGACAGATTTATAATTGTTCTTTCTTAACGCGTTAAGAAAATATTTTTCAAACAGGAAAACAAAGCAAGTTGTCATTTGATGGTGAATCAATCAGAATATGTCAGAATGAAGCCAGACGTTTCACAATGTCAGTAATTGCGTTAAATAAACTGTTTATATAAATATCGTCTCCCAGTGAAAACAAAGATGATTCTTAAAAACATGATTCATGATCCGGCCTGCTGCGGCTCTTCCTGGATTCAGGCTACAAAATGTGAACTTGCAGAGTGATTAATCAGAGCGCTGAGTTCATCGGTGGGTGGGTGTGGGGTTAAAGGTCAATGGTGAGTGCTGCTCACTAGCAGGATGTTTGCTCCCAGCGACACGTAGCCTGTTGCACAAGTTTATTGCTGCGACCTCAGGGAGAAAAGGAAAGTTAGTGAATCCAGATTAATTGGAAACGAGGCGTAAACGAAACACACAGCTGGAATCTGAATTAAACCAACGGTGAGATAATGGGGAAGATTAGAAACGCAGGAATCCTGATGTCGTAACTTCTCCTCCGAGGCGCTCGGTCATCATTGTGTCACCAGGGGCGCGGCGCCTCCACCTCAACCTGAGCTGATGAGACATGTTTGGATCGCAGCTGTGGAGCAGAACCGGAGCTTCTGCCGTTTTGACCAGAAGGTTCTTCCAAACGCTGGGGATCCGACCTGTTTCTGTTGCACAAGCCTGCAGAGACAAACGCGTCCAGCAGCTCTCGGTGTGTGCTGGCTCCTCTGCTGCTGGGAAGTGTTTACAGCTCTGAGTTTCCACCCAGAAAACCAGCTGAACCCGCTGCAGGCGCTCCGGGGCGACCCACTGGGCTTTCCTCAGTGAAAATGTTACAAATATCCTCAGTTGCACAATCAGGATCATAATTTAGAAATGACAGCGTGTCAGGCTAACGGGGAGCAGGAGGCGATGGTTAGCATCCCCTCACTCCCAGTTAGTCAGTTTTAAGATTAGTTTTATCCAGCGGGTCCAAATATTTCAAGTTGAAAAAAACATAACAAAAACTACTCTTTTTTTTTTTTTTATGTCCTTTTACTAATAAAAAAAATTCAAAGCAGAAACCAGATGAATAGTTTGTGTTGCCTGTTATCAGTGAAAACTTCACATTATGTTTAAATCTGAACTGTGATCAAGGGCCGCACAAAAATGACATGAGGGCTGCAAATGGCCCCCGGGCCTCATTTTGGGCACCCCTGGCTTAATCTGTCTCTCCTGTTCGTGGTGTATAAAAACCCAATTTAAATAAACAAATGGGTAAGCCTGGTGGGGAAGTAAAACCTGGAGGCCCGCCAGGCTTATAATGCTCAAATATTCATCTACTGGATTCTGTTGCTGTTTTTATCACAAATGGAAAACAGTTTTTTATGTCGTTTATTCTGTACAGCTGGAGATCAAAGTTTCAGGTCATTAATTAATGAAATATGGAGAGACGACAATCTGAAGCTTTTTTTCAGCTCATTTATAGAACCAATAAAATATCCAGTCTGGATCAGAAAGACGTTGATGTAAAATCTGAAGTTTATTCTTGTTTGTTTCAGACTCTAAAGCGATCGTAGACGGGAACCTGAAGCTGATCCTGGGTTTGATCTGGACCCTCATCCTGCACTACTCCATCTCCATGCCAGCCTGGGAGGGCGAGGACGAAGAGGTGAACAGATTCCCGTCAATCTGGAACAATTATTCATTTAAAAACTTCTGAAAAAACATTTAGAGGGAGAGCAGATCTCATAGTTTTGTTTTCTGTTCAGGCAGAGACAAAGACGCCTAAGCAGCGTCTGCTGGGCTGGATTCAACACAAAGTCCCTGATCTACCGATCACCAACTTCAGCCAGGACTGGAGGAACGGGAGGGCACTGGGAGCACTGGTGGACAGCTGTGCACCAGGTAAACCAGGCAGATTTATTTTGAGCTCATCCAGCAGATTTCAGCCGGCACCAATGTTGCTTTACTGGTGTAAATCTCTGGTTTCTGCTGGGATCGGTTTGGTTTTGTCTGGCTGCTCATTAGAGCAGAGCTCGCAACGTTCAGCCAGAGTTTAATGCCTGAACGGTTAATTATGTTTTATAAGGATATTTTTGTCCTGTGTTTAACGGTAGAGTTGTTGCTGCTGATTCTTTTAACGAATGCCGTCTCTCTTCCAGGCCTGTGTCCAGACTGGGAGACCTGGGATCCAGTGAAACCAGTGGAAAACGCTACTGAAGCCATGCAGCTGGCTGACGACTGGCTGGGCATCCCACAGGTGGGTTTTCACCTGCGTTTGTTTGTACTTTACTGACGGTCGGTGCTCTTGTTGCATCAGTGGCTCATTTAATCATTTTATACGTTTTATGGAATAATTATCGTTTATTTTCTGGTAAATCTGCTCAGATTAACTCCAGGCTTTGAACCATTCAGCTGCCGTTTTAATTTTCACACCTACAAGCTCAGTTTTATTTGGTTACTTTTTTTGGCATGAGAAATAAAAAGCATCTCTGCCGACCCAAGGTTCAGGTCAGAGGTCATCGCCACGCCCAGATTTCAGGCCTGTTTCCAGCTGTAATAAATTAATCTGTGGGTTGAATCTAATAAATCAATCGCATAAATTAAAACAAAAATAAATGTTTTCCATTTTAATAATTTTTGTTTTTCTCTCTTTCTGCCAAAAACTGGATGACAGAAATCTCCAGTCTGGTTCTTTGGACTCATTTGGACCATTTTTAGAGACTTGATAATTATTGTTTATTTAATATGGATATTTAAAATGTCTTGCAGTTCCTGTGTCAAATATCTATTAGAATTTACACTTTAATGCTCTAGGAATGTTTTTATATTTGAAAATGGTCTGAAAGCAACAATATTATTATTATAATAACCTCTGGAACAATTTATTGCTTCAGGGCTGATTAAAAACTTCAGTTTTGCTTCTGTTTGTGTGGAGAAGGTTCTGGCTCCTGAGCGCTTCGTGCTCAGTGCGTGGCTGGGTTCAGAAGCAGGCGGGTTCTGCTGGACGGTTCAGTTGCTCGTCCTGATTCTCGTTGCCTGATGTCTGCAGGTCATCGCTCCAGAGGAGATCATCGACCCCAGCGTGGACGAGCAGTCCGTCATGACCTACCTGTCTCAGTTCCCCAAAGCCAAGCTAAAGCCCGGCGCGCCGCTCAAACCCAAACTCAACCCCAAGAAGGCCCGCGCATACGGACCCGGTAAACCCACACACACGCAGCGCTACGAAACCAAATTAACACGCCACACCCTGACCTCTGACCCTGCAAACCAAACCATCAGTCACAATTGTTTGGGATGCAGAAGGTCATGTTTTTTTCATTTGATGCTTAACTAAGTTTTGTTGCAAGAATTGTGAAAAACATTTTAGTTTTTTGTCCTCCCTCCTGTAGGAGGCAGTATTTCTGTCTCTTACGACTCTACTGCCTGTTATTTGGTGACAAAGTGATCAATATGACGAATAACAAAGTCACATGAAACATCATACCTTAGCGCAAATATTTCTAAATTCACACCACAAAATCTGTGATTTTAATTGCAAAAAAAGTTATGAAAACAATTAGAAACTAAAATGATATTTCATTTTAAGAACTATTTATAAAATGCAGAGACGGCTGTTAATATTTTAAATTTAATAATCAGTTTTATCAATACATCCAGGCACAAATGGCTCTTTAAGAATATTTATTGTCTTATTTTGGCCCAAGACGAAAATGAGTTTGACACCTTGGCAGAATTTTAAATGTTTCCACCGAAACACAAAATGTAAAGGTGAAACCAGACGCAGCGGATAGTGGGAGCAATGGGAATGTTGGTCTGACAATGAAGGGAAGCGACTTCCTGCTTAGGTGAACAATGGCACACACACACACACACACACACACACACACACACACACACACACACACACACACACACACACACACACACACACACACACACACACACACACACACACACACACACACACACAGGATTACAAAGTTTCCAAACTTTGTAATCCAGAAGAGGAAATACTCTGAATAGCTGCAGACATAACACACTAAAGCCTCTCAGTCCCTGTAAAATCATCCATGTTTTTCTGTTTTTCTGCCGTTTTCAGTTTTAAAGCCCAAACCACTGATTAACTGTCTGGTAGCCTGAGAACAGTCTGTTGAAAATTCAATTAACTTCCCCCTCAGTCACACATTTTCCATCAGGAGGATGCGTGACTGAGGGGGAAGTCATGAATTATAAAACGGTAAAAATAGCTAATTTAGTTAACTCATCAAATTCCCTTTTACTGTTAAAAGTCTGAACAGAAATTACTCCAGAAACTAAAATCCTGCCTCCGGTTCTAGGGTTGTAACGTTTCCAGAGGGGAAACGGTTCAGTCAGAGCCCAGTTTGGCCCAGTTTGGCCCAGTTTGGCTGAATCATTTTCAGACTCGGTGTGTGGCGCAGCAGTCTGTATTTAGTCTGTTTGCTCAGACTTTTTTCCAACCTCTTTATTTATGTTTACACAATTCAAAACAGAACATTACCAGAAACAGGTGATTAAACAAAACAAACGTTTCCCGTTTGATGGAGCAGGTTCCCAAAACTTTCTATCACCTATACACTGTAAAAACAGAACAGTACTTTCAACATGTTGCATCTGTTGTTGAAAATATATAGTTTTTCCATAATATACACTTAAACAAAAAAACTGTTTCCAATTAGCAGTTACCATTTTCTTGACAATCATCAATAAAATGTCTCTGGTCGGCATTTAAAACGTCAGCTAGCTTAAGTTTATGAGCTGCTGTTTATGCTGTGCAGGAATCGAACCCACAGGGAACCGAGTGCTGCGTCCTGCTGTGTTCACTGTGGACACGTTCAGCGCGGGTCAGGGTCAGGTCATGGCCTACCTGGACCATCCAGACGGCACCCGGGAGGAGGTAACGCTCTCTTTGGCCATTCTGGGCTCCGGTCAAAGGTCAAAGGCTCACTCTCAAATGTCCCTGTGTTTGTTTTAGCTGAAGGTGGAGCCCAACGAGGGCAAGAAGACGTACAGCGTCACCTACGTTCCTCAAGTCATGGGGCCTCATAAGGTGAGATTTATGGTGACAATAATAGTAGCGTCGTAAACGTTTGCTTCGCTTAAAGTCGGACTGAATACAAAATTCACATTTTGTGTTTTTTATATTTTTCTTTGGGTCTAAAGCAGCTCAAGCACTTAAAAAAAACACTTAGCCATTTTTTGGCATTAAGTTGATGTATTTTTAAGCCGTTTCAATAACCTCCTGATTAAGTTGCGTTCCAAGGACACTGCATCGTTTCCTAGAAACCCCAGTGAAACTTTGCCTGTTACCTAGCAACCCAAGCAGAGCTCCAGCACATTTGGTCAGCTGGTTTTACCGCTGCATGCACTATACAGTGGCTGCTGGAAAATACAAGTGTTTTGATGTTGACTTGACATACAGAAACAACTTCCTGTATTCTTGTTAGTTGTGCAGGAGACTCTACTTCTGCTTTTCAAAGCTGTAAAGTTGTATAATTGTGCATTTATTTGGAGCCATTTTCATGTGCGAGTGTAAAAGTTGAGTTTGGGGGGTGTGGCTATTAGTAGCTCTGCAGGTTTAATTTATTTTGGATGTATTAACATGTCTTCCAGTTCCAGTGTTAAATGTTTTAATTAATTTTCAGAGAGTGTACTTGCATGACTTTAACTTTGTATAACTTGGAATTATCTCAAAAGAATTTATCTAGCCAATTGGATCATAAGAGCTATGACCATGCTTTGGATTGAGCTACCCTCACCTGTTCTAGAAAGATCAAATGTCACCTTTAAAGTCTGGAGTTGATAACAAATAAATTTGTTTTCTAGGTGACAGTGTTGTTTGCAGGACAGCAGATTCCTAAAAGTCCGTTTGAGGTGAATGTGGACAAGGCGCTGGGAGATGCATCCAAAGTAACGGTGAAAGGCCCGGGAATCGAACCTGTGGGCAACATCGCCAACAAACCCACCTACTTTGACATCTACACAGCAGGTGAGCTGCACCGACCCGCCGCCGTCTCTTTAAGCTGGTTGACACTGAAGCTTTCTTTGTCTTTGTTTGCTCTGAGCAGGAGCTGGAACGGGAGATGTGACGGCCATGATCCGAGACCCACAGGGCCGCCAGAACAGCGTTGAGGTGATGATGGAGGATAAGGGTGACGGCATGTACCGCTGCACCTACCGCCCCACGCAGGCCGGACCGCACGCCATCACCATCACCTTCGGAGGAGTGGGAGTCCCCAAGAGCCCCTTCGCTGTGGACATCGGACCGGGTGAGACGTTTATCCTTCATCGTTTTCATTAGGCTGGACAATAAATCGATATGATTTACCACCGTTAGTCTAAGAAGGTTTCTTCTGGCATCAACCAGATTTATTCTGGTTGACCAGTAATTGTAAGCAAACAATTTGTTGTATTTAAATCTCACAAGTGTTTATTCAAAACATATTCTGTCAGTGGCATCAACAGACTCTCGCCCGGCCCGCGGCCGGCTAGCGACACTCGCCCGGCCCGCGGCCGGCTAGCGACACTCGCCCGGCCCGCGGCCGGCTAGCGACACTCGCCCGGCCCGCGGCCGGCTAGCAGTAACTTTGAGTAATTCATTAAAAACAATTGTGGATAAGAGGAAAGGTCACACTGCCAGTGTGGTAGTATTTCAGATATTTAAAACTAATCAGTAATTATCAACTGGCAGATATGTAATGCTTATATGATGTGTTTTTTCGGCCATGTTGTTCAGCACTACTTTTGATCAACACACTGCTGTCAGTTCAAGTTTCTGTCTGTCTGTCAGCCTGCATGCCAGGCGCCTGCAGGGCGACGGGTCGGGGTCTGCAGCCGGCCGGGATGCGGGTCAAGCAGGTTGGGGACTTCAAGGTGGACACCAGGAACGCTGGCAGTGGAGAGCTGAAGGTGCTCATCAAAGATCCCAGTAAGTGAAGTTTGTTCTTCCATCAAACTTTCAGAGAAACCTTAAAGTCCTTGAGTTTTAATAATATTTTTACTGCAGCTGCTCTGTTACTTTTTATTGTTTTGTACCAGGCAGACACTGTTATAAAGATAATATTGAAATAACAAATTTCTAGTTCTGAATGCTAAAAGCTATTAAACAGCTGTTGGATGTTAGCTTCCCTTCAAGGCTAACTGCACATGTAGCAACTTGCACAACCAGCAGTAATGAATAATCATTTAACTTCTTAATAAATCAGGTTTATAAAATATAATTCCAACCAGCTAGTTTTTTTAAATAATTGGTTTGGTTCTCGTGTCTCTGGGATTCCAATCATTTTTAGGATTTCTAAGCTCGTTGCATCAAAAGGGGAATTATCAAACTATGAGCTGCTGCTAGCATCTCTATCATGGTTGTTAGCGCTTTGTTTCTGTGAATAAAATATTTAATATTTAAATCTCACAAGTGTTCATTCAAAACATATTCTGTCAGTTTATTATGAAGTCTAGTAATGAATTACTTGAGGATAACAGTTTACTAGAGTTCGTAATGAACTGTTGGTCCATTTGCTCTGATTCTGCTGCTTATCATGTACGGAAACCAACAGGACCAAAATATGGCAACATGTCTCCTTCACATGCTGTTATCTTTTCTTGATATGCAAATTGTGTTCATAACTTAGTAAATCCCAGACAGATGGTTTACGTCTGGATAAATCGTTGGATGAAGAGCCAATCAGAATGCTGCCCCAAGTGGCAGAAACAGGAAAATAAACATTTAGCATGAATTTCATAGACTAAGAATGTGTAATGAAGCAGACGGATATTTATTGTTTGCCTTTCAGGGAGCATTTCAACTTTTGTTAAGCTACTATAGAAAATATTTAATACTTTTAGATCTTTAGCGATGGACCAGTCAAAGTATCTGCCACGCCTCTGAAGGCTTGTCATTCCACTGCTCCCATGTTTCTTTAAGAGTCTTCCCCTCTGCATTCAATCAACTTTTCCCAAGAATAAAAGGTCTTAAATAGAATTTGACATTATTTAATCAGTTTTTACTGTTTGTCCTTGCAGAAGGCAACGAGGAGCCGGTGAAGCTGGTTCTCAGTCAGGACGGTGTTTTCTGCTACGAGTATTACCCGAGAAGTCCTGGAAAATACACGGTGTCCATCACCTGGGGGGCTCAGCACATCCCCAAGAGGTGAGCAGCAAAACGAACCTTTGACTTCAGCTCTGCAGGATTACATCATCTGGTCTGACTGGAATGAAGTGCTTGTTGATGCATATTTTGATTTCTGTGCTCACAAAAGCGCCACAGTGTCTCTTGGAGACAAGCTGGAGGATTTGGTTAATCAGAACCGAATGTTTAACAGACCAGAAAGTTTGAGGTTCCTGATAGTTTCAACAGAGTGGTTTATCAAGCGCAATCACCTTAAAACAAAACTTTTCTTTTCTGCTGAGTGAAAGGAAAACCAAGCAGGTTATAAAAATCCACATTATGCAGGAGGAAGATGAACATTTGTTCTCCTGATTCAGACGGAAATTATAAATGTTTTTCTCAGTGATTTGAGATATTATGGAAAAGGAAAATCCCCCTAATATTCAACTTTTCTTTTCTCAAAATTTGGAGAAAACATTATTTGTTTGTGGCCCTAATCTTCTTCCGTATGATCTGGATAAGTCGCTGATTAATTGTGCTCAGAAGAGCAGAGCTGCAGATTTTCTTCTTTCATTCTGACTCGTCCTCTTCCTCCTTTATTTATTTATTCCCTCAACAGTCCGTTTGACGTGGTGATCAGTCCGGAGGCGGGGCCTCAGCAGATCAGGGCCTGGGGTCCTGGACTGAAGGGCGGCATTGTGGGTAAACCTGCAACCTTTGTGGTGGAGTCCATCGGCACCGACGTCGGAGTTCTTGGTAAGCCGGTTTGTCTCTTCTGAACTCATCCACTTAATCACAAGAGATTCTTTTTTTAATTTTTTCATCCTCTCTGCTCTGATTGGCTGTGTTTCAGGTTTCGCCATCGAGGGTCCGTCTCAGGCTAAAATCGAGTGCGAGGATAAAAACGACGGGTCGTGTGATGTTCGCTACTGGCCGACAGAAGCCGGGGAGTACGCCGTCCATGTGACCTGCGACGAAGAGGACATCGAGCTCAGCCCCTTCATGGCCCACATCGTACCCGACAACAACGCCAACCACCCGGAGAAGGTCAGAGAGGCAAAAACCAGCAAAATACACAGATTACTTTTCTCCATAGTTTGTAGCGTTAGTGTTGATCTGTTGATCTGTTTTCAGGTCCAGGCTTACGGGCCGGGCCTGGAACCGACCGGCTGCCAGGTGGACCAGCCGGCCGAGTTCACGGTGGAAGCAGAGGATGCTGGGAAAGGGCCTCTGAAGATCACCGCTCAGGTCGGCGCCCCGAAACGTTCAAACTCTGATTCTTCATGAAGCCGCATTAGTTCGAGTCTTAAATCTTCATTTACAAACGTTCAGTTTTAACTACGAGCCATCTGACCATCACACTGACCCAACATGTGTATTTAAAGTGACAGGACACCCTAAAACATCCCAATACTGGCAGAACTAAGCAGATTTCAATCTCATTATCGAATAATTATTTTGTGCAAAAAATGTAATGATCTATCTGGTCAAGAAAGTAAAATGAGTCGCCTATCAGAGTAGAACTGGAAGACATTTTAGAGATCCAAAAGCACCAAACAGAACCCTAAATGAAATGATCATTATAAGAGGAGGAAAGTGAAGCATTAACCTGCCCGTCTCGGTGCTGTTTGTGTGTTTCAGGATGCAGAGGGGCTTCCTGTGGAGGTGAAGGTGAGGAGCAAAGGGGAAGGCCTGTACCAGTGCTGCTACACGCCCGCCTCCTCTCTGAAGCACACCGTGTCCGTCAGCTGGGCCGGAGTCAGCGTCCCCAACAGCCCCTTCAGGGTAAGCAGCCAATCGCAGCCCCTCCTTCCCACAGGAAGTAGCGTAACGCTGCTCAAACGCAGCGAGCGGGTTGAGGTCGAGACGGTAAAAACGGTCGAGTCAGAGAAACGTTTGATCAAAAGTTCAACCAGGAAACCTCTGATCATCATCATCACTTACACTGAGCAGAGGTTCAAGTATTAGATGGTAGTTACTGAGCTGTGGCGACGTTTCTGCAAACACGTTTAATAAACGGATACATGCACCAGGTCCTCATGTTTACACTGTAAAAACACAAAACCTTCCTAAGCATTTCCGTCTAGTTTCCTCTGCAAATATCATGAAACGCTTGAAGTAAGATGGAACCTAACTAGCATGTAGCTGCTAAGCTAAATACAGGAGCTTGTTTTAAGGAGCAGTGTAAGCCTTATTTTGCCTGCCTTAATCTCCATGGCTACCATTCAGCTGTGCAAAATGCCTGGTTGGACTTAGCCCCGCCTTTAAGACTAAGCTCCTCCCTCTCAGCTCCTTCAGACTAGCCAGCAACAATCGGCAAACACCTGGTGGAACTACTGAGCTCTTTATAGGAGCTCCTTCTTAGACTAACGGTGGTAAAAACGTTGTTAAAGGGTTAATAGAGGAGCCATGTTTTGGAGAAGGTGGAGCTTCTTAAAGAGACAGGCCCAAATTCAGGAAGTTAAGTCGAGTAGTAAAGTTTCTTTTAAGGATTGTTTGAAATGCAGAGGATTTTTATGAGAAAGTTATCCTTGGTTACTTGATTACGTACCTGGAAAACATGTAATTCTGCCTCTTTAAATGAAGTATTAATTCCTATGGCAGGTTATTGACATTATTAAAAAGATACTTAAGTTAGGTTTGTCTTAATTCAATGAGGAATAAGATATTTGCACTAAATTAGACTAAAAATACTTTGTGTTTTTGCAGTGTATGGTCTTTGTACTCAGTTTGATCTCAAAGTCGCCTTCGAACAAAGCGAGACATAAAATGTCGTCTTTAAGTTTGAATTATTCAGTGAAATTCTTGAACCTCCATCTTTTTTTAATTACAGTCTAATTAATCCTGACAGTTTTGCAAAAACCAGATTAAATGCAGATGAGTCTGTTTCCGCTGGTTAAAGTGATTCGTTGCTTTGGCAGGTGTTTTATTTTAAAAGTATTTCCTGAAGTTACTGACTGAACTATTCAGCTAAAACAAGTTTCTGAATTAAACATCTTGATTTTTGTCCAGATGTAACAGCTGTCCTTTATGTTCAACTACTGATCAAAAAAATTACAAAAGCTTTTATTTTTATATGTTGTGAATTTGTTTTGTACTGTTTAACTGGGCTGTTCTGTCTCATTGTCTTGTTTGTTTCACTCTTCATGCACTGACCACCCATGTCTGCACTGTAATCCCTGTGAATGTAGTTTTATTGTTTTTAAGTGTAACTTTTTAAGTTTCACTCACCTGAACCTTTTGTGACTCAAACCTAATCACACAAACTATTTTATTTTCAACCTGTTATTCTTCACAAATCAATCACTGCAGTTTTTTTAAGTTTACATAAAATCAACAGATCCCTGCATTTTTTGCACTAAAGCAGTTATGAATTTAATGCAAATTCTCCTTGAGTTTACATGATGCTAACTCCCACCAATAGGTGGCAGTATCTCTTACTTCTACTACACTACTGCCTCACTTGATGTCCAGTTATAATCTGCAGTTAATGCAAAAAGTCACATTTACTCTGTTCTACCTGGAAGTGAGAAAAATATTTTTACACATTTTACATCTAGTTACTTTTTTAAGGGTTTAATGAGGAAAAAAAATTGTTACATTTCTTGCAAATATTTCTAAAGTATCACTGAAAAATAAAAGCCATGAAAACAAAGGATTGAATAATGTACTGAATGGACCAGTGAGAGTTTACATCTGGGAGCCTTAGCAGAGTGGAGGCTCTTCACACATAGAGGATCTTTGACTGTATTGTCAATATCGGAGTTTTAAAAGGATTTTATCACTAAACCCTGAGCTGCTTTTGTTCTCATGGAGTCAGAAAACATTTGAGGTGCAGCAGCTTGTCTGACGGGAGCGGTTTGAAGCACTCCTGAAATTTATGGTTTGGAAAAACAAAAAAATGTCAGAGGTTCAGATAAGTGGAGCTTTCACATCTTTTTCTTTTTTACTGTCAAATGAAAACCTTTTTCAATCTTAGATTGACAATAAATAGAAAATGAACATAGATTTTTCATGTGTATTCAAGGTGATCTGTGTCTGAGTGGAAAAGGTTTTCTTTGTGCAGTTAATGTTTACTAACCTCTGTGCACTAACATCACTGTCATCAGCTGTCCTCTCTCGCTCTTGGTTCTGGTTTCACCTGCAGCGTAATCTCATGAGAAACCGTGAATACGACGAATGTTTGCACGTTGTTCAGGAATTTCTGACGATGCCAGCAGAAACCAGAAGTTGGCAGAGACACTTAAATTCTCTAAATGAGGAGCAGGAGAAGAATCTGAGTATTTACAGATGTTTCTCTGTAATAAAAACCAACATTTGACTCGGAATTACTGATCCGAACAGCTCTGAGTTCATCAAGGTCCAAACATCATTTCAACAAGTCAAAGTTTAAAATCTGCTCCTTTTCTTTCCAACTGGTTTTAAAATTCAAACTGGTCTGAAGGACGGCTGGTAAACTGAAAGTTAATCTTCATCATAATAACTTAGAGATGCTGAATCATTTCAAATTTCAGTGGAAAGAATCAATTTATGTTTTTTTGTTCAGCTCTTATTTACTCTCTGTACTGAAATAATTTTACTTTAATCAGTAAATCAAATGAAAGTTAAATGGTTTAAAGAAATAAAGTTTAATTTAAATGTTTTATTGTCGTTTGGCTCTTTTGTTTTGGTTTTACCTGGTTATTATTCTCCATTAATGCTGATTTAAATCATAATTATGTCTGAACTCTGGTTGTTTCTGTGTGAAGAATACAAAGATGGAAAAATAAATAAAAAACTAAACACAAATTTGTTGGAAGAGTTTTGAGAAAATGTGAATAAATCCTGTCACCTGACAAAAAACAAGTTTTACTTTAAGGAACAAGAGTCTAATATATTTTGGCTTTTTAATATTTATTTGCAATACTAATGACTCATCATATTTTAATTCACCAGCATCAGTTTTTATTATATTGAGAATTAAAATACAAATTGTATCCTGAATATTTTAATGTTTTTAAGGATGTTTCAAAGAAATCATCAAATTAATGGAAATGAAGCAACAAAAAGCTCAAATAAATGAGCATTAAAATAAATTTAAACATAATTACTATTCATTTTCTTAATTGTAAGATTTAAAATGACAAACTGATGCATTTATTGTCTGGTCGTGGTTCTGGTTCTGTTTGGGTCACAAGCTTGAAGTTTAAATCTGCAGCTTTACTTGTTGGTTAAAACTTTTTAAACTGATAAAGAATTTAAATCCTGATTATTTTATTTCAGCATCGATTCCATCGGATGCACTTAAATGCTTTTATTGTGAAGGGACAAGTGTTTCTGCTGTTTTTTGCATTCTGAGAACGTTCCTCATGAATCCCTGTAAATGTTGCTTTAATTAAAGAGGTGTGTGTGCGTTTGCAGGTGAACGTGGGGAAAGGAAGTCACCCCAACAAGGTGAAGGTGTTCGGTCCCGGGGTGGAGCGCAGCGGGCTGAAGGCCAACGAGCCGACGCACTTCACCGTGGATTGTTCAGGAGCCGGAGACGGTACAACACACACACACACACACACACACACACACACACACACACACACACACACACACACACACACACACACACACACACACACACACACACTTGCATGACCCTGAAATATGCCTGCAGGAAGTTCATGCCCTGAGCAACACACGTCGTCCTTCATCGCCTGCTTTCACTCCCTCATGTTAATCATTAACAATCAGAAACGCCCTAAAATACTTTAAAAATGAGTTTTTGGGGAAATTAAAACTCTTTAGGATTTTGGGATTGCAAGAAGTGAAGCTGGTTTACAAATCTGCAGATATTTTGATTGCTTTTGTAGATTTTTTCTCAACCTTTCTCCATATTTTCTCTGAACCAAGAAAATGATTACAATGTGACTCAAAACAGGTCAAGAAACCCAGAAAAAATGTCTGATCTTTCATCAGCTGAACCGAGTTGGAGGCTGTTTTGGTTTTGGTCTCTGTTGAGATAAACATAAACTCACCTGGTGAAAGTGAAAATCTCCCAGCCGTTATCGGTTTCTCTCTCTGTGCTCAAGGTTTCGTCTGTCGGCTCTTCATTCTTTGAATTCCTCGCTCTGTTTGCATTTCTGGAAAACCTGCAGCATCTCGAGTATTTCAGGTGTTGGTGAAACGGGACGGCTCCCCCTACAGGCAGAAACTGTCTCTACACCCGCAGGGCCCTGCAGGTATCGGGTTATGCAGCTGGCTTGTTGTGTTTGTGTTCAGGGGACGTCAGCGTGGGCATCAAGTGGGACTCCAGCACAGACAGCGAGCAGGAGGCCGACGTGGACTTCGACATCATTCCCAACGCCAACGACACGTTCACCGTCAAATACGTCCCTCCTGCTGCGGGCAGGCTGACGGTGAAGGTCATGTTCACCGACCAGGTGCGAGGAAACCTCCGAGACGCCAAGCCGGGAGGTTCTTAGAGTTTGTGATGTAATTTATTTGTATTCGGGTGATTTCCAGGAAGTCCCTCTCAGTCCGTTCCTGGTGAAAGTGGAGCCGTCTCACGATGCTTCCAAGGTTAAAGCCAAAGGTCCGGGACTCGCGGCGACCGGTGAGGAACCTGGGCTTCAGCAATGCAGCAATCAATTTATTCTGATCATTAATCCATTATTCTGACCTGCAAGCAGATAAAGAAGTTGGGACATTTTTTAACCTGATTTCTTATATTTTTTATGATAAATGCATTAAAATGCAAATAACAAATGATTCACATCCTTTTCTAAATAAGAAAATCTTTTATTGAATTAAAGGCAATAACATTTCATTCCTTTAGTGAATTCAGGATAATTTAGAGCAAAGCATAATATAAATACAGCTGATCTGTTTCATTAAGTTAAATAATCTATAACTGGATGGAAAAAGGTGCTTGACTTTGTTTTTTATTTTTGTTTTTACATAATTTGAAGCAGCAAAATAAAAAACTGCCTCTAGAGGTTTTTTGAGCAAAACTATGATGAAAAATTGAACTCGCAAAGATGGCATCATATTACGAGAATTAAATTCCAATTTCATCTGTTATGACGTCATTCTAGTATTTTTTTTGCTTTATTATTTATATTTATGACTTTATCCTCGTAATCTTTTAATAAAATGCCTTTATCAGTCAGTTGTCCACATCATATTTGCATAAAAAATGTTTAACTGATTTTCTTTCAGCTAACTTTAATTTTTTGTCTGTATTCTCCAGTTAACAACTAACCGATCACTAAATTAATTGAGCTTTGTTTCAGATTAATCAGGATTAATCTGATGGTTGCAGCTCCTTCTGGAGCATCGCTGCTCGTTTTCAACTCTTCTGTTGCTGCACCTGTGCAGGTGTGGAGAGCGGTAAGCCCACTCATTTCACTGTGGTAACCAAAGGAGCCGGCAAAGCGCCGCTGGACGTTACCTTCTCCTCGTCGGTGAAAGACTTCGACATCATCGACAACTACGACTACTCTCACACTGTGAAGTACACACCTGTGCAGCAGGTGCGCCGGTCTGCAGAGCGTTTATGCACTTTGGATTTTTACTGGAAACTTTTGCTCCCAGAATTGAAATGAGATGAAAGTAACTGATGCAGTGAGGCAGGAGTTTGTTTTAGGTCATGATCTGGGTGTCTGCAGGGGGAGATGACCATCGTGGTGACCTTTGGCGGTGACCCCATTCCCAGCAGCCCCTTCACGGTTGGCGTTGCCGCGCCGCTGGACCTCAGCAAAGTCTCTGTGGACAACCTGGACGGAAGTGAGACGTTTTTTATTGGAGGCTGTGAGACGTTTACGTGTCGAAACGGATTACTCATTGTGTTTCAACAATTGACTTTCCGTCTGTATTCTCCAGCTAATTGCTAAATTAGTTGCTGATTATCTCAATAATTGATTTGTCGTAATTAATTGCTTCATTCCCTCTTTATATTTTCTGAAATTGTATTATTTAGTGCCATTTAAAACGAGTGGATGATGTCTGAGTCGCAGCTGAAGCTCTGCTTCCTGTTGCAGGGGTGGAGGTGAACAAGCAGCAGCAGTTCCTGGTGGACACTCAGGGCGCCGGAGGCCAGGGGCAGCTGGAGGTGGAAGTGGTCGGTATTAACGCTGCAGTTTAAGTTTTTTTAGCTCGATGCTGATGATGACGAAGACCTTTCCGCTCCTCTCGTTTCCAGCTGAGTCCGAGCCAGAAAGCGGTGCCTTGTAAAGTGGAGCCTCAGCCGGGGAGAGCAGCCGTCAGTTCGGTCCGCTACACCCCGACAGAGGAGGGCGTCCACGCCGTCAACGTGTCCTACGACGGGCACCCCGTCCCGGGAAGCCCCTTCCCCGTGGAGGCCCAGCTGCCTCCAGACCCCAGCAAGGTGGGCAAAACTGACGCTTGTTCTCTTTCTGGTCTTTTTATTTCAGGTTTGAACCATAAAGAAACCGTCTGCCAGCAGCGGAGCTAACTTTTCATTTAGCGGTTTTGTGAGCTTTGAAAATGTTTAGCGCTCTCGGCACTAAATCGCTAAGCGCTAATTTACTAACAGATGCTGTTTCGCATCTGTTAGTTTGACATCTGTGTTGTTTTGCTATTTAAACGTGTATATTCATGCTCTTATTTTGAAGCCACTTCGCGCAGCACTTCTATTTCCTCTCCTCACTTTTTCTTTCTCCACTAACTTTATTTAAAGCAAGAAACGAACAAGAACAAAATAAAACAGAGCGAAACACGTGAACGAGATCAAGATTAGCTTTGTGCCAAATGGATTTAGTTTTTAAAGGCAGATTAAATTTAAATTGAAGTTGTTAGCGCGTTAGCATTGTTGTAGCCGTTTGGAGTTGGGACAGCTAACATTCGTTAGTGCTTTAAGGTTAATGCCACTAACGTTTTAGTTATTTGCAGATGTAGGTTGTAACTAGTTACATTTACTCGAGTAGCGTTTAGGAGTACTTTTACTGCCCTTTACCAACTCTAAATTTATTTTTATGTGAGGTCTAATATTGGAAAATGTTGATTTAAGTGTTTCTGAATATTTGTAGTTATTTTTAATGTTTTAATTTATAGCTTGACTTTATTCAATATAGTGTATTAAAAAAGATAAATGTCACAAATTAAATACATTTAAATCAAATGCAAACAAAAGAACAATGGATTGTTAAAATGTTGAATCAGATTTTATGATCAGCATGTGATTCGCCTGAGTATTTATTTCTCTGGTTAACTTCAGGTTAAATGATAACGTGGGTCGGTTTGGTTCCAGGTGAAGGCGTTCGGTCCCGGTCTGAAGGGAGGGCTGGTCGGCGACCCGGCCGAGTTCACCATCGACACGAAGGGGGCCGGAACCGGCGGTCTGGGCCTGACGGTGGAGGGTCCGACCGAGGCGAAGATCGAGTGTTCGGACAACGGCGACGGCACCTGCTCCGTCTCCTACCTGCCCACCGAGCCCGGAGACTACCTGGTCAACATACTGTTTGAAAACGTCCACATCCCCGGCTCGCCGTTCAGAGCCGACATCCAGATGCCCTTTGACCCCTCCAAGGTGGTCGCCTCGGGGTCGGGGTTGAAGAAGGCGAAGGTGAGACTTTTCTGCTGCTTTTATTCTTCAGCCATCTTGAGTTCTTCAAGTTTCAATCCAAACTAAAGATGAAAAGTTATGGATTGGGTTTCGATGACGACGTTCCCGATGCAGGAGGGCAGATCTATTCAGTCTAATTCTACGCTTTGTTCTCTCAGCGACGCCATGCTACATTATTTATTTAATTATTTTTGTACATTTCTAAACCATTTGAAAGTTTATTTTGTACATGTAGTTTTTACTTTATTAAATATTATTATATGTTAATTGAGCTGACTGAACAAATGAAAGTTACATTTGTAATTCAATAAATTTCAAAAAAGAAACATTTCAGTCAATCAGCTGCTTTCCTGATCAGTATTGATACGTTAGTTCCTTAAATAGGACAAAACTAGCAAGCTTGCTTTTTTGCATATCTATTATAATTAAAGTGGGAAGTTGTCACCAGTTGCCTGGACGATGTTCGCCATCGGATCTTGTCTGTTGCCAACCAAACGATGCTGCATTTATCCTGTGCAGGAAGCTTTGCATTATGGGGGTTTAGGCTGTTTCTGTGGTGATACAGTTTTTAAATTTAATTAATAATCTTAAAAAGGTCTTTAAAAGAGCATTTATGTCTTTTTAAAGAGAGATGATGGTTTCGGTCCAGAAGTGAGGAAGTAATCTGGGTTTTTGGTGTTTGCAGGTTGGAGAGATCAGCGTTCTGAATGTGGACTGCTCTCGGGCCGGGCCGGGTCAGCTCAGCCTGGACGCGGCGCCGGAGTCTGGGCCGGGCTCAGGTAAGACCAGCTCGGAAACGGCCACATGGGTCCGAGAAGCAGCGAGGCTTCTGGGTAAAAGGTTTCATCAGATATTAATACACCGGTTTTAAATTAAAGAGGCTGATTGAGATTTCTATAAAATAAACTTCCAGTTGAAAGAGTTTATTTTTTATAAAAGTGTGCCATGCACTTATATTCAGCCTCGTTTATGTAATCAAACATCTGCAACATTTGAAAACCAAAGAGACAATTTGTCTTCAGTCCATAAAAATACAACTTTAAAGAAGCAAAAGCTACGTAACCTTTTGTCAAAATACAACTTTGATATTTTTAATATCTAGAATAGGAAATTGGTGGTAATTTTTTAAAGAACCACCATTTTACTTCATGCAGGCAGCGAAGGTGGAAAAAGTAATGGCATAAAAATCAATGTAAGATCTGAACGTCGATATTTAGCTTTTTGCTTTTCAAACTGTTTTAAAAAGCAGAATGTGTGGAACGATTCGGTGCGTCGTCAAAGGAATCATCCTAAATGTGACGTTTTGTCCTTCAGACATTTTTTCCCTGCATTTCAGGCATGAAAGCAAAGACGGAGGTGGTGGACAACCAGGATGGGACGTACACGGTGACCTACATCCCCCTGACCTCCGGCATGTACACCCTGATGCTGAAGTACGGAGGTAAATCCGTGCCAGGATTCCCTGCCAAGGTGATGGTGGATCCTGCAGTCGACACCTCCAAGGTCAAAGTGTTTGGACCCGGCGTCGAGGGCCAAGGTTTGCGGCTAGAACCGATTCGTTTGGGCTAAAAGTCGCTGAAATTCAAGTGTAATGACTATGAATTTCCTCTGCAGCCGTTTTCAGAGAAGCTACCACGGATTTCACAGTGGACGCCCGACCTCTGACCCGGCGAGGTGGAGAGCATGTGAAGGCCGAGGTCAAGAATCCGTCCGGCGCTCTGACGGAGTGCGTGGTGACCGACCAGGCCGACGGGACGTACAGCGTCGAGTACACGCCCTTCGAGAACGGTAACGCTGCAGGGCGAGACGCGACCCGCTCACCTGTTGGACTGCTGGGTTTCTGAAGCGTCCGGTTCGTTTCCCCAGGCGTCCACAGCGTCAGTGTTCTGTACGACGACGCGCCGGTTCCCAAGAGTCCGTTCAGAGTCTCTGTGACGGAGGGCTGCGACCCCAGCAGGGTGGTGGCCACCGGGCCCGGGCTGCAGCGGGCCCTGACGGACCAGAACAACACCTTCAACATCATCACCAGGTGCTTCACAGCGTCGCATGTTACTAAACAAAATCAGCTTTTCTCTGTTTGCCGTGGAGCTGACCTGAATTTAAAGTTCAAATAAACAGAAGCTGTAGAACAAGATGGCCGCCCTCTGTGCTGACATCACTCTGAACTACAGAAAACCCCAAAAATACAGATTTTCCAAAAAATTTAATCTTCAAAAAACCTTTAAATAACTAAACAAATATTAATGTAGATCATGAGAATCCTTTGAACTCTGATGGGTTAAAGCAGAAATCATTATTTTTAAATTTAAAATAACTTGATGTTTGAATCGAATTGTGGCTCCAGAAATCTGTATCGAGTCGTGAGATTGTAAAACTTTCCCAACTCTATTATAAACCATAAGACGGCGTCTTTGCTAGACCTGTTCTCCACCGTCATGGCGTCGTTTCTCCCCACAGGGGTGCAGGAATCGGCGGCCTCGGCATCACCGTGGAGGGTCCGTCTGAGTCCAAGATGTCGTGCAAAGACAACAAAGATGGCAGCTGCAGCGTGGAGTATGTTCCGCTCACGCCGGGCCTCTACGACGTCAACATCACCTACGGTGGCGAGCACATCCCAGGTGAGGTCATGCTTCCACGCAGGATTAAGTCTCTGTTCTTCTGTCTGATGCCGGCTCAGTGTTTGCAGATGTTCTCGTTAAATCCGGATTTCAGATTTTTTTTTTTTTGTCTTTGTGGGGATTATGATAAATATGACGTGACGAAAAGGAATGAAACACTCTCTTGCATCTGCGTTCCCCTCGAATGCGTCATAAATAAACTTTGATGGCTCGGGCCTCATTTCCGCCTCATGTTCTGAGGTTGTCGAATTGTTTTTGTCTCGTTAAACTCGTGCCGAGCGATCAACTTTAATGCTTCAAAGATGCGGCCGAGAGGTTTTTGGCTTCGACGGAAAAGACTTTGTTCGGCGTGTTTAACGCCTTTAATGAGCCGCGGCCAGTTCGTGGTTCTGATGTTTGTTCCGCCGGCTGGAGGTGTCATGATGTCTGAACACATCTGCAGCACATGAGCAGGACGTAAAAGGAGGATTTGTTAAGAGATTTTTAAACTGCTTTGGTTCTGAACATCCATTAAAATGCCAGGATGTTAAACAAGAGGGGAAAAAAATGACAAATACATGGAAGTTTTTTCCTGTTCAACAATAAACTAATCACTCAATATGTTAACTTAACAAGGAACGGCATCACTGGAGCCAAAATTAAAAAAAAGATTTTGCAGGTTTTCCATATTTGTCTATTTTCCTGTTTTTACCAGAGTTTAGTCGATTGAATGAAAGCAGTGAATTTTGTTTTGAGCAGGTAACTAGATAAATGTGGTTCTGTTTGCTGTGAAATGTTTATTAAAAGATTTATACTTTATAGCATTTTCCATAATCAGATTTTAATCGCTGCCCTGGACCAGAAACGGCCCCTGAACCACATTTTGGACACCAGTCCACTCGTTTCAGTGTTAACAGATAATTATCCGTCTCATACCATATTTTGACCAAAGTGACATTTTTAACAAACATAGCAAAATATATTTTTCAGTTTTTTTTCTGCCCTCATTAGTTTATATTTTTATTTTCCAGGAAGTCCATTTAAGGTCCCGGTGAAAGCCGTGGTCGACTCCAGCAAGGTCAAAGTGTCGGGTCCCGGTGTGGCGTCGGGAGTCAGGGCAAATATCCCACAATCCTTCAGTGTGGACTGCAGGAAGGCCGGCGAGGCGCCGCTGGCGGTGGCCGTCACGGGCCCCAAGGGGCTGGCGGAGCCGGTGGAGGTGACGCCCAACGGCGACGGGACGCACAGCGTGTCGTACACGCCGACGGTGGAGGGACCGTACGCCGTCTCCGTCAAATACGCAGACGAGGACGTTCCACGCAGGTACGCAGCGCACACACAGCGCACACACACAGCACACACACACAGCGCGCACACACAGCAAGGTGTTTGTGTGATACTGGGAGTATCAACCACTTCAAATCACCATCATGTTTAAGTAATTTATTTAGCTTAAATTCCCAATTTCTTCTGAATGACGGATTTTATTTCACTTCATTCATGACTTTCTGAAATGAACATCTGGCTTGTGTTGTTTCTTCTACGTATTTTTACTGTTAAAGGAAAAGTATAAAAATATCTTCATATTTAAAGCAAAAAAACCATCAGATTCATGATTAGCGTTCGACTCTTAACTGTTTTATCTGATCCCTTCAGTCCGTTCAAGTTCAGGGTTCTGCCGACGCATGACGCCAGTAAAGTGCGCGCCAGCGGCCCCGGGCTGACCAGCGGCGTCCCCGCCAGCTTCCCGGTCCAGTTCAACATCGACGCCAGAGACGCCGGCCAGGGCCAGCTGAGCGTCCTCATCACGGTCAGCGACTCGCTCGCTCTCACACGATAACCAGGAAAGACTGCGTCACGACGCGTTTGTCCTCCGCAGGACCAGGATGGGAAACCCAAGCGGCCCAGTATCCATGACAACGATGACGGGACCTACACGGTGTCCTACGTCCCCGACCGCGCCGGGCGCTACACCATCGTCATAAAGTATGGCGGCGACGACATCCCGGCGTCGCCCTACAGAGTCCGCGCCTCGGCGACCGGAGACGCCAGCAAATGCACGGTGACGGGTAAAAGCGCCGCACGAACATCAGCAAAGTTCTTCTAAATCAACAGAACTGCTGTCAAACCTTTGAGCAGCAAAATGTTTGTTTGTGCTGCTATAATTAAGATATGCAAAGGTCTCTGAGGTTCTCCACATCAAAGCTGCAAACTAAATTAAAATAAATTAAAAATTGTGTTGAAACTGCTGTGACAGTCAGGATGTTATGGAAAATCCAACTTCTCCACCTTCTCCCAGTGCCAGTAACAACCAATCACAGCCCGGAGGAGGGTCTTGGCGCTGTTGCCAGTTTGTCCCAGTCAGCAGATTCTGTTATGGATGCTAAGGCTAGTTAGCATAGCCACCGATGGCGGCGGATGAACATTTTCCCGAAACAGTAAGTTGTTTCAGCGAGTACATCAGAATGATTGACTGCGCTAAGACCCGCCTCCTGGCTCTGATTGGTTGATTTTGGAGGAATTTGTCTCATAATAAACTGTCATGACGGCTTTAACAAACATGAAAAACACATTTAAATTCTGCAAACTAAATAGATAATTGCTCTATGGTTGTGCAGCTGACATATTTGTAGTACAGATGCTGGACACCAAATCAGTGTGATTTTTGTAAATGCGGGCAGTTTGCAGAGGTCAGAGATCATTCCCCCTTCACATTTGTGAAATTGTACAAATTTGGTGACCATCAACTCGTCTACGTTTGTGCAACAAATTTTTTTTGTTGCACAAATCTGGGAGTGATGGTGACAAACCTCTGGAAACATTTATTTGTGTCTTTAAAATGAAAAACTTACCGAATGTTTGACACCAATTCTGAGACTAGAAGAAGGCGGGGGGACCCGCTTCGCTCAGTGGGTTCAGAACGACCAACGGTTCCGTCTCCCCAGGACCGGGCGTGGGCCCGACCGTGGCCATCGGCGAGGAGCTGGGCCTGTTGGTGAACGCCAAGGCGGCCGGGAAGGGCAAGGTGAGCTGCGTGGTGGTCCAACCCGACGGCAGCGAGGTGGAGGCCGAGGTTCTGGAGAACGAAGACGGCACCTTTGACATCTTCTACACCACACCGGCTCCGGGGAACTACGCCATCTACGTCCGCTTTGGCGGGGAAAACGTCCCGCGCAGTCCGTTCAAAGTCATGGTGAGGAGGCGTCGCAAACTTGCATCAACGCAAAGATTATTTCCTGCCATAAAAATTTGCTCAGAGCAAACCCTAAATGTTTTCACGTGAAGTTTTTCTCACATCACATGAGAAAAACTCTGCTTTCAGACGGGGAAAATGATGAGGTCATATAAAGCACAACATGTTTGATCTCCATCTATTTACTGGAAACCAAGGTTGAATATTTTTCACCTATGATGACCATAAATGTCAGTGAGCGATTCTGAAGGCAAAGGTTTCCGATCGTTTGTGATTATGTTGCTGCTCATATCTTGTTTCATCTCTCAATAATGTTTTTAATGACTCGCCACCAACCCACGCCAAACATAAGAGCTGAGATTACGTACAAACACAAGTTCATTTTATTAGATAAATGTTTGGAGAAAAATAAAGCAAAAATTCACATTTTCAACAAAAAAGAAGAAACCAGTTGAAAGGGCAGTACCAGGTAAAACGTTACAATGTTATTTCCGCTCTGCTTTGATTCTTTCATTCACGTTTAAGAAATTATTTCATCTCCGTGGCAACCATTCAGCATGGCAAAATGCCTGGGTGGACTTAGCCCCGCCTCCAAGGGGGCTGGGCCTCCCCCTTAAAATCCACTGAAGTTTATGGTTTAAATGATATTTTAAAGGAAATTAATACTTTTATGAAGAACTCTGTAATTCTTGGTAACTTTATTCTTGAATTTTTATTTTTTCTTGAATTAGAAATAATCCGTTTTATCGTGTCCCTCAGGCTACTGATGAAGTTCCCATCAGCCAACAGCAGATGGCGCAACAGAGACAGGCCGGTCCCCCTAGCGCTGGCTTCCAGCCATGGGTAGCACAATACACTCACCAGCTCTCACACACACACACACACACACACACACACACACACACACACACACACACACACACACACACACACACACACACACACACACACACACACACACAGCCATGTTCCAGGTATTTGTAATAATTACCGACAAAATTCATCTTTTCTTTTCATAAAGATTGGTCTGATTTTAATAATTTGTTCAGGTTTGGGGTTTTTTCTGGATAAATTATGGTTAAAATCAAAATTAACGGCAAATAGACTGTAGAGTTACAGTTTAAAATAAACATGTCAACACAAGTTTTATTTAAAAGGAGCAGTTTGAAGAAAACAAATCGTATTTATCCATATGGATTAATCTTTCAACACAAAACGGACAATGTCTATATATAAAATAATGAAGAAAAACGTCATCTTTGAATCAGAATACTTAAAAATTATTTCATTTGGAATATTTTCAACATAAATCCTGAAGTTCAGAGGAATTTGCAACTGAGTTGGTTAAATGAAAAATGTTACAAAATGTTCATGTTTAAATTGTGAGCATGGATGTAAACACCCACACACACACACACACACACATACACACACACACACACACACACACACCTTTCTGTTGCAGGTGAGCGGCTACAGGTTCAACACCAACTTCTCTCTCTCTCCGTTTCAAAGTTCTCTCACTCGGCTGCTTTTCCTCTATGACATCATCGCTTCCCTTTCTCCTCTCAGCCAATCAGATTGCGGCACACTGCTAACATCATGCAGGTTTCTGGGCGGCTCTGCTGACGGTGCTTTTTCTCATTTAGGGGGTTAAAGTTTCCATTCTTCATCACTGGCTGCATCATCACGGTCACCTCTCGTCTTCCTCCTCACCGCTTCACTGCTCCACACTTCCCATGATGCCCCTGTGTGGGCGGGGCTTGGATGCAGCAGCATGTTTGCAGTGCCGTTCAGCGAGTCTGTTTCCAGCTTTAATCCCTCTCCACCTGTGTGTCGTCCAGGTGATGCCAGAGAACTACCAGTCAGTCAGCAGCGTGAACGGCAGTGGCTTCAGACCGTTTGACATGATCATCCCGTTCGCCTTCCGGCCGGGAGAAATCACCGGTAAACTCTGGCACAGAGGAGAGGCGCAGAGGGAACGGAGAGCAGAAATGATGCCTTCACTGTCGTTTCTCTCTGCAGGTGAGGTGCTGATGCCTTCAGGTAAGTCTGCGCAGCCGCTGATCGCAGACAACGGAAACGGGACGGTGATAGTCCAGTACGCCCCGACTGAGGCCGGCCTGCATGAGATGCACATCAAGTACAACGGCACACACATCCCAGGTCGGTACCGACGCAAAGCTGCTTTTAAACATCTGCAAGAATCTGAGAGCGATTTAATCAATTAGAAAACTGTTAAAAAAACATAAATATTACTGCTTAATAAGAAGCTTTCACTTTAACCTGGTGACATCACATCAGGAAGAGAAACAACGATCCGATGTTATTTGTATTGGTACCGATATTGAAAAAACTTACAGGTTAGGTATCTGTGATGATGTTCCTGCTCCATAAGGACGGGTGTATTCAGTCTAATTCTTTGCTTTTTGCTCTGGTAATAATTTATTTATTTTGCATTATATTTAAAATAACCCAAAACATTTTTATTTAATAAAATTACCAGTTTTTATATCAGCCCTCGGTACAACCTTCAATGTTAATTGGTGAGACGTGTTGAGTTTAGAGACACCTGCTGTCCAGAGAAAGAACTGCAGCTGGAGAACGTCATCATATTGTAAATCAGAACCGATTAAAGTAGTTAATGTCTTGCTGCTCCAAACTTCCGTGGATGTTTTAAAACAAACTGTGACTTGGCTGTCCTGCAGTCACTCTTTCTGTTTAAAAGAAATGTTATAAATTGATTGTTCTGTTTGTTGCAGAGTCTCCGCTCCAGTTCTACGTGAACCACAGCAGCAGCCCCAACGTCACGGCCTTCGGGCCCGGACTGAGCTACGGCGTCGCCAACAAGGTGGCCACCTTCACCGTCTGCACAGATGACGCCTCCGAAGGTACGCGGCAGGAGAGGCGCGAGTCCACCTTAGAAATGTTTAAAAATGTCACACTCTTCACCTTTTAACGTATCTAAACGTCTCTCTCTCTCTCTCCAGGCGGTCTGGACCTGGCTATCGAGGGTCCGTCCAAAGCGGAGATCAGCTGCGTAGACAACAAGAACGGGACGTGCACCGTCAGCTACCTTCCCACACTGCCTGGCGATTACAACATCCTGGTCAAATACAACGAAGATCACATCGAAGGCAGCCCGTTTACGGCCAGGATCACGGGTCAGAACCCACATCAGCACACAGAGTCGTAAACGGGACCGCAGCAATCACACACTACAGAAAAATTTTACTTTTACGGTGACGCTGCATTCCTCCACCTCATTGGAAATGCTTCACAGAAAATAATTACAAGTTAGAAAAGCAAAGAGCATTTAAATTGACTGGCAGCTTTCTTTAGAAAGTTTCATAAATTTATTGTTTGAAGGAGGCAAAAGTTTCTGCATGTCTCAGGTTTTCAGGGAGTTTGTTCCAGAGTTGAGGAACATAGAAACTAAACGCTACATTTCTAGATGTTTAATTTCTACATAAACTAAACTTTCTGTTTAATGTGTTTAGTCCCAGCAGGCTGAACAGAAATGTTTTTAAAACTTTCTCCCCTTTTATTTTATTTCTTGTCCTTTTCTTTTTGCTCGTTTTTTCACTTGTCCATTTTTTATTTTAGAAATTTTCTGTTTTGCCCTTTTTCTTGTCCTTTTCCCCCTTTTTTGTCCTTTCTCATCTTTTTTCTTTTACAATTTTCTTTTCTCTTTTCATTTTCTGCATAAATTTTATTTTTTTTCTTTGGTTTTTTGTCTATTATCCGTGTAATTTTTATTTCACCTTACTTCCACTGTGCATACTAATTTATATATATTTTGAAGCTGAGCTATTAGAATATTTTAATACTCCGCTTCTCATGGATTTCAGTTGTTAACCTAATCAACATGTTGAGCTTCTGCTATAATTAACTGAACAAAAATGCAACAATAAACACAAAAACCCCTCGTCCATTTTAATCACCCGACCAGATTAGTCATTAGTTCTGAATTGGGCTTCATGAATGTAATTTCATCGGTGAGCCTCTCAGCTGCTCCAAGCTGGAGGATAAAACGTTTGTCTTCCTGTCGTCGTGTTTTCCAGAGGACAACCAGCGCCGCTCCCAGGTTAAACTGGGCTCTGCAGCAGATTTCTTCCTGGACATCAATGAGACGGACCTGAGCGTGTTGACCGCCAGCATCAGAGCGCCATCAGGACGGGACGAGCCCTGCCTGCTGAAGAGGATGGCCAACAACCACATCGGTAACACGCGTTTGCTTCTTAACCTGCTTTCTATTGGTGCGTTGCATTGTGATGTCACGCGTGAAACGTCTCCCAACGATGACTGGCATCGATTTTAGCCTTCTGATTATCGATACAAGGGACTAAAACTTAAATAGACGCCTGAGCTTTGCTACTAATAGTCAACACTAAGGTCAGAAGGTCAGGAAGAACTTTTAATCGAGTGAGGGGGAATTGGGTCCGTTATGCTAGCTTGACTTTGACAACCTTAAGATGTAGATGTGCTTAGACTGATTCATCAGTCTAGTGGCTAAACTACCACAGCGATCACTTATTGCAAAATAAACGTGGTGAATTCGTAAAGCCTGCATCTCCGGGTTTAATTTTCCTGACGGTTTTGGTCAGTGAAGGAATCGTTTTGTCCTCCAGCACTGATGACGGTCAGGTGACCGATTCCCTCCCGTCTCCCTCGCAGGCATCTCCTTCATCCCCAGGGAGGTGGGCGAACACCAGGTCAGCATCCTGAAGAACGGCCGGCACGTCCCCAACAGCCCCATCACCATCAACGTGGTGCAGTCCGAGATCGGAGACGCCGGACGAGTCAAAGCTCACGGCGACGGCCTCGTTCAGGCCACCACCTTCACCAACGCCAGCTTTGTGATCGACACACGGGAGGCAGGTCAGTCCAGCGCCCTGACCGCTGACGACCCAAACGACGCGGCGTTGCACCTCAACCTTTGCTCTCTGCGTTTGGACAGGTTACGGCGGCCTGGCTCTGGCCATCGAAGGTCCCAGTAAGGTGGACATCCAGACGAAGGACGTGGACGACGGGACCTGCGAGGTCACCTACTGTCCCACCGAACCTGGAAACTACATCGTCTCCATCCGGTTTGCAGAGGAACACGTTCCAGGCGAGACCAGCTAGAGATGGGGTTTTCTGAGGAGGAGTTCCTGCTGAAGCCCGCAGGCTTGATGAAGCTTTGTTTTTATTCACAGGAAGTCCGTTCACGGTGAGGGTGACCGGTGAAGGTCGCATCCGGGAGAGCATCACCTGTCGGCAGAAGGCGGCGTCGGTCGCCAGCGTTGGCAGCATGTGCGACCTCAACCTGAAGATACCCGGTAAAAACACTCTGACCATGTGTTGGTGCCGCCCTGGGCGACCGCCATAAAGAGTTTGTAGAGCTTTCAACCCTCTTTGACTTTTTGCTTTTTATAGGAAACATGACAAGTTGCTTCTGAGACTTTTTTTCTTCTTGTCTACTTCATGTTGTCAGGCAGGTTCAGGTTATGTTTTGCATTTACTCAGTGGTTGTTTACGGCTTTTTTTCGCCAGATCTGTTTAGTTCGCTTTAATCCGACTCCAGCCGACTTAAAGTCTGGTTTGTTTGATGTGAATGCTAATCAAACTCTGGTCTGTCTATAAACCTCAATCTCGGTCCGGTTGACGTGAACGCAAACACCAAGCGGACCAGAGACCGCTGTAAAACCAAGAAGTGGACTACACAGCAGGGCATTCTGGGTAAATGCAACCAAAGTGCTAGCCTAGTGCTAGAAGTCCTCCAATTGCTTAAATCTCACTCTATTCCGTTTTTTACTTTTTGTGAAGAAGGAAGTTGTGTTCATTGTCGTCTTGTGTGTTTTTGTATTGTTTCCTTCTGTTGTTTTTGATGCAGCGCCCCCACAGGTGAGGAGGGGAACTGTTTTTTTTAAGTATTTAGTTTGAATTGAATTGTTTACTGGACTATCAGGTTTGAAAACACCCAACTATAAATCTGAAGAAGGGAAGCAGTTTTCCAGCTTTCTGTTCTTCTCTCAACTTGATCAGTCATTTTCTGATTCTACTTTCCTTATTTCTTCTAACTTAATTTCCCCGTCTTCATCATCTCTCATCTTCCTCAGCTTCTCTTCATCTCTTCCCCTTCCTGCTCTCCTCCTCCTCTCTCCTCTCCCTCCATCTGTGTGTCTCCTCCATCTTCCTCTCTCTCCAGCTACTTGGTTCCTCCTGGTTTTATCTCAGCAGCTCCTCTCTCGCCCCTCTTTCCGCTCTCACTGCTCCCTCTGGTGGTGTGGAAGACCCGGCGGTTGGGGCGGCCGTCCCTCTGCTGCTGCCCAGGATCAGAGCCCCTCCCTGGGCAGAGTGCGCCTCATTTCCGGCCTCTCGGGTCTGGTGCTGGCGGGAGCGGCGCCGGGTCTTTGGGTTGTTGATGTGCCCGGTCCAGCTGGCAGAGCTGGGACGGAGGGTGCGTTGTTAAACACGGAGCGCAAGGTTTGCTGCATGAAATGCTTCATTCTGAGTCGCAGCTGTTAGTAATTAGGAGGTTTATAACTTTTCACCAGGCCCCACGAAAATGCATTTAGTTGGAAGTTATTGCGATAAACAGTATTATTGTTTTGAGAACGTTTTCAGGTAATATAATGGTGATGAGATGAAAAATACAAAATATCCCCCATTTCAACCTGCAGTTAAAGAAAATGAGGTTTTGGTCTGAATGAAGTTTCTGTCAACATCCAGGCTGATTATTTCAAAATGTTTTCCTCAGTTGAGAAAAAAACTCTGAACTGTTTGAGTTTTTCCTTCCTCAGATTTTCCAGATTTGGGTCGAATTAATGCGTCACAGAAAGACTTTAATCCGAGTCGATTCTTCCAGAGTCAGATCATCTGGACATTAAGTCTGTTGTTCTGCCTCTTTGCAGCGATGGACATGCAGGACATCACCGCCGAAGTCACTTCGCCGTCTGGAGCCAGCCGGCCCGCTGAGCTGGTTTCCATGGGCAACGACACCTACTGTGTGCGGTTCGTTCCCACGGAGATGGGCGTGCACAGCGTCGGCGTGACGTACAGGGGCGTGCACGTACCGGGCAGCCCCTTCCAGTTCACCGTGGGCCCGCTGGGAGAGGGCGGCGCCGGCAAGGTGACGGCCGGCGGCCCGGGCCTGGAGGGAGCGCTGGCCGGGGAGCCAGGTACGAACCGGAGGTCAAAGGTCAACCGGCCTCCCCACATGTACAAACTCAAGCTGCAGTTTGTAGCTTCTATAAGTCCTTTTTAGTAAAAATAAAAAGTTGCGTTATTTATAATAGGATTTTTATGTTTCAAAAACATAAAAAGCTTCAACATATTTATGCCACATATGGTTTTTTACATATTTACGCGCCATGTGGAGGTGACTGGCGGCGCTCAGGCGCTCCCATTGGTTGTTTCTAGTCGGCACTGGGGGCCGGTTTGTTTTCATAGACGTGACGTCCTGCAGCTTTAAGATCAGGGCTGATTTTCATTCCTCTCTGACCCGATAACAGCCGAGTTCAGCATCTGGACGCGTGAGGCCGGCGCCGGCGGTCTGTCCGTCGCCGTGGAGGGTCCCAGCAGGGCGGAGATCTCCTTCGACGACCGTAAAGACGGATCCTGCGGGATCTCCTACGTGGCTCAGGAGCCCGGTAGCTAGCACTCAGACGGTTCATGCAGCAGCTTTGCTTTTGAAGGTAGCTGAGAGTCACACTGCCGCTCCCTCCTCTGCAGGCGACTACGAGATCTCGGTGAAGTTTAACGAGCAGCACATTCCCGACAGCCCCTACCTGGTCCCGGTCGTGGCGCCGGTGAACGACGCGCGGCGCCTCACTGTTGCCGGCCTTCAGGTGAGGCATGAGGAGACACCTCCACACCCTGCCTTTTCCTGCTTCCTGAAGGGACGTTGGGGCGCAGCTGCATAAAACTCCCAGATAATGGAAGATCTGCTGATCTGTGACAGTTCGACCGACGCAACAAGACGTGTTAAAAACGTTACTCAAATCTGTAAAATAAAGATGGGACAATATCATAGACTGACATAAAGGAGGAGAGGAAACTGGCATCATTGTTGGCAGAACTGGTAGCTCATTTCTGCTAGTAGCGGAGCTGATCTGTTTTTGCTCATCGCTCTTGGATTCCTCTTAATCTTCCATTTTCTTGCACCGTTATGGAAAATAACGGAGGAGGAGTTCTGGTGCTGATCTCCAGCTTGACCCAAAATCTATTTTCTTCATTCTGAAGTGCTGATGTATTTCACATAAAGTTTTTAAGACAGGCCAGGAAAATTCAACAACTGTGTCGAGGTTTTGGTTCTAGTTCATTAAGAATTTAAGTAAGTTTAGCTGTTTAGCATTTCTACTAACTCTAAAAGCGTTTAATGCACTTCGCTTCCCCTAAATTAATTTTTCCAGATACATTCTGAAGAGTTACTTTAGTGGGTCGTTCTGTAAACATTCAGCAGATTAAGATCAATATTTGTTTGGTTACCAGCTGCCAGCAGTTGGTGTTTAGTGTTCATGCTGAGCCTCTCAGTTGATTTCTGAAGGACTAATTTACTCGGCTGTTTTGTAAGCATTCAGTTAATCAGATCGACGTCCGTTCCGGTTTTATGGACCTTCAATACCATTTAATTTTGGCTCAGTAAAGCTGAACTAAAACTCATTCTTTTTAAAAACGAGCCGCAGCAATTCTGAATTTTCATTTCAGGTTAAAACCTAAATAAATTCTCTTCCTGTCGGTTATCGGACCTCTCAGATTGTCAAACCTTCGTTATGGGAAAAAAACCCTGGATTTTGTTATGCAGCTGCTCCCATGGACAGTGACCACAGCCAAGCAAACTAACTAAAGACCAAAACTCATCTTCTAACTCAAACTCATTGCAGAAATTAAACTGAGTGCCCAAAAAAACAGAATATGAAGAATAGAAGATGATTTCATGCAAACTGGATCCGTTTCTGTCTGGTTCTTTGCTTGGTTCTGGTTCGTCCCTCCTTTGCTTCGGTGTGGAACAGTCGGTGTTTCTCTTGTGTTTCATTTAAAGGCTTTTAACAGCGCCACCATCAGCTCTGGCTGCAGCACTGCAGCAGCCCTCATGTTTATTCTGGTCTGAATAAAGTTTCTGCATCTCATTTTCAATTCCAGAGGAATCTGAACAAAATAATAATTTTATTTATTTCTAGTGGAGCTTTATCCTTTAAAATAAAACATTACTCTATAAAGACTGAGAACACACTTTAGAAATGGTCATTTTTAAAGAAATTTAGTTTATATGGATTTTAATTAGGTGTTTTTGCTTGATTTCGGCATAAAATCCTTAAAATTATATTTAAACGGCACAGTTTTGTAATGAAGTGCAATCTAACATTTGTTTTAAACCCTACATTTGGAAACCATTATTTGTAGTTCAAACCAGATATTTAAAGACAAATGCAAATTTTTTTCTGTGTCTGTTAAATTTCTCTAAACTTCTCCCATTTTGAGTTAATTGCAATTAAAATTATTTCTATTTGCAAAATGCCAGAAAATGTAAAATTTTATGTTTTCTGTCTTTATAAAGATTATTTTATAAAGACGGAACACTATAGAGCTAATCAACAGTAATTTTTTAAAATATTTGGGGGAAAAAATAAGTTTAACTTCATGGTTTGTCCACAATGTGGCAAAAGGCTCATTTTGTCTCAACTTTAGTGGTTTTTTGTGCTTGTTTTTAAAATATTTGTTTAAGAAAAATACAGATATGAGATTTTCGGCCTAAATATAATGAGTTTTGAGTCTCTGACTGCGTTAGTCTGCTGCAGCTGCAGGAAGGAGCTCAGGTAGGTGACGCGATCAGAACGTCTGAATCCGACTGGAACCAGAAGACGCTGCTTTCGCTGAAGTTCCTGATCTGTCCTCCCATCAGGAGTCCGGTCTGAAGGCGAATCACCCAGCATCCTTTGCGGTGCGCCTGAATGGAGCGCAGGGAAAGCTGGAGGCGAAGGTTCACAGTCCGTCTGGAGCGCTGGAGGAGTGCGTCGTCACGGAGCTGGAGAAAGGTCAGCCTGCCGTCTTCTGGGGTCAAAACAGTCGATTTGCAGCAAAACAACAAAAACGGACCTTTAATAAACTGCCTGATATAATCATGGTTTCTCGTTCAAAAAGACTCGATAAAACAAGAAATTTGACGTTAAACGAGTTTGTAGAAACAAGAATTTGTCATTGAAACAACAAAGTTTGTCCTTCAGACGAGAATCTGTCAAAAAAAGTTTGTCATCTTGAGATTCTGGATTCCGTTCTGGTAAATCAGGATCTCTTCCTTTTTTCCAGATAAGTACGCCATCCGCTTCATCCCCAGGGAGAACGGCGTCCACACCATCGACGTCAAGTTCAACGGCTCTCACATCCCAGGAAGTCCTTTCCAGGTCCGGGTTGGAGAACCGGGGCAGAGCGGAGAGCCCGGTCTGGTGACGGCGTACGGATCCGGTCTGGAGAGAGGCACCACAGGTGAGTCACCTGTTCAGTCTGACTTCCTGTCCGTCAGTTATGGACGTTTCCTCAGTCGACACGTTTTAATTCATCCGAGTTCTCAGATGCTTTTAGGGAAACAATTTCATGTTTTAAAGGTTTTGAAATTGATTTATTTCTTCATAAAGTCCTTATTTATTTTCTAATGAAGTTCAATCTAACATTTGATTAAATCGCTACATTTGGAAATCATTATTTGGAGTTGAAACCAAATATTTAGAGATAACAAATATATAACTTTTGTATTTATACGTAAATATATTTTTCTTCTGTTGAAGCAGAGGAAACTTCTCTTGTTTTGGATCAGTTAGAATTATTAGTTATTTCTGTTTGCTAAATGCTTGAAAACTTAGCAGAAACATTTCTTAAAATACATTTTTCTTTTTTACTTGAACCAGTCAGGGGCTCAAGAGACGCATTTCAAAAATAAAATGTTATATTTTAGTTGATGCTGTAGAATGCTATTGCACTAACCAATAAATCAATTAGTTGCATCATAAATTAAGACAAACTCAATCATTTCCATTTGAATGATTGTTTTCCTCTGTTGACCAAAAGCTGGATGATGAAAGTCTTCAGTTTGGTTCTTTGGTCTCAACTAAACTGATTTTTGGAGGAAAGTTTGTTTATAGAGACTCTGGTTCATTTTATTGTTTATTTATTTTGAATATTTAATGTGTTTTTCAGTTTTAGTCTTAAATGTTAATTAGAATTTAAGGTTATTGATCTGAGAATGTTTTCTTGCATTATTATATCATAATATGGTCTCAAAACGACAATTTTATCATGTCAGATCACTGTGAGCTGAAAATGTCTGTTTCATTTCCAAATTGTGGTGCTGGAAGAGTTTGAGCATTTGCCTTGAAATGCTTGAAATTGGAAACCTGAATGATTCTTTTTTTGTCTGTTTTCTGCAGGGACCCAGTCGGAGTTCATCATCAACAACACCAAAGCGGGACCCGGAGCGCTGGCCGTGACCATCGAGGGTCCGTCCAAAGTGAAGATGGACTGCCAGGAAATCCCCGAAGGTTACAAAGTTCACTATACTCCGATGGCACCGGGAACCTACATGATCAGCGTCAAATACGGAGGGCCCAACCACGTCACCGGCAGCCCCTTCAAGGCCAGAGTCACAGGTACGGATGAGATCCGATCCCCGCCGGGTCCAAAGCTGCACCTTTGACCTCACGGCCGACCTGCTGCGTCTCCTCAGGTAACCGGCTGGTGAACGTGACCAACGCCAACGAGACGTCGACCCTGACGCTGGATCCGACTCTACGAACGGCCGGCAGCGGCTCCGCTCAGAGCGCCATGCCCAGACCGGGAGACTCGGACGCCAGCAAGGTGCTGAGCCGAGGACCCGGACTGAGCAAAGCCTTTGTGGGCCAGAAGAGCAACTTCTCTGTGGACTGCAGCAAAGCTGGTAGGAGGCTGCGGCCGCTGCCGGCTTTACAATAACTGGAGCTGAGGATGACTTACAGAAACGATGGTCCGGTACCGCTCCGTCCCAACGGTGTTCACAGAAACGGACCGCCATTTCTGTCAACACTTGTAATTTAACTTTGTTTAGCATTGTAGCTAGCGTTAGCGTTAGTCGTTTTTCCAAATAAATTCTAACTCTCTAACTTGCTGTAAACTTTCAGCTGGATAAAGTTCAACATCTGTGTTGATGTTTAGATTATCGCCTTTTAAGAATTCAATTACAGTTCTATTCATGCTCTTATTTTGAAGGAGGTGAACACTGTTTACGCAACAGTTTTGTTTCCTCTCCTCATGCTTCTCAGGAGGTTCAGCAAATAATTTATTCTGTACCCAGAATGCATCAGTGAACAGCTGGATGTGCTTTCTGAGCAAATCTGGACTGTTAAATTTCACAAAACTCTAAACTACAAAAATGAAACCGAGAGAGAGGTCTGTTCCAAACAATCACTTCCTGAAGTGCAGATTGTACAGGAAGGTTTCCATATAAATTTTACCTTTTATGAATATTAATCCTCTTGATTTGGCCCAAGATGAAAATGAGTTTCTCCCTCCTGTCATATCGGCGGCAGCTTGTCCACATCGTCTCATACGGGTCGATCCAAACTGCAGCCATTTTGTTGATTATATTTTTCTCTTGCATGTTAAGAGTGTCAGTAAACTTTCCTGTTGTTGGTCTCAAAGTCTTGGCTCCGCTGTCGTTTGGCGCGGATCTCTTTCGAGTCAGACTCGTGGGAGTTCTGGTTCTGTAATGCCGTTTCTCTTCTCCCAGGTAAGAACATGCTGCTGGTGGGCGTGTACGGCCCGCAGGTCCCCTGTGAGGAGGTTCTGGTCAAACATCTGGGGAACCTGCAGTACAACGTCAGCTACGTGCTGAAGGAACGCGGCGGCTACGTCCTGGTGGTGAAGTGGGGCGACGACCACATCCCAGGATCCCCGTTCAACGTCACCGTCCCATGATGCACCGCGGGAAAAGCCGTCTGCTGCGTTTGCGTCCCTGCTGAGCTGGAGAGGAAACATTGACTGCACTGCAGATTACTGTCGAATGAAACGCTGCTGAACAAAAAAACAAGGATTTTCTGCTTGAACATTTTAATGTAGTTAAAACGCTAAAAAGAATCCCGACACCATCCCAAAACGTTAAACTGGATTTGGGGAAAACAAGCATTACTTAGAGCTGGAATAACAAAGCACTTTCCTGTTCAACTCCTTTTGAGCTGGTTGGTCCACAAACGGCCAACAGAACCAAGTCGGTGCCAAACGGTGATTCTTCACCTCGATTGGGGAAAAACTGGACTTCTTCCTTTTACTTTGTGAAACTACTGATTATTTTTCACTCCCAGAATGCATCTCTTCCTTGATGTTGCCATAAAAGTTGACAGTTTACGCTGCCTTCAAGCTGCTGGTTGCTACTTCCTACCTGAGCCAGTGGCTTGGTTCTGATCCGTTTCCTCTGTCGTCATCATGATCTGAGCTGGAGAACGTTGAGTCTCTTCCTTAATGCCGTCGCCTTTATTACTGCTACTTTTGATACTTTAACATGAAAATGAGTTTTGTATCAGAGGGTTGGGGAAACTTCTCATTTTGTGTTGGGGAATGTGAAACTAAATCCTGATCTGATGTACTGTACGTTTGATAATTAAAATAAACTGGAATCTAGAAAAATGAATTAAATCTGAATGTTTTTTTTTTTTTTTTTTTAAACAACTTTTAAGACAAATACTTTAAAGTGTCAGTACTTATGTGTTTCCAGGCTCATAGTTCCATTTTATAGTATAATCAAGTAACCGATGCCTGAAATTGTTCTAAAAATTTGTATCAAATATGACTTAAGAAATTTACTCTGATTTAATGTCTTGAAATTGGGCCTCTGTCTCTTTAAAAGCTTCTCTTTCTGAAGCTCCGCCTTCAGGAAGTTATCACAACATGGCTTCCCTAGGAACCCCCTGATGTTCTAACCTGCTAGTCTGCAAGAGCAGAGTGGGGGAGGAGCTACGCCCTGAGGGCGGGGCTTGGTCCACCCAGGCGTTTTGCACAGCTGAATGGTTGCCATGGAGATTAAAGGATTTCTCAAACCTGCATGAAAGAATCAAAGCGACACTCCAGGTACGTTTTTAATGAGGGAATAAAGTAACATGATGGAAAGCTTAGAAAATCCATAAAAATAAAGCGGAGCATAAATTCAGTTTTTCATTAGCTTCTGTCGCTAGCTGCAGTGTTAGCCTAGAGTCGCTCTTTTTGTCTCTTTTTGGTCGGGATGTTGTTTACCAGCAGTGTTGCTTGTTGATGTCATTCTCTTAAAGTTTCCAGTAAATCATAAAATTTGCCAGTCAGTCACTAAGTTCACAGGAGCCACCACCGAATGCGACGGTGTCGAAGCACGGCGCCACCAGAAGTCCAGTTATTTCATTTTTGATGGCAACTCTGTTGCTGTCATGTTGCACACTTTGGAGCAACAACAGAGTCGAGTTGTGATAAGAGCGTGGGTTTCTAGCTGAAGGTTTTGACTGGACTGGTTTTAGTTTAGCAGCCTGATGTAACTGGTTTTCCTGTAAACTGACCTGTTTGTTGAACTTTAACCTTTAAATCCAGTGTTGCATCATCATCAATAACCCGTTAAAACTATTTCCTTGAATTCAAAGCAGATGAAGTTGCAGTGTGAGCTCCTCAAAGTCGCCTTCTTTTCCCATACGATGAGTTATTGGTAACTGATTATTACTCAGGTTGTGTATTTATTATGCAGCGTTTTTTCCTGTTGTCAGAGGAATCTGTTAACTGACAGGTTTGACTTCCTGAGATATTTAAAGCCTAAAAATATCCACATCTGTTCCACAATCTTTCTATATTTAGTCATTTTACAACAAACCACTTTTATGTCACAGATCAACATGAAATACTTTCCCTGCTCTCGCATTGATGAGTTGTTGGTGAAATAAAACATGAAGCAAGCTGGTTGATTTTTACTTTATTTAGACTGGACCAAGATTTTACAAAACCAATAAGACTCCAGTTTCAGTACGATCACAATAATTCGCTGCAAAAACACAAAATCTTACCAAGTATTTTGAGTTGATTATTTCTAGTGCAAATATCTTAGTACACAAAAAAGAAAACTAATTTATAAATAACTTTTTAGCGAGATGTAGTAGCTTATTTTCAGTCAATAAATTCTTATTAAAATATGTTGTTAATGTAATTATTTGGATTAATTATATTGTTGGAAGTCATTGGTCAAATGTCTTGTTATAACATTATTTTGCTTATAAGACATTTTTCCCATGTTAAGAGTGAAATAATCTACCAGTGGAACTAAAACTTTTTAATGATAATTAAGGAGTTATTGATTTGAAACGAGATCAGATTTCTTGCGGAAATACTGATTAGTTAGTTTTGTTTTATTTCAAGTGTACAAGGATATTTGCACTGGAAACCAGTTAAAAATAATGGGGAAGATTTTCTGATCAGTGTTCATGAGAAACGTGAAATGTAATTTTTGGAGGAAAGACTTTTCCTCTGCCTGGTTGAAATGTCTGCTGGAGGTTCAGGAGGTGGGGAAGATGAGGAAGCCGGTGAAGCTGTGGCTGGTGCTGCTCTGTGACACCACTATGCCGTTGTACCTGGTTGGCTCCACAAAAATTGTATCTCCGACTTCCAGGTCCAGAACCACCGAGCCGGACGTGACCAAGAAACCGTCGGCGCCGTCGCACAGCGTGAATTGCTCCTGGCTGCCCTTCATCAGCTTCAGACACACCTGGGTGGTGAAATCATGGTGAAACTCAGCCTGGCATCTACAGGTAAAGCAGACGGTCTGATGCAGAACATGAGACTCACTCGGGTCTTTGCTGAAACGTGGAAACTGAAGAAATACACTCCTTTGATTTTACACTGGAATGTCCCGTTTACCAGCGTCTCTCCTTGAAACTGTAGCGCCAACTCAGGCAAAATCACTCTGCAGGAGTTTAAAGCACATGTTTATTTTGTTCAAAAGTGAAATGTTGGTTCTACAGTTTGTTGGAGTAATAAAAGGTTTTTGCTTTAGAAAACAAGTTTAAGTTCATCTGTAATAGAACTTCAGAAGAGCTGCAGCTTTTTTACCAGGTTACTGCAGATAAATGGTTAGGAAAGGATGGATGGATGGATGGATGGATGGATGGATGGATGGATGGAATGTTAGAGGGTTGGATGTATTGATGTACGGTTGGGTGAAGGGTCAGACGTATTGCTGGATGGATGTAATCCTGTATGGTTAATTGGATGTATTGTTGGATGCATTGATGTATTGTTGGATGCATTGATGTATTGTTGGATGCATTGATGTATTGTTGGATGCATTGATGTATTGTTGGATGCATTGATGTATTGTTGGATGCATTGATGTATTGTTGGATGCATTGATGTATTGTTGGATGCATTGATGTATTGTTGGATGCATTGATGTATTGTTGGATGCATTGATGTATTGTTGGATGCGTTGCTGGATGTACGGTTGGATCCATGTTGGCCTCAGTAAAGCCTCCAGTCTGGATCCTGATTTCGGCTCCATCTGAACCTTTCAGTCCAGATGAACCAGAACTTCGGCCGGTTCCTCTCACCTGTTGAAGTTAATCGGCGCATTCATCTCTGCTACATTTGAAACGGCTCTCTTGTTGGAGAAGAAGTATTTCTGCTTGTTGGACAGGCTGAAGGGTTTTCCCTTCTCCCCTTTCTGCCCCGGGAATCCGGCAGGGCCCGGCAGACCCATGTCCCCCTTTATACCGGGCCGGCCCGGCGGGCCCCGCACACCTGCCACCCCTTTCTGACCCCTGATTGGCTGACCTCCTTCACCTGTTCAGGGAGGTAAACACTGATTAAATGCCTCATCGGACTGAGTGACGTTTCCCCAAAACCTTCTCCAAATCTACCAGAACTGGTGTCAATCAACTCAACTACATTTGCGCAGCAACAATTTGTGTTTTCTGCTGTCATTTTAAAGATTGCAATAAATGTTTCCAGAGGTCACGAAAGGTCAACCAGCCTCCCACCTCCTTCAAATCAGAGAAAACTGGTGACGATCAACTCGATATGCTTGTGCAGCAAAATATTTTGAGCTGCTGTTGCTTTGAAGCTTTTGATTAAAGTTCAAAGGTCAACCAGCCCCCCCACACACACATTACCCAAAATCTAACTAAATAATTGTTGTGGGGGCAACTTCACTCAGGGCTCTAATCAAAAACAGAAACGTAAAAGATGTTTGCTGAAACACCAAACTCCCTCTACTGTATCACCACAAAGTGAAAAAGATGAACTGGAGTCCAAGTTCTGTTCAGCTCACCTGGATCTCCTTTCTCCCCTTTCACACCGTCCTGTCCGTTGGGTCCGTGGCTCCCGGGGATCCCGGGGATCCCGGGGATTCCTCCGGTGCAGGACTGCATGTCCACCGGGACGATGCAGACCAAGAGAAGCAGCCATGCAGTACTGCAGCTCAGCCACTGGGGGGCCTGAACAAATACAAATAGATTAGAAATAGATTTTCACTCAAAATCATGCGACACAGTCTGAGCTTTCTCCTCTCAGCTTCGGTTCTCCTACCTGCGAACAGAACAAGTTGTGAAAAATGTGGTTGATTTTCTGCGCCGTTTTAGACTCGCAGTCTGTCTGATGACAGCGGAGGACGTGAACAAAGCCGTTCAGTCCATGGTGGCCCAAATATTAAATTAACATTAACGTTCAGATCGGCTCTTCTCTCCTTGCAGTGGAGGACGCTTTGTTTACAGCAGACGACTTCCGGTAAGCTTCATAGTCTCAAACTGGCCACATGTCACATGTTCACAATTTAAAAGGCTTCTCAATAACCGCCCGAAACCCAAAGCCTCTGTATGGAGCACATAGATTTTGCCAAATAACTCAAAATAGCAAGAATTTAGAGAGTTTTTTGTTTTGTTTTTTTAGTTTTTTTCCACATTTTCTGCTACAGCGTTCATGCTGCTTGAACTGTCCCACATTTTTTCACATTAAAACCCACATTTAAATGTATTTTATTGTGATGGAGCAATGCAAACAATATCTAGCAGATCCATCAATAAGTGGGCAAATGCAGCATTATTCCATGTTTTGCCTGCTGTCAGCAGGAATTGTAAGGCATCATGCAATTCACCATCACTGAAACTCATTTCAAATATTGAGGACAGCAGAGATGATAGAACAGACTATTTTTTTCCCAGTCTATGTATTTTTCTTAAAGCCAGTGGAAAATCACAATCCAGAGAGCTGGCCAGTTCAGAAAATTCGTCACCAATAGTTCAGCCTAAAGAGGAAGAATAATACATTTTTCACACTCCACAAAATTGATATAAAAATGTCTGAAATCTTACTCAAATATAGTAATTTCACTTTAGCCACTAATAAAGTAACATGACCTAAATTATCTTAATCTGTGCTGTAATCCAGATTATTTAGACAAACTGAGCATCAACTCATTTTAACATTTCATCTGGATTTTATGTGGAGTTTTGAGCAAATTACATTTAATTTTATCTCAGCATTAATCCAGCATCTCTTTGCTGCTTTTTCGTCAGTTTTCTGAAGGTCTGACCTTCAGGGAAGCTGCACACATCTTCATCTAGCAACGTTTTTCTTTTACGATTTGAACTTTACTTCATGTAGCACAACATTTTATAAAATATGAGTCTCACCATTTGCAGTAATGATGTCCGTCGTCCTGCGGTGCAGTAGTAAGACGATGTAAAGTTGTCCTGCTATGCAGAATCGGAAAGAAAACATGAAGTGAAACTGAAGAGAGCAAAAATCCCTCTGCTGGTGTCATTGAAGCATTAAAGCAGTTTTTAGGATACAACATAGACTTTCACTGTAGGAAGCTGGGAAAATAATGACTTAAAACGTGTTAAATATTAATTTATCACCTGGAGAACACTTTATTTAATTTAAATAAATCCAAAGTTTAAAGTCAGACTCCTGGTCCAGTTCTGGACTTTACAACCTGCCTGGTGTTTTTAAATCCTGACAGTTTCCACAACGCCACGCTAAGTTATCATACTTTTCCACCCTTCATCGCATTAGGATAAAAAATAAATGTTTTAATGCATTTTTATTTGGATTTAATATCACAGACCGAAACAAAGTAGTACAACTAAATGACATGAAAGGAATATCTTTCTCTTTTTTTGCACGGTGGTGCAGTTGGTAGCACTGTTGCCTTGCAGCCAGAAGGTTTGATTCTCCGGGTTCTCTTATGGTTCTCTCCGGGTTCTCTTCAGGTTCTCTCCGGGTTCTCTTCAGGTTCTCTTCGGGTTCTCTCCAGGTTCTCTCCGGGTCCTTTCCGGGTTCTCTTCTGGTTCTCCGGTTTCCTCCCTCAGTCCAAAAACATGACTGTCAGGTTAATTGGTCTCTCTAAAAGGTGAGTGATGGCCACCAGAACCCATCCAGATCCCACCAGGAGACCATGGATGGATTGAGGAAAATTTTTCTGATTAAGATTCAACAACCTCACTCTGATACCCTTAAATAAAAACCAGAGCAACAATTGAATCCAGAAGCCGCTTAATTAATATTGTAGAAAACGAGGAGCGTAAACGATGTTTGGATTAACATCGTTTAACTTCTCCACTCTAATCCCATTGGGTAGTTTCATTACAAATGCTTAATGATGACATCAGAAACACGTGGATTAAACTTAATCAAAAATAGTCAATGCTGGTGAATGTAGAAAATTAATGAATATGTTCAGGGGTCGACCAAACCAGGGAGGGATTGTTTTGATCCAGCTGGTAATTACACATTATTAACTGTGAGGTTCCTCAAGGTTCCAACCTGGGCCCACTTTTATTAACAGTCTGTCCCTCCTAACATGTCCCTCTGCTCAAACAAAAACAAAACAGAGACATAAAATTAATAGGATAATTAACAGATAAAACAAAATAAATTTCCCTTCAGTTATCCTGCAGACTAACTTTCATTAGTTTATTTTTTTACATGTCACTTTCCAACATCTTGATTCAATTCTCATTTTTTAAAGTGACACAGGAGCCAAAAACTAAAGGAAAACTTAAAAACACCTTCAGAGCAGCAGAAAGACTTGATGAGATCATTTGAGGGGCGTCAGGGAAACTGGCTGCTTGGAAACGAGGGTTTGAATGGAGACTTTTGCACGATGCACAGAAACACACAAAGTGTCCCTGCAGAGTCAAAATGGTCACTTTTTATTTTCCTCTGGTTTGTTTCACTGCCAGCTCCAGTGAAACTTAACACTTAATCTGATCCATGAGGTCAAAAATTCAGTTCTAGTTCAAAACACATTTACATATTCATATTGTTTTTGTCCTTTGTGGTTTGGTTGAGAAAACCAACCCAGAATGAAAAATGAAAAAGAGGATCTGAGCACAAGAGAAGCTGACCGAGCAGCTTATTTATTGATATAAAAATATTGTAGCTTGATTCTGCTGACGATATTAAATCAATTGTGGAACAGATACTGAGATCCATGCAGATCCATTTCTGTGTTTCAGTGAATCTGGACAGGAAGTTCAGAAAAACGGAACAAAATGTGAAATGTTTGGTTTTATATCTGCCCTTTATTGCTTCATCATCACTTCTTTATCACCAACTTCCTGTTTAAATATTTCACTTCTGTGTCCACAAACAAAAGATTGCAAAATTACTGAATCAGAATGTTGGGAGGTGAAGCATCAACACTTCCAACGTTTAATCTTCCCCATCCTGAACTCATCATGTTAAATACACAAAACGTCCTGCACACCAGAAAACAACTCTTCTTCTTCTTTTGCATTATAAAACATCACATTCCATAATTTTCATTATTTTGATTTTAGAGTTGGTTATAATACAGTTATAAAATAAGACCAACTAACACAAAACACCATCAATAAAATGCTTGTATTATGGGGTTGATTGTAAAATTACAGTAAAACTTAGCAGGAAAACTGTAGATTGTTTTATTTTCACCTCTTCAATCAAACATTTGTAAATGTCACAGTTCCAACTAAACATGAATGTAGGTTGAAGTGCTTTGGGATCCACTGGATAAAGCGCTATAATTACTGGCAATTTAGCTTTTAAACTTTTAGTTAAACGATAAATGTTTCTGTTGAAGCTACATTAAATGTTTAATGTAGCTTCTCCAAATTAGACAAATTGTTGTCAATCAAGTCGACTTCCTTTGTGTTGGTTTGTGCAGCAATATTTTTTGTTTGTGTTGCTTTTGCTTTGAAAATATAAATAAAAGTCTAAAGGTCAATAGGTCAAACGTCCCCCTACATTAGTCAAATCTAACAAAATTAGTGTCAAAGTCTAGTTGTCTGCTTGTGCTGCTTTTGGTTAGAAAATATTGATGATAACCTCTAATGACCTACAGAAACATTTTCATTAATATCTTTGAAATGATAGCAGCACAAACGTTTGATTTATTAGATTTTAATAGATTTGAAGATGAAGGTGGAGGATCTCCACTCAGGTAAAGGTCTCAGGTGTTTGCAGATAAATAAAACTTCTCTCTTCTTCTGGTAAATCAAAATATTTAGTTCCAACTGGAATCAGAAATGAACTCAATGAGAAATCTTAGAGTTTTTGTTGCCACTCTCTGTTCATAATTTATAAGAATGATGAGTTAAAATACAAAAATAAAGGAATGAAAGAAATGGGACAGGTTTAGGTTTGAGCAGAAAATCTTTTACTGGTGACACAAAAGTGATAAAAATCCAACCGAGGAAATGAATTAAACTGAAAAACATTCTCAACATCTGTTTGGGTTTTCAGTAAAATCTGAACAGGTTCATGCTGCAGGTCAGTAAGGGTGCAGCAGAAACCCAGAGAAGATGCTGAAGCCGTTTCCTCTTCCTGTCATCCCTCTGTGCTCCCGGGTCTCCAGCCAGACCTCCTGACCCTGAGACACGTAGACGGCCAGCCCGCCCGACGTCACCTGGAACCAGAGGAGACCTCAGTCTGACTGCTTCATGTGCATCAAGGGAAATCAATACGCTGGTAGTTTCTTGATTTGCAGAAAAACCAGATTAATTCCCAAACAACAGAAGTTTAACAGAGTTCAGCAATAATTCAGACATCAGAGTAAATGTCGGCATCTTGCTCAGGCTTTGAGGGTTACAGATGCGGTGTTTTTGGGAAATTGTAGTTGGCGATTTTACACTTTGTGTCATTCAACACGTTGAAATGACGCAAAATGTTTTATGGAGCCAAATGCAAAACAAAAACAAACCATCATCCTCCCACTGCTTCCTGACGTCTTCTTCAGCGTTTCTGCCAGTAGTAACATGACTCTTGAAAAACCTCCTCATCCTTATAACTTTTGAGTTTTTTCAAAATTGCTGTTTCCGTTAAGCAAATGTATTTTTGTAATTTCAATCTGTGCAATAATAAGGGAAAGCAGACGCTGACGGGATTTCAGCAGGGATGGTTCAGGACGGTTCCTCTCAGGACTGGATTTTGAATAGAAAAGACAAACTGAAGAGTCGCCTCCCACTCTGACCTGTTTTTTGCGGCGAAGGTCACAAAACGACGTCAGCAGGTTGTTGTCGAGCTTCAGCAGCACGCAGAGTTTTTCATCCAGAGACGCGTGATACACGAAGTAGTACATCCCCGACACCCGACACCTGCAGCCCAACACCAGCAAAGGCAGGAGGGAGAGATTCTTAAACCTCGTTTGGAAAAATCGAATTGAAAGCAGAGTTTGAAATGCTCACCTGAAGTGTCCCGTGTCTGTGTTGAAGTCATTCTGGATGTTCGTTATGACTTTAGAGAACCGAATTGTGCTGCTTTTGCCAGGATACACAGACGTTGCTCTGGCCACACTGAAGGCCGCCTTCTGCTGATCCGCAGCCGACCTGCAGAAAACAGGAAGGTTCTGGTTCTGAAGCTGACAAATCAACTTTTTCTTACCAGATTTTATTCAGCGAGTGACAGAATTAATGCAATGCTATGTTTATTTCCTCATTCGACTTGGTTTAGGCCACATGTTTCCTCGCCTCCAGTGCTTTTCTGGTGGAGGTCTGTTCTGGCTAAAACAAGGTTGTTCCACCCTGCAGTCACCCTGTGCTTGACCAGGAAGTGAAAATCTGATGTGATTTTCAGGCTCCTTTGATAATTAATGTGACTTTAATGCGTAGCTTTAGATGAAAATAAGCTCCCTGTTATAAAATAGAAACAGACTTTATTTTCCCACAACAAAAGTTTAACAACAGCTTAAAAGTTTTCAAAACAATTTATAAACAACAAGACTGCAATAATGATGAAAGTAATAATAATTAATAATAATGAAGCTTGAATCTGATTTAATTGTTGAATTAGACCATTTGGTCTTTAAACAGCTTTAAAATAAACTTTGCTGTTAATTTGCTTTAAAAATAAACTGAAATACAAAAAAATTCTTAATATTTTTCAAAGGGGTTTAATTCATCAATGCACTGCAATATAATAAAATTCAGATTAAAGACTTTAAGTGTTTGGTGGCTTTGGCAGATTTCTTCCTTCTCATTTTCTGGCTGAACTCATTTTCTGGCTGAAATTTTACACTTTAATCTTTTTCTGAATGTTTTATTTTTAAGCTAATTTAAGGTTCTGTTTCTGCATTGAAACTCCTGCATATAAAATAAATATTTTAACTATTTTAAATCATTGAGGTGTTTGTAATGTTGATTATTTATCTTTCTCTTGTAAAGTTTTATAAAAATGAGATTTATTATTATTTTTGCTTGTCAGAGTTGTTGTACCCAGCTTCTCCTGGATCTCCTGGAAGCCCAGGAATCCCTTCGCTGCCCGGTTCTCCTGGTTCCCCTGACGGGCCTCGTTTGCCAGGCGGTCCCGCCAGGCCTGGTTCCCCCTTCAGGCCCTTCTGGGGCCCCAGGCTGCCGGTCCGTTCTGCTCCTGGTGAACGACAGTAAGTGGAGGTTTTCATTTTATTGTTTCTTCAGAGAACCTGGACCAGATCGGTGCTGCTCCACTACAATCTCATACTGAGAAATACATTTTTAAAATATATTAAACTAGAAACAGAAATTAACCTGGTTTTTATATATTATTAAATATTATTAAATGTTATTAAATATTTTTGGTGACCAAAAATATTTAATTTTTCTCTTAAAATGAGTTAGGCAAACCAGATTATGTGTACAGAAATGAAGAGAAAGTTGTTTTATATTCATTTAAAATTGATAATAATTTAAAATATCTGTGCACTTTAACTGTTTAATTGAACTCCAGTTCGTTTGGTGAATTGTGAATGTGGAACTGAACTCTGGACCTGCAGACCTCGGTCTCGGTTCAGCTGAAGTGAACTCTGGTTCAGTTTGAATGCATGTGTGAACGTTAAGCAGACTGGCTCCAAAAGCAGGAAGTGGACTACAACCCAGGGCATTCTGGGTACATACAGCCAACACAAACCCACTAGTTTAGCGTTAGCGGGAGAAATGGCTCGTAGCCAAAGACAAAAAGAGAAATCCTACAATAATCTGATAAAACTCCATTTTCAGGTTTTCACGTCGTTTCCTTTAGTGGGTTTTGGTGCATTTAGACACAAAAATGATTTAGACCCAATTATTCACCACGTTGTGGTATTTTGGTTCATTGCATCAAAATCCATTGGTATAGATTAAAATGTTCGGCTGTAATGTGAAGAAATAAGAAAGTTTCAGCGGCATTAGTTAATCACCATAAAACATAAATTAATATCTCAACATGAAAACCATCAAAACCATATTAAACCACATTAAACCGGATCTGACAACGAAAGATCAAACATGACAAACGCTTTGGAAAATCTACCTGGATCTCCTTTCTCTCCTTTCTGCCCGTCGCGGCCGTCTCTACCGGGAAGTCCAGGAATACCTGAGGATGCACAAAACGTCACAGAAACCCCCGACAAACAGTCCATCCTGATGTGCAAACATCCATACACACCTGGCATCCCTGGCATTGCTGGACATGTCTCCATGGCGACCAGAGGAGGTCCAGCCAATGAGAGCAGAGCTCCCGCAAGGAGGAAACAACGGAGGAGCATGAAGCTAACGAGGAGAAGACCAGAGGAGAGGGGTCAGATATGTGAAAATGAAATATAATTAGAAAATCAGGTCAAAGGAGAAAATAACAGGAAATATTCAAGAAAAAACAGGGAGAAGGGAATTAAGAAGGAGACGCAGTGAAAAGTCTGACAAAACCTGAGAAACTTAATAAAGGAGATAACCATAAAACCAAAAATCAGCATTAAAATAAATTCACTGAGGATCCAAAACATACCCGAGGGACTGAAAACCAAACTGAAGAGAAGCTCCGAGTCCTGCAGCGGCCGGACGAGGAAGTCAGCACAAAGTCGTGTGAGGAAAGATTTCTGAGCCGACAGTTCTGCATTTCTGGGAGGGTTCAGACGGCCACAGAGATCCAGAGACAGAACCGAGTCCCAACAGCAAACCAGTCACTTCCCAGACCCGGGAAATCGACTTAAACTTCACAAAATACTCAACATCCAGAACATTCAGAGACGGTTTGGACCTCATCAGAACCACAGGAGGGAATAAGAGTCATCGTGTCTGTTTGTTTTTATTATTGCTCAACAGGTCTTGCCATATTTGCTTTTTTTATCTTCCATTAATCAGAAAAGTGAAGGAAAAATCAACAGTGAAACCATGACGACAAACATGGTTCCATGGTTTCCACAGTACTGAGACTGGTCTAGTCAAAGTGTTCAATGACATCCATATAAACATGGGAGTGTGGAAGAACCAGTGCTGGTTCTGTTGGACCTCAGTGCAGCTTTTCACACCGTTGACTTTCACATTAGTTGGTCCAGAGCTCAGCCAGGTCCAGTCAGACACGAGGAGCTGAGATTTCTTTGTTTCAATAGGAAACTTCTCATCAAAGTGGACAGAAGTCATGCGGGGTTCCCCAAGGCTCAGTCCTGGACCTCCGTGATTCAGTAACTACATGAACATCTACCTCATGATGTCACCAGGTGACTCAGAACCAATCACTGGATAAATGTTGAGAACAGACAAACAGCTGAACAGAAACAGAACTGAAGGTTTTATCTTTGGACCCAAAGAGGAGTGAGCAAGAGTCAACGCACAGCTTCAGTTATTACAGCTGGAGGCTAAAGATCAGGCTGAACTCTGACCTGGACATTCAGAGACACATAAAGACAGTTACAAAGTCAGTCTTCTATCACTTGAAGAACTGGATCGGAGGACTAGTGTCCCAACATTAGAAACTCAGCCACACATTTATGTTTAGCTGCATTTATTACTGCAGCAGTGATAATGTCATTGTTATAAGTTGATTATATTGTTTGTTACTATGGTTTCTCAGTTTTTGTCTTTTTCTCTCTCGTTTCTTGTCGTTCATTCTCTCCTCTGTTCTCATTTTCTTTATTTCCTTTTAACTCTTTACCTCTCTTCTTTATTTGTTTTGTTTTCTTCCCTTTGTTTTCTGTCTCTGTGTCTGTTGTATTTTAGGTTAAGTATAACATTTTTGAATTATACATGCAATATTATACACAGTAATACTCCAAGATCTGTGGAATATCACAGCAAAAACTGTAATACTCCACTCGTGAAAGTAAATCTGTTTCTGATTGTTGCACTGTTGAAAAAAAGTCTCTAGTTTGCGGTGAAATACTTGCAGCCAGGTGAGCCAGAATTTTACTGTGTAAATACGGGTTTTACTGTATTTAAAAGATTTCACATATAAATATGGTAACATTTTATAAAATCTGTTTTTATACGGTGAAATTCTGGCGACTGCAGCTGCTGGTTTTAGAAATGTTTTTTTTACAGTGTAAAGTATCAAACAGGGCACATAAAAAATGTGAAAAAGATATTTCCAGTATTATTATGTCCAACAATGATACTAATATTGATGTTTTTCTCAGTTACGTTAAATTCTTTGTTTTATTTCATCTTATTCCTAAAACAGAGAAGCTAAGCTAATGACCAAAGTCTTTTTTATTCTCTGGAGCTTTGGGCCGACTCCGGTTCGGTTTTGTTTCAGCCTGTAAAGGATTGAGAAACACTGGAGCTCCACTGTGACAGCAGGCAAAGGTCACTTCAGGCACAATGATCCAGAAAGAGGATGTGCAGAAACCCGACTTGTTTCGTTTCCTTCACACAGTTAAAGTTATGAACTCAAGTTTGGGCGGCTGCTGATCACAGCTCAAAAATGGCAAAATTTATGTTTTCAAAATCAATTTTAAAAAATGGAAAATCTAATGTGCAACACAAAGTATTCAAGGTTTAACTTTTAATTAATTTCTTTAGGAATAGGGACTAAAAACATCCTGCGACAGCCTTTTAATATGCTTGGAAAAATAAAGCCAGAGTGAATCACAAACTGTTCCACAAAAGAAAAAAAGACAGAAAAGAGAAAAATAATTTAGATTCTTTTATATTTTTTTTTATCCAGCAAACATTAAAGAGCCTTTTTTGTTTTAAGTCTACAAAGAATTGCAGAGATCTGACTGCTTTGCTTATTTCATTACAATATGGTGTGGTAAGTGTGTTTTATTATAATTATTTTCTAAAGAAACAAAAAGCATTTTGTGGCACTTGGAGTGGTTGCAACAGTATTCCCAAACGTTTAGACACCTCTCCATGAAATGATGAACTTCAGGCTCGGAGTCAGAGGTTATTAAAAATCCATCAGCTCTAAAATGAGTAAATATGAAAACATTTCAGAAACTGACATCAAAGATGGTTAAATGTCGCAGGAGGAGGACTCGGCTAGTTTTATTATGAGTTTGAGAAGATCAGGAAGCCGTTGAAGATGATCAGTTTTTCTCTGACGTCTCTTGCGTCGGCGTCTTTCTGGATCTGCAGGCTTTGCTGCTGGTCTCTGTAGGACTCCAGCCAGACTTTCTGTCCCGCCGTCAGCTCCAACACGACTCCACCGGACAGAACCTGGAAAAAACACAGCTCATCACATCACGGCTGAGAAGAAACGCTCCGGCTCTCTGCTGGCCGTAGGGCTTTTATCCAAAGACAAATGTCACGTTTTAGAGGCAGAAAAAACGTAAATCCTGACATATGAAGCATAAACATGTCACAGGGTGAAAACTTTAGTATGTATTTATCAGTTGAGGACATAAAAATTAACACAGATATAAGAAGCTGGAAGAAAGATAACAAGAGAAAAGGAGAAGTTGTTTTAAAAGCCACCATGTAACTTTTATAAAAACAATTTGTTCTCTTATTTGTTGAAACATGTTGTACCAGTTTGATAATCTGTGAAAACATTGAGCTCCTACTGGTAACTAGAAATAACTAATCAGAGCTAGGAGGCGGGTCTTGGCGCTGTCAATCAAGCTCTTGTGCATGCTTCCTCAGTTTTTGCAGTTTCTCTCAATCAGCAGAACCTTTCCTCGATGCTAAGGCTAGTTAGCATACCCACCGATGACAGCTCATACATGTTTTCTTGTAAGGTGTCTGACCCCCTTTAGCACTTGCTAAGTGCATTCATGAGGATTATTGACAGCGCTAAGACCCTCCTCCTGGCTCTCATTGGTTGTTTTTGGTCAGGAGCGGTAAATTTATTCAGATAGGAATAATAGTACTGGGAGGAGATCGATCTTTTACATCTTTCTCATATTGTCCCGTCACAAATGTGTAGAAAACAAATTTTCTTTAAATAAAAGTTACATACTGCAGCTTTAAGGCGTTTTATTCGATGTAATTTGGACTCTTACCTGATCAGAGTTCCTAACGTTTTCATCACAAAACACTATTTTCTCAGCTTCTCCTTCTTTGACTAAAGCCAGGCACATACTGACCTAAAAACACATGCAGACGTTCAACAACATATTCTTACAGCGTTTTAGCCAAAGTTGCAGTGTAACAAATCAGTGGAGGCTTACCTTGGCAACGGAGTGGAAGGTGAAGTAATAAAAACCAGGTGTTCTGCAGGTGAAGATGCCGGTGTTTATGTCGAAACTGTTGCCAGTGTTGACGATGGCCTCCTGATAAGTTATTTTCTGACAGGAAACAAATGTCACTTTCAGCTTCAGTCATGACTATTATACTAATAAATCATGTAGAAATGTGGCCTTTAGCAAACCTGGTTGAAAGGTGGATATTTGGCGACATTTCTCTTCACAGAGAAAGCGGCGGGAGTTCCCTGATTGGACAAACTTTGTCCTGAAAACACAGAAACATTCATTAAGCCAGCAGTGTCCAAACTTTTTGTTATGTGGGCCAGAATAATTCCAGCCCAAAAAACCTCTGATCACAGAACGATTTAAATAAAATCAATTAATTCTGTCTGTTTTTTCTCTTGTATAAAATGTGGATCCAACACTTGAAAAAGATTTTTTTATGTTGTTATAATATTAATTCACTTCTTCAGAGTCTTTGTAGATCATGATGGGCGTTGCAGGACAGATCTGCTGTAGCAGTCTGTGCTACAAAGAAACCTCTGACTGAAGTCACTTTGTTCTCTCATGAAATTCTTCTCAAATTCTTTTTGAACAAAACTATTCTGTTATAAGAATTCAGTTTCTTTCAAAAACCTCCCTATATTTAATCAAGTTTAATAAATTAAATAAAAGCTGATTTACGGTTATTAAAATAATTTATATTGTTGGTTATAATTTTACCCTGATTGCCTAGAAAAAGTTTGCATTTGAATCATTCTTGAATTGCAGAAAAAGAACCTGCTGAGCCCGGTTCTATTGAGCGCCAATAGAACCGGGCTCAGCAGGTTTTCTGGGGGAAACCTGAAACATTTCTGTCCAAATAACTGAAATCAGCCTCCATTTCCTCCTGTTGAGTTATTTTCTCTGTGAACTTTGTGCCTGTCAGAGTGTTTGTTGTAGCGTCGTTGTGTGTGCAGCGGACTGTAGATTACCGGCGTTGCGGTTTACCCCCGCTGGACCGGGTGGACCAGGCCGGCCGGCCGCTCCTGCTGCTCCCACATTACCACGGTAACCCTGTGGACCAATCGGCCCGTGTGGCCCCGAGTTTCCTTTGTCCCCTTTCAGCCGCAGCAGCATGTTTGGATCCACTTGGTCGTCCACCCAGACAGCTGAGGAAAAAGTGAATAGAGCAAAAACAGGGATTGTTCTAGAAGTTGCAGCGTTACCCAGAAGGCAACAGTGCAAACCCTGAAGTTCAGACACAGCTGCAGAAATCATTTAATGCGTGGTCATTGATCAAACTAAAGGTTTCAACTCTGTGCAGCTTTGTTCAGTCCAGTGACAGAAGTGTGTTTAATACACATAAAGACGTAACGTAGTCATAAACTCAGAAATATTTAGAATCCGTCAATAATCGATATTGATAAAGTTATGAAATTACATATTTTAGAAAAACTTAAAGGTGATTTATTATGCTTCTTTGAACAGGTTAGGATAGATGTATCTTCATTACGTTTCTTGCACAAAATCATTTTCAGATAATGAGATTTTAATCTGCTCAGCTATGTTTTAGGGCGTCCTGTCACTTTAAACCTGCAGCTGGCCACGCCCCTCAACTCAACGTTTGCTCTCGCATTTAAAAATGGCTGCAAACAGAATCACGATCATACAACAGTACATGTTTGAAAAGCAGAAGTGGAGCCAGAATGTAGAAAGGGGTTTCTGTTTGGTAAATCAACAACAAAACGTACGTCTTTTCCAGCAGCCATTGTAACAGGCTGTGCTCATTTTCCAGACATCAAAAAGCAATAACTTATTCCCAGCTAGTGTTTTTTTTAAGTGCTTAGTTTGTTGTTAGTAGCAGAAGGAATCCAAGTGGAAGTAAAAAACATGTAAACTAAGAATTTTGCATAAAATTCCAGCATGACTTGGGTTTCAGCAGGAAGATGTTACCTGGCTCTCCCTTCTGGCCTTTCATCCCAGCCAGCCCGTCTCGTCCAGGAGGTCCAAGTTCTCCTGGACGTCCGTTACAGTTCACATCGCATTCGACGGTTGACAGCAGCAAAGCAACAACGGACAGAACTGCACAGACAAAATCAGCTCCCATGGCTCCAAACGCTGGGGAGAGACAACAGGAAACAGGCAGGGCGATGAAACGTCTTGGTTTCACATTAAACTTTATATTAAAGTTTAACGTTAAAAGAAACGTGTCTACAGAAAGCAGCAGCCAACATGTTATCAGATTACTTTTGATTTAGGGCTTATGTTGCATATGACAAAAACAATTCATGCTATAAAACTATAAAAACTTTACAGTTAAAGTAATAATTACAGAAGAAAAATCTCATCCTTAAATTGTGAAAAACAGATAAATTTATCCAAACTTAACATTTTGGTTTTGACACAAAATGGAAATTAAGAGCTTCTGTAAGAAGGAATGCAAATTTATACTATTTATTTAAGAAACAAAGAAAAATACCAGAAAGTAACATTTTTTCTTTTGAGTGTCAGTATATTTTTTTCTATCCAATAGAGGAAGTTATTTCTTTAAAGTCAAGCAGCAGTGTTGTTGCAAATGGATGAAATGCATAAAAACTTATATCCAAAGCTTTTCTTCAAAATGTTTGCCCGTTTTAATAATCTTAATGTTCAGAGTCAGGAGAAACCATCTTACCGGCGGAGCTCTTCCAGGTTCGGAGGAGCAGCATCAGATGATATTTCCTCTTTATTGAACTGAAGATTTGCTGACTTACTGAGATCTGCAGACATGCTCACGTAGCACAAACACCCAGACAAGAGGAAGAAAATGAAACCCAAGAAGAAGAACCACCCAGAGCTGCTGCATTAAGATGTAATTAAAAATGGGTTTTAGCTCCTGCAGTCCTGAAATAAACTGCTTAATTCTGTTTATAATCAGTTTTTTCCTTGAGAAAAATCCCATCTTTGATTCACATCTAAAAACCTTCCGGCCGAAACCTCAGGACATTTGGAATAAAGCCTCAAATCAGTCTGCAACTTTATTTGTGCACAAAAGAAATTTTCTAACTTAAGACCCTTTAAAACGGAACAATCTAATTTTGTAATGTTTGACTTCTCAATCAAAACAGTTTATAGGCAAAAAAACAGAAACACTTTAAACATGAATTATTTAGATATTCCTGTGAAACATCATTATCCCAGCAGAGCCTCTTGAAAGCTTTCAAATTAGCTGTAAATTTTAAGAGCTGTGGCGCCCCCATCTGGTCGATAATATAATATCGACCAGTCAACATATTATCTGGTCAATAATATAAGAATAACATTACAACAAAAAAATCATAGTAACAAAAATATATATACAGTCAAAGTGTATTTCCAGCTTTTATTTTGTCTTTTTTCCATTAGAGTTAAAGTAATTTGTTCCCAGTTTTATTTTCTGGCGCTCAGGTTTTACATAAACCAGAACAATGGTTCTGCAAAGCGGCTATTAAATGCATGTTGGAAACTTTCTATTAAAGGAAATCAGCCGTCCAGCTCCATCGATTCTTTGACTTTCTGCACATTGTGATTGACGGCTGCCTCTAAAACCTGAACCCAGGTCAGCTCTGCTTCTCCACACACATGGCTGGCTCTGGAGGGTGAGCACAAGTCAAAGCTGTCATCACTTAAACAGCAACATTTATCACAAACAAGTCATTTTAATGGCGGATTAAATTAATTAATAAATTACTTCTGAAGTAATAATCTCACTGGGTTTGGCTTGTGAAATGGAGCTCAGCTTTCTAATTTGATCTAATTTTAAGTTATTGACTTGAAAAGACGGACAGTTACTTTTTTCCTAAAGCGTCAGGAGGTTTGGATTACTTTTTTCCTAAAGCGTCAGGAGGTTTGGATTACTCTTTCCTCTTAATAAATGACTAGTTTCTTGTGCAAATATCTCAGCACACTTAATACAAGATACAACTAACTTACAAGTAATTTTTCAGCAATAAGTTGGAACTTATTTCAAGTCAATAATCCTTTAATATTTATGAAGGAAAAATACTCACGCCATTGAGAGATCATTTCACTTATGACATAAAAAAATGTCTTATTTGTTGTAAAATATGGGTTAATCATTATAATCACTGTAATGTTCTGCATAAATATCACAATTAGGTATTTTCTGTGCATCATGCGCTCTTGATTTTCACAGATACAAGCTACTGTGGATAAGTAAATATTACCTAATCACGTCCAAAAGTTTTCTTAACGTTGCTGCCAATGTAGACATCTAAACGGAGAAAAAGCAAGTTTGTTATTCTTCAAAAGAATAAAAAACAAAAACAACTCTATATCAATGTTATGGAAACACATTAAATATCAAAAATGGCTAATTTTTAAGATTTAAAAACAACGCCCTTATTAATTTGACGGAGAGTAAAGAAATTTATTCTATTTTTCAGAAAAATGCAGGGTTGTCTTACGTGGTTTTCCACTCCACTGTAGCTGATGGGTGGGTAGAGACAGAGGGAGAGATCTTCCACACTACGAAGGAAAACATAAAAGCAGAGAGAAAAATCTTTTGATGTCATACAAAGGAAAGTTAAACAACATTGCAAGCCTAAACATCCTGCAAATAACTTGAACCTGCTGGCAAAAACCAACATATTTGGATTTAAATGTGTAACCCAATCAGCAGGAGTCTGTTTAGTTAATGTAAAATCATTCACTTTTTCCATTTAATTGCAACTTTTTTCCATTCTCTATGTCAAATCCAGCAGAAACAACAACACCGTCTATTTACCTGGGGCTGATTTCCCGGGTGATGTCGGCCAGATCGTCCAGCTGAGCGACCTTTTGAGGTTCAGTAGTGTCACTGTTGTCTTCGACGGCTGACCTGAGTTTTTCCTCAGACAGGCTGCAGCTGTTTCAAGTATCTCCAGACAAGCTCTGATCACCTGCCGGTCCTTCTCTGTCAGGGACATGTCCTGGTGGCAGGGGGGAACGTCATGGTGAGAGCCGACTTCTGGGTCGTCAAAGACGCAGTCCCTGAACGGGTCCTCAGGTTCGAATAAGACCTGTGAATGTGAAGGAGAGAACAGCTGGTGATTTTAAGCAATAAATCTGGGTTATTGTGTAAAAATTAGGTTATTAAATAATTGTAATAAAGACAAAAACAAAGAAAAAAAACTTTGAAAAGAGTGTTAGTGATTACCTTTATTTTCTCAACAGCATCTTTTATAACTCCAGACTGAGACGACACAACGACCAGCAGGGCTTCCTTGTTGTCTGTAAAATACACATTTTTCCCAACAATAAACACGTTAAGATCTCTGAGTGTCAAAGTAAGTAAAACAGACTACTGACCAGACAGTGGTGAAACAAGTTAAACCCGATCTGGACATCTAACGTTTTCTCTGTAGGATTTTCCTTTTAGCCAAATATCAAAATATTAACTAATTATGCTAATCTTCTATTTATTACGAGGCAACATTTTTTAATGAAAATGGTTAATATTTGGCTTTGAAAGGTTAAAGGTGTGAACACTTATGCAAGTTTTCCAGTTTATTTGTCAGAATGTTCATCACAATAAATATGAAAATGTTTCTTAAGTGGTGTTGAGAGTAAATAGTTCTGTTTTTCCTTCGATCTCTTTTAGCTAGTTGCTAAAAGTTTATTTTGTCTTTGTCCCAAAGACAAAATAAACTTTTGTCTTTGGAACATTTACCATGGAAGAAAACAAACAAGCAAAAAAGATTGCTTGTTAGCGACAAGCTAAATGAAATGACGTGTTAGCTTTAAAAGGACTCTTTAGGGCGTAGCTTAGATGGAGGCGAACTAGAGAATTACCCTCTGTTTTTGGGCGCCATTTTGTCCTGAACGTCGGATGAATGAATGCCACGAGCTGATACGAACAAGCGGGAAGAAAAACAACCATAACGGACTATAATGAGGATTACGTTGTTATTATGCTGGTTCCGGTCGGATAACAACTTCAAAAGTGTAAGCTATGCTACACCGTTAGCATCTATATTTAATTCTGCTAACACTGCGCTCTTCTTCTTCTTTTCATGGCGGTTGGTAGAACACTGAGACCGGTGACGCTATTGCGCCTTCTACTGCGCATGCGGGACACTTTCAGGTCGTTTACCCGTTCACACTGGAGAACACTTACAGGCCGCATATATTGAAGGGTAAATGATAAATGCAAAACAAAACAAAAAAACAAACAAACAAAATAAAACAAACAAACAAAAAAATACAATCTGACAAAAAAATTTGAAAATGTGTCACTTCGGGCTGATGTGTGTCAGACAAAGGTAAATAAATACTCGTTTTCATACATATGTAATTGTGGAAAATTGATACATACTTGCAAATGTTTTACTCTCAAAATAAAATATACCTATCTGAAAACTAGAAGCATTTCAGTCAAACAAATGCTGATGTTAATGCAGGTGATATAAAAAAATTCACAGCTGAGTTTTGCTTTATTTGTTCCTTCTTACCTGTTGGTAGCCGAGCCAAGCGATCGCAGGCAGACCAAACTTCTCTAGTGGACGTAATCTGCTCCTGGCTCAGGCTGAATGGCAGCAGAGAGAAGAGCAGAAAGAAGGAAATTATGAAACTGCACACAAAGGAGGGAACATATCCAACAACGTCCTGATTTGTTTGATTTTTTTCCTGGTAAAAATAATATTTATAATGACGGGCTGTTTGCACACAGCCTTTCTCTAGTGATGGGTGGCATATTTAGTGTAATTTGCTTTGTGATTCCAGTGAAAAAAGGTAAACAGCCTTAAGACAACATCAGCCACAGATTTTGGAGGCTGGCTGCTTTGTAATTCCTTCCATGTTTGTGTGATGGTGATGTGTGCACCTTTGCATTGGTGAGTTGATTATGACCTCCACCAGCCGTAAAACGCCGTCCAGCACCTCCACAGTGGCGTTCCTGACCTGTCGCCGTAGCGTCATTCCTGAGACACAGAAAGGACTAAAATACTCAGCCAGACTTACAGTGCAGCAGCAAATATTAACCCAAAAAAGATAACCAGGTAAAAGATGTAAGAAATATATATGTTGAAAATATGTTTCAACATATTTTTACTCAAGTAGAAAGCAGCCGTCCAAAAAATTAGTCAATAATAAAAACGTATTTGGTAAAAAGTTTGCTCAAATACTGATCAAATTATGAATCATTTAATATTTAAACATTACATATTCAGACAAACCAAATATGAAGTTAAGTGGACATTTTGTCATTATAAGGACCAAAATGAGAAAAACCAAAAAATAAAATTTTTCTAAATCAGTTTTTCAATAAAAACCTTATGAAACTTTAATAAAAACTGCAGATGTGTGTCTGTGTTTGGTGAAGTTTTTGTTTAAACATATTTGTTTTTTATTCAGTGGATAGAAAATCCAGAAATTTTTAAGAGTAGAAACACTATAATAAAATTGCTCAAGTACAGAGTAGTAAAAATATTACTAGAAGTAATTTTTTACAAATAAATGTAATTGAGTAAATGTAACTACTATCTAACTCTGCTCTTTTGTAACTCAGATCTACATTAATTTGCTAATAAAAATTGAACTATATACAGTTTAAGAGTCACCTTGGCTTTCAGGTAGGCAGGAGTAAACTTCACTCAGAGTCAGAGTGCTGTTTATCACAGACACTAAAAGCTTTTCTCCATCCTGCAACACCTGCAAGTTTGTTTTTAGGACACAATAAGAGATTTGTATGGCAGTCCAACATGGAGAAAATCAACAGAATTCCTGAAACAAACAACTTAGAACAATTAGATGCTGTCAGATGATGTCTCAATTAACAGAATTTTGTGTAAAGATACGATTAATTGTGTTGAAAATAGCAAACTGACTTGTAAAGATGGCTGAGCAGGTTTTGAGGAGGCCATGCTGAGCAGCGTTGCCGCCATTGACACAGCCTTCACTCCCTGGTCTGAGGAAAACGGAAGAAAAGTGGGGAGACATTTTCAAAGTATTCAGTTGATACAAAATTATATTTTTATATAAAAGTCAAGTAATGCTTTATTGTAATGAGAAATAATGTGTGATGAAATGTTGTAAATAAGCTCTATACTGGAACAACTTGCATTATATATCTAATCTTATTGTGATAAAAGATGGCCATGAATAAGATGGGAGGCCACTGTAAGCTACATGGGGTCTGGAAAATGTAGATTTGTTAAGAAAACTCAACTGAAAGTGTCCCAGAACATGGAGAGATCGAATGGTTCACCCTGATCACCTGATTCTCCATCTAAAGGAAAAATAGAGAAAACACTCTTTGGCTGGGTTGTAATATAAAACCTTTTTCTATGTCACTGATTAGGTGACCATCTAACGCATAATAAATAGTAGCAGAGACAGCACTTCACATCTTTACAGACGAAGGTCTTTTTGTCAGTAAAAAAAGGTCCTTGATTTAAAAACACTTTGATTTAGAAATACTTTCCCGAAAAATACTTTACAAATTTTTAAATCAAAATAGTTTGATTCTTAAATCAAAGTATTTTGACATGTTTAGTTGTTTTTTTTCAAAGTACTCTGGATATTTAGAATCTTTTTGGCACGCTCTTGTCTGTTCAAAGATTCAATCTCCACAAATATCTATGACAGTAATACAAAGAAGTATTTGATCATGATCGTAGCTTTTCACCTAATTTTTCACTACCTTGAGCATCTTTAATTTGCTGTAGTTTAAAATCTACAGTACAAAAAGATGCAGGAACAGAGCTGAAATGGACTATTGAACTTTCACAAACTAAATAAAGGTTTTGCAAATTACAAACTGAGTTTTCAACTATCAGTACGTAACATTCTAGTCCAGGTTTAAAGAGCCTAAGTAGTTGCAGTTTTTAAACTGAAGCAGATAACAGATGCTCAAGGAAGTGAAAAATTAGTTGAACTTAACCTTTAGGAATTTCCTGATTTTGAAATTAAGCTTGGGTTTATAAAAGTAATTTAAATATACATAACGTAAAACTGCAAACCCAAAAATGCATATTGTTTTTGTTTAAAATGAATGGCAGTTAATTGTGATAATGACAAACCATAGATGTTTTTGTATGTTCTGCTGGGATCGGAGCAATGAAATATGAAAACGTTGGGGTAAATAAAAAGAGTTGACGTGAATATACTTAGAGATAAGTACAGACACATCAGGAAAATGGATTTTAAGAGACATCCTATGCGGTTTTAAATGCTAGCTCTAAATTAGCATGCAATGTTTTATTTATTTATTTTTTTCATTCCCTCCCCAATAAATAACTTGGCTATTTACCTCTGACTCGGTCTCTGATGCACTGGATGGAGTCTAGTGCATTTCCTAAAGGCACAGCGAACACTCCCGAGCAGCTTTCAGTAGCCATAAGGCCGAAATGAGATTATAGCACCTAGCAACACAACTGTTGTAAAACTGTTAAAGAGCCTCAGATTCCAGGGAGGGGGGTGCACTCCCCCCTGGAATCTGATTGGCCCCCTCTCCCCTCCGCGCCAGGTCATTGGCGCGGAGGGGACAGGGGGCCAATGATTACAGTATTGTAAGCCATCCTAATATGCGAAGAAGAAAAGCAAGCCGATACTCCAAGCCGATACATCTAGATAGCCCTTCTCCCTCTTGGCCCCCCGACTTTTAAGTCTTGCTCCACCACTGCTTCAGACGGAAGATCACTTCCGGTGCGGAGGCAGCAGCAGGTTAGCAGAGCAGGTTAGCAGAGCAGGTTAGCAGAGCAGGTTAGCAGAGCAGGTTAGCAGAGCAGGTTAGCAATGGCGTTTCGACTGCTGGATCAGCCGACAGTAACTACTGATGATGTTTATAGAATTAAAGCAAGAAACATCAGAAAGTCTTATGTGAAAATGTCCCAAATTGTCCAAGGAAAAAAGAAAAGAAAAGAAGAACACATGATAGAAACAGAGGTACAGTAAAACTATGATTAAATTAGCTGTTGGCTGGCAGAATGTAGCATAGCAGCTTGGCTAGCTAGTCAAACACGGAGCTAATAATTACATAACGTAACCAGTTTTCTGCTGTTATGATAAACAAATGTGTATTGCAAAACTGAGAACACACTACAAATTTGTAAAAAATATTATAATTTTAATAAGAAGATATATTACTTTGATAAAATGTATAGTAGTCAGTGTACAGCTTGTACAATAGAGTAAATTTACAACTTAGCAGACGGTTATGTCGACACACCAGGTGAAAGCGACCCCATCCAATCAACCTCCAAACAAAATCAAATGTTGCCACTTGCATATGTGGCGTGAAATCGGTTAGAAAGTTTCCAAAGTATCTGCGGCCTGGACAATGATGTCTAAATTCATTTAACTGTTTTGAGACGTGCTCATAATTCTGCACCAGAAGCCAGACTGTTAGTTGTGTATTATTTTTCATCAGCTTCGTCTTGTTGTAATCTTGTGACGATACTGTCTGCTCCCATCGCTGAACAACTTCGATTCATTGACCGCGGCTCCGTAAACAGAGCTTTGCTGTGTAACGTCTGGGTTCCTCTTCTGCGCATGCGTGTCATGAAGGATTCTCGCAGAACTCTGATTGCTGTTGGATTTAATTGGTAGCATAAATGACAAGCTAGTTGGATATCAGTAAAAATTGGAATTACGTAAAAAGACCTATTGTGTGAACTTAGCCACTTCCCCACCACCACAGGGCTTCATATACACTCAATATGTTGAATTTGTACTGAACCAAATATTTTGTTTTGGCTTGATTTGTTGTGGAAAAACAAGGGAGAGCAGGTGTGTTGACTTTAGTGTTGCTACTCTCACTTTCCCCCTTTTCTTATTACTGGAAGTAACCAAATCAGTTTATGGTTGATTGTTTTCAGATCTGGGATTTTTAGAACAAAGAGCAAAACCAGGAGCCAGGCTCGCTTTCTCCCTTTCTGTTTTCATTGTTAAGATTGAGTCCTCCCATCTCGTCTGTCAGACCTGCAAAGGAAATAAATGTAATTTAGTGGAACAGAGTTGTCACTGCAATGCATGAATGCAGAAAAAAAGTATATTGCAATGAGTTTGTGTTGCTAATAGAAGCTAGTTTGGCTGCAACAATGAGCTAATTTCACTGTGGTGTGTGAACTTCAACCCCCTTTTTTACATGTAAAGTCTCACAAAGGCTAGAGGAATGAGACTTTATGATCATATTATGATTGAACTGCAGGAACTCCCTCAGAAAATGTACATTTAATAAAATAAAATATCTTAGTAAAATAGCTTGAATTCCTTTTATTTGAAGTATAAGCCACTTTTAAAAAGCTATTTATAGGATAAAATATTTTTTTTACTATGATTATGATGATAATAATAATTATGTTATTAGGACATCTTACCATCACCATCATCTTGTTGTTCCACCAAAGTCTTCAGCTTCACCTCCACTGGGTAATGGTCGCTCACTTTTACAGCCTGAAACAATAGAAATAATGAAACTGAGATTATAAAAATGTCTGAACTAATTGTAATTCTGGATTAACTCAAATATCAAGGGAAAAGGTGAAAAGATTGGCAATTCATTTTAGCGCCATGATCAGATTTCAGTAGTTCATCTGGTATTTGGATGAAAACAAATTACAAAAACATAAAAATAAGAGCAAACCTGCTCATCGGAGAGCTTGTAAGCTTTCTGGAAGTTGAAGGCTTTAGCAGATTTTGGAACAACAGCCTGAAGCATTTCGTCTCCATAAACAACAATTCTGAATAAGTAGAAGAAGAAACAGCAGGATGATCATTTACGTCTCATTCCTTCTCAAAACAGAAGTTTGTAAAGTTAAATCAGACCAAACTTCTCTTGTTTTGATTAATTAGTTGTACAAACAATCTAAATATTTCTTATTTATGGGTCTAACAGAATCACCAAAGTTATTACCAATCTTCTCTTAAGCTTTAACATCCTGGCTGATGTTTTTAGATGTTGCTTTGATATTTCCCCATACTCTACATTTAGGATGGCAAAAGCATGTTTTTCCTCCAAATGTAACAATGGTGATTATGGCCAAACAGTTCAACTGTAGTTCATCAGACAATAGAACATGTCAAACTGTAATCTAGACTTTTATCTTTCTTTTGGGTAATTGCTTCTTCTTTGCAGAGCGGCCTTTTAGCCAGTGTTAGTACAGAAAATGTTTCTCTAGCTTCAGCAGCATCTTCACAAGAGCTTTAGCTTCTATTTTGGGGTCAGTTTGCATATTTTGGACCAGGACCCATATCTTTCCTGAGTGCTATGATGGTTGGACATTTCCGTCATGCTTATACTCCCAAATAATTGTTTAAACAGATGAATTTGGCGCCTTCAAGTATCTGGAAATTGTTCTCAAGGATGGACCAGGCTGGAGCAGCTGCACAGTTCTCTTCGAGTCAAACGAGAAAGCGGTGAGTTGCAGGTGTGACCCTAAAATACATCCACAGGTGAGCCTCAAAATAACTCAAATCTGTCAGTTTACCAATCAGAGGTTTGTGGAAGGAACCATCTGAATTCAACAGAAATCACCAAAAGGTCTTTTGGCCCTTGACAAATAGTACGGAGCCCTCTACAGGACATGGGGAATTTATTTTTACTTACTCCATGAATGCAACTCAAAAATAGTCCAAATAGTATAAATGTACTGTATTTTGTCTTTCGTTCTGTCTTATAAAATTTTTTGGTTGTCTAAAAAGGAATGGAGAGAGACAGAAATCCCATTTTGTGCTTGTTTTGCTTTTGCATTTTGCACATAAGTTATGGTGCATTTGTACCTTAAAGAAAAAGATGTAAACTTCAGATATCTCACAAACGAGATAATAACACCCCTTACAAAAACTTTACATTGTAGAAGAAAGACTTTCAGTATTCAAGATGCTGCTCATCCAACCAGTAAATTATTGTGAAAAAATACAAAAGAAAAACATTCCCCCCTGTCTTCTAAGCAGCCCCATAAAATATTAATAGTTTTGGTAATTATAAATGTAAAACAAGAGAAATTTGGTTTGACTTAATGCAGTGGTTCCCAGAGTGTGGGGCGCGCCCCCTCCAGGCGCGCCCTGGAGGCGGTTATGAACCACGCCTGGTTTTACCGATTATTCAGAGAAGGATGGATGGATGGTCGGTTTCTACCTGTCGTATGAGTTGGTGTTTTTGGGGCTCACTGTTGTGTCCACATCGTCTCCGATCAGCCAGTGGAAGTTTGTGTCGCTGCGGATTCGGATGGTCTTCATCTTCGTCTTTGAGACGTACGGTCTGTTGGCGTTAAAGTCGCCCAGGATCATCACGTTCTGTGGTGGACAGACAGAAAACCTTAACCAGTGTCACCAGTTTAAACTTTGTTCCCCATATGAGAAAAGAAAACAGACCTTTTCACTTCAAGAGTTTTAAATGTTTAAATGTGTCGTAAACAAAATCTAGTCTTAACAATGTACTGAAAGTATTTCAGCTACTTCTGTATGAAGCTGCTTTTTAAAATATTTACTCACCGTGCTTACATATGGAGGGTGAAAAGGAACAAAAACAAAAAAATACATCATTAAATTATTTTATAAATCTACCAGATTTAAATATATTTCCAAATAAATGTATAAATGATCTATTTAATAGGCAATTTAATATATCACTGAATTATAATTAATTATAATGTGACATTTTTGATAAATCGATTCTATATTAATAGCCTATTTGGACATTTATTAATTTCATAGTACATTTGATTGATGATTTAGTGACGTATTCATTTATTTAATTTCGTCTCTTGGCCCTTCATATGTAGGATTTGTATTAAAGTCTGTAAAATGGAGACATTAAGACCTCAGAACATAAAATAAAGATTGGTTCCTGTTTGTTTTGGTCTTTTCGCACATTAAAATAACCTGTAACTCTACTATCATTTCAGATATAATTAACAAGATTATAAACATTTTTATGTGGAGTATATTCACGTTAGTCTTCCACTTTTTCTTGATGTGAACAAAGAGGTCATAGAGTTCGTCCAGTTCCTTCACCGCGTCTTCTGGTTTGGTGTGAACTGGGATCAAAACCAGATCTTTCAGAACTGCGAGGAGAATCAGACAAAAATACTTTTATTTTTGTCTGTTTTTAAGGTTGCAGTCATTTGTGGATGTTATTAGACTTTAAAGTGTATTTGTGTACATAATGAGACAGTTTTGATTTTTTTCACCTGTATTTTTGCATCTGAATCGAAGGATATATGGATCTCTGTCAGTGTTGTCCTGTCCTTTAGTCTTCTCATCATCAGACTGGTACATTCCCACCAGTTCAACCATGTCGTCCCTGCATGCACAAACCATACAGTTTTTTTTATGAAACACTTATTATTAACAACAAAAATTTATATTAGCTCTGATTAGCTCTGGTTTTAAATTACATTTTGAAAATTAATTGTCAACCAGTTCCTGATCAAAGAGAGGTTCAGCAAAGAGCCCAGTGATGATCTTAATCAGAAAATACACCTGGGAGTCATGGGCAAAGAAATGGAAAGAAAAAATTAAAGAAAATGGCATCAAAAGGGAATGGAATTAAAGTAAAAGAGAGAGGACCTTGCGGTACTCCTCAAGGGAGATGAGAAGAGAAAAATGTAACGTTTTTGATAAAAACAGGAAAACCTGAGAAGTTGGACCTGAACCATTTCAGAGGTGAACCTGTGATGCTGACCCACATCCTCATTTTCATCCAGGAAAGCATTTAATAATTTCTGGACCGTTTGACAAAAAAACCCCAGAAACGGTTCTGAAATTTGACGGATGCATGAAGGCTGGATTTCTCTAGCAGATGTTTCTTATCAGCATGTTGAAAACTTTGTGGAACAAAACCAGATTTTATAATGTTATTGATGATTTTGACCAAATGAAGGAAGAACATTAATAGACAAGTGGAAGCTTCTGATTTTACTTCTGAGCATTATAACTAAATCAAATGCATTTTGCTTAAGATATAAGATAATTTATGGTAATAAAACTACAGTTTTGAATATTAACACATTACCAACTGTTTTTTTATTGAAAACCATCAAACTTATTTATTTGTATTTTTCTTAACTTACCACAGAATTTGCTGTTGATAAATTAACTATTTAATCTGAACTCTGCAGTTCAGATTAGATTTTCAGTTAAAAAACAGCATTTGTTTAGTTTCTTACAGACTGCTTTTGAGATAAATTGATAAATGCACAAACTTGCAGTTTGTGAAATAAAGTATCCTCCTAATGAATGAATGAATGAATGAACTGTCACCTGTACAGGAACAGGAACTGCTCCTTGTAGCGCGTTCTGCCCAGACGAGAGCTGATTCTCAGAGTGTAGTGACGTTTCCGTCTGGGTCTGCGGAGACAGACATGTTGCCATGATCAATGTTTATGTCAGAGAAAATCAGTGGATTAAGCAGATTCATATCTCCGGGCCAACTAGATTTATAAATTACGGCTGAAGGTTTTTAGAGACCAGTTAACCCAACAGTGATGGTTTTGGATTGAGGGAGGAAAAGGGAGCATATCTGTTGAAGAACCAATTCACGCACGAGGACAGGAGTGTCAGACTTAATTTCATTTTGGGTCGAATTAAAACAATCAATGTTCTAGAAGCACCAGAATGTATGACAAAACGCATCAGCAAACTGTTAAAATACTCATCAATAGCAGTGTCTGCATTCGATGAGCACTTCTTATTGAACATCGTTTCACATCGATCAATCAAAGTCGCTGATTTTAACCTGATGTTTTGGACGATTCTGCAGAAAATATGCAAAAAATTCACAATTATGCATTAGCACAAGAAAGTGTGGGCATCTGTTACGGGAATTTCTACAGTTGAGGAAAAACTCATAGGATTCCTTGATGTAATTTGGATGTATACAGATAAAAACTGCTAAAATAATAGTGTAGACTCTAGAGGGCCACATATAAAAGCTATGGAGGACCAAATTTGGCCCCTAGGCCTCGAGTTTGACACCTGATAACTAGGAAAACATGAATACTCCATGCAGGAACAAGGCAGTTCAAAGTGCTTTATATCAAAAACACAGAAATGCAGTAATAAAAACACAATTGAACGTAACAAACATTACATTTAATGAGTTCCATCATCAAAATAATAAATGAATTAAGTTGATTATTGCTGTTGCTTTTTATTGTGGTTCAAAAGCAACAGATGCGTTTTTAGTCTCGGTTTAAAGGAACCCAAACAAGCGATTTGTGCAGAAATGTTTCTGTAAATATAAGAGACTGAATGAGCCACCAAGTGTTTAAAACTTTGCCTTTACTGACTTGTTGAGCGCTGCCATCAGAGCGGTCACTGATTCCTCGGTATCGTCCACGACTTCCAGGATCACAATGATGTCATAACGGGAAATAATCTGACAGACAGAACATTTCTCAGTAGCAGTTGCTTAAGCACAAATATTCCCTTTCAAGGAGAACCACCAGGCCTTTCTTTACCCTAAAAACAACGAGTTTATGTGTTTTTACCTTAACCAGGATCTTCAGAACATCTGGGTCCGACACTTTGCTCCGTCCAAACTTCTGAATATTAAACGCTGCGATTTTCATGTTAGCTGAAAGTTTGGAAGAAAAAGCAGATTCTTTATAAAAGGAAAACCTTTTAACAAAGAGAGGCAGTTTTTCTGAGTCCAGCTGTATCGCCTGCTGTAGCAGAAAGAACAGCAGATCAGATCCATTTGCACTCCGATCAATTCAAGTTTCACACAGTTAACAGGAACTGCTTCTTTAACCGTGCCCTAACCCCAAAACACAGACAGAAAGTCACACACTCCTCAAAACACATCAATGGAAAATCAGTTCTGTTCACAAACTAAATGTCTCCTTTACTAACCTGCTCTTAAATGCTCTGATTTGATTAAATCACAGTTCACTCAACGTTATCTGTTAAAGTTCAGACTGTCATACTGTTTACCGCAGAAACTTATTTTGTTCAGAGAAGCATACAGACTTTTCTCAACGCTTTTGTTCTGCTTAATTAGCTTTATTGTAACAGTTAACTGTTTAACAGCAGATGTAGCTGTTAAGTTATAAAGTTAAAATTAATAAAACAAGCAGCAGCAGATCTTTAATGTATTGAGGTGCTAAGCTGATTTATAAACTAACATTATTTTAATGTTTATTCTGTGTATGGACTTTAGAACTGGATGATGTGCTTTATTTTCCTGGTTTTAGTCAGAACACCAGCAGCAGCGTTCTGGATCAGCCGCAGACCTGAGTAAAAAATCAGGTCTGATTTGTAATTATTAAAAATTTTTTATCAGACCTTTGAAGACGCTTTTGCAGTAATCGATGCGACTGAAGATAAACGCATGGATGAGTTCCTCTAGATCTTGAGACAGTCCTCTAATCCTGGAAATGTTCTTCAGGTGACAGAAGGACGACTTTGAAACTGCCTTTATGTGGCTCTGAAGGTTCAGATCAGATTTCAGCCTGATTTATGGTTTCCTGCTGTAACAACTGAAGCTGTGCGTTGACTCAAGATCATTCCTCTTTAGGTCCAAATATAATAACTTCAGTTTCTGTTCAATTGGAGAAAGTTTTGGCAATTTTATCCATTCTAAGCCTCAGTTTAGTGATTGGATGGTTCTGGTGACGTCGTGATGTAGAGCTGTGTGTCATCTGCATAGAGTTATAACTAATCATATCACTCATTATAAATGGAGCTAGCAGGAGCATGTGGATATTAAATATGAGGAGTCCCAGGATTGAACCTTGGGGAACCTCACATGTCAATAAAATCACAAAAATAAGTAAATCCACTATTAATTTATCCCTGTAGATAACTATTGATACTTTATCAATTAATGTACGTGTCTGTGTATGTAAGTCAACCATGTGATCCACGTTATTTCCTTTTCTGTGTTTTTCATACTTAGAATTTTAGAATATTAAACACATTTAAATATTAGTCAAAGACTACACAAGTAAAAACACGACACTATGTTATTACTTTTCCGTTACTGGACAGTGTGTTATTCTTGATTTTGTTTTTATTTACTGTAATACTTTTACCTTTGTGGGTACATGTTTCAGTGTAACATAAATTTTCCAATTTCTTTCCAACTCTATTCTAATGTACAATTCAAAAAAATTGCCTTAAAAAGATGCTAAAAAAAATCAGTTGTTTGATTTATTTGATCATTACTGTGACATTAATAAGCATTACTATTAATTCATAACCGTATATTTGGAAGAATTAGCACAATAGCTGAAAGCAAGCACAAAAAACAAACCCATCACTAAGCAATTCACATAGTTCTAATAAAAAAAAGCAAAAAGAAAAAAAACGACTACACAATAAATAAGACAGTAACAATATAAAACAGGAAACACAACTATCCACCATAATTAGTGCAAGAAAAATGAAGGGGTTCATAACTGACTTGCTTTCAAGCAATGATTGAGTTTCTTTTTAAAACTCAAGGAGTCTCACTTTGAGTTTTTCCTGTCTCAAAGAAAAAGCAAATGTCATGTAATTTATGAAAGGTCGGTGTTTTCTCTGAAGCGCAGCTTTCTCCGACAGGAAGCTAGAAAAGCAGCAGCTCTTTTTAATCTGCTAAAATAAATCAGGTAAATATAAGTAAAGAATCACAGCTTTTCTTCTTCAGAAGCATTTCTTTCTTGATGTGACAAGTGTTAAAGTTTAGTAATCCTGTGAAGGAGCATCCAGCTGGCTTCCAGAGAACAACAGGAGGATGTTTGTCTCAGTGTTATCAAAATATAAAAAGCCTCTCAGGCATCCAGAGCTGAAAAATCAAACAGGAAATCTGCTTCTCACCTGCAGGAGAATCTGCTGCGGCTTCTGTCCAAAAACGCTAAAATCAAACCTTATGATGTTCAGAGAGTGAAAACCGGCTGTTTGTCTTGTCGAAAGCCAACTAGTGGCACAGGTTCAAAAAGGGCAAAGAGAAGAAATGTCATAACAAATCAACTTCTTCACCTTTTTTACAACTTCCTGCTTCAAAATCAGCTGAAACGTTTATCTTAAAATTATGGACAACATAAAAAAAACTAAGAGTATCTAAAAGTGTTAAATTCTGTGAGGAAAACAGAAGCAGCATAAAAATGAAAGAGTTTCTGTCGGGGATCTGGGTGTGTTGTGTTTCTCATGGAGCTGCAGGTTTCCCTCAGTGGGCGGGGCTAAGCAGTTCACCTGCTCTCTGTCAGCCAATCAGCAGCAGCTGAAGAGGAGCTGCTGCCTGTCATTCGACATCCTGACTGTCAACCTTCCTCCTCTGACTAGTTCCTGGTTGTTTTCTACCAGCGTTATCTTTGCTCTGAGTTTATTGTGGTTTCATTTCAGAGGTTACATCCTGAATTTCTCTTCTGTTTTTTCTGGTAGCTGCCAAACAACTTTAAGGTGTGTTACCTCCACCTTCGAGATTTGAGTTCACTGTAAATTACCTTTATTGTCCCTCATTGAGGAAGTTAAGGTGAAAAAGCAAGAAAGTTAAAACATCCATATTTACAAAAAATAACTTACTGAACAATTTACAGCACCAGACCTCAAACAGCATTAACATTATACTTCAATAGAAAACATGATAATTTTATATTAATCCCTTCACATTTTATTTAATCTCTACAGTTAGTTCTTTTTTTGCAGCCACAGCTGACCTTTTTCTGGTCAGCTTGATAAATTTAACTGGAAGCTAATCAGAAAGATGAACATTTCAAACATTTTTTTAAATTTCCCCTCTTTTGGACGGCCATTCCTATCTTCTATTTCCATCTCAAGTTATTTTAATGTATATTACATTGATAAAAAATTATTTAGAATGTAAAGCTTTATTGGATTTATTTAAAAAAAAATATTTTTTCATCTTTCTCACAACTTTCTGAGACAGAGCAAGAGGTTAAATATCCTTTCTTTTTTTACCTTTAGCGATTATGAAAAGCATACCTTTTTAAATAAAAAGTAGTAATAACTTAAGTTTCTGTCCTTAGAATAAGCAAACACACCTCAAAAAACTGAGAACACACGTCGAGTTAATATAAACATTTTATTAATTTTGGTTATTGGATAATCCTGAATGTATGACATTTGGGTAGAACGTAAAGCAGTCAGCTTGTGTACGAGTGTACATTTGTTTTCGCCCCTAAAGTGACCTGACCCTTAATGTCTAAACTACTGGCAACACAGAGAGTACGTCTCTCAGTGAAAATGTCAGACATTTGCTGAATTAGCCCTTCATTCCTTCCTCAGTAGCTCAATTACAAATGTGTGAAAAACTTTGCCGGTGTTGCGCCAAGTTGTGCTAAACTTATTGTTATTGCTCTTACATACTGTTCTCTATGATACTTTTCAAAATGGCCCCTCATGTCAAAGCAGTCTCTGAGGTAGCCGGTGTTACGGTCAAGAGTTTCTCCGGTCAATCCGGCCTCTTTCGGTGGAGCTGCGTCTTCATTGTCCAGCTTTACCTTTGCCCTTTCCTGTAGCAGATGTTTTCTTTTCAGCTTTTGGTTTCTTTTCGTTAATGCTGAGCTTTTCCACCTTCTCTTTCAGACCTACAGAGGAAGTAAATATGTTGCTTATTCACACAGCAAGATCTGCGCACAGGTAAGAGTAATGAAATCAGTCAAGTTTGTTTGTATAGCACCTTTCAGGAACAAGGCATTTTGAAGTGTTTCACATCATAAAAACAAAAACTACAAAGTTACAGAACATACAATTAAACCATTAAGTTTTTTCAAGAGTCATTGATACACATCAGATTATTGATTAATGTTTCATTGATTATGTTTCAAAAGCAACTCTAAACAGCTGGGTTTCTAGTCTAGATTAAAAGGGAACTTTGTGTTTCAGCTGTAATGCAGTTTTCTGAAAGTTTGTTCCAGATTTGTGGAGCATAGAAGCTGAATGCTGCTTCTCCATGTTTGCTTCTGGTTTGGTTCAGCATTTAGACTTTTCATGTGAAACGTGGTTAACTGTTATAAACACATGGATACGTTTCTCTAGATGTTGCTGAGTCCTCTAATGTTCTTCAGGCGATAGAAGACCGACTTTATAACTGTCTTTATGTTGCTCTGAAGGTTCAGGTCAGAGGTCAGCTGGTTCTCTAGTTTCCCGTTCCTCTTGTCCAAAGAAAATAACTTCAGTTTTGTTTCTATTCAGCTGGAAAAAGTTTTGGAACATTTATCTCTTCTAAGCACCAAGACAATGAAAAAGCCGGAGCTTAAATACTGAGACACGGGTGGAAATGGCAGCTCAGAGGAGCTAATCAGAGGAGAAGAAGAGCAGCTGTGGCAGGTGGAAAACTGAGGGAGGGAGACTAATTAACTAAAACTCAAAAGCAGCTACAAATCAAGAGAAATCAAAACCCAACCTTTTTTTTAAATCAAAAACAAGATTTGTTTGTTTTTTTTAATCAAAGTGTTTCCACTTAGACAGGCCAGATAAAAGTGTCTCTGTGGCTAGGCGAGTAAATTAAACAGTGAAACGTTTCCCTGTTTTCTTTGTGCGCCTGTGAAAAACGCCACCTGGGACTGCGTTGAATTGCAAGATGAGAAAATTAGCTGCCTTGAATGTTTTTGTTATGGTCGGATGAAGCTTAAACTGCAGCAATTTCCTTTAAAAGTCATGCAATTAATAACAAATCTACACAGGATTGCTTTAAATTAGTTTTATTCAGTATTAGTATTTTTATTGTTATTATTGTTGCGCTTACCATCAGCACCATGTGTTTTTCTGAGCAGCTCCACCTCCACTGGATAATGGTCGCTTATGTCCAGAGCCTAAAGCAAGAAGTCATGAAACTTTCTTTAGATTATTAAAGCTTCTTTTGTAAATCTGGACTAGAAGGGAATAAGTACAAATACTGAACATATTTGCTGCATTATCACAAATAAAATGTTTTATAACTGTAATAGTTTCTGTGCTTTTTATAGAAAAAATATCAATTTTTGAAAAAGGTTTTGTGACACATGGAGGGTTGTTTCTATGATCCACAGTCTCAAACTCATTCTTCTACAGAAACAAGTTCTTATCTCATTGTTTTCTGTGGGTGATCTTTTTGTTTGTCTTTTTGTTGGTTTTAAATCAGATGATATATTTTCTGAGGAAATTAGCAGCTGCTTGTGAAGATAACAAACCTGTTCGTTGGAGAGATTGTATTCCTCCTGGAAGTTGAAGGCCTTAGCAGAATCTTTAACAACAGCCTGAAGCATTTTCTCTCCGTAAACAACAATCCTGAACAAGGAGAAGAAGAATTAAAGCAAACAGCAGGGAGTCGCAGGATGCTCACTCAGAAAATAACAAACTGCAGATTCTGCTTTGGTATTTATAATGATGTCCTTTGTTTAAACCTTGAATTTATGAATTTTAGTAGATTTTAATGTTCATTTTGAGAGGCGGGATGGTTTTTATGTACCTGTCGTATGAGTTGGTGTTTTTGGTGCTCGCCGTTGTGTCCACATCGTCTCCGATCAGCCAGTGGAAGTTCGAGTTGCTGCGGATTCGGATGGTTTTCATTTCCTTCTTTGAAACATACGAGCCGTCGGCGTTGAAGTCGCCCAGGATCATCACGTTCTGCAGCAGAGAAAAAGGAAACCCCTAAGGATGTTAAACTAAGCACCTTGTGAAAGAGCCGCACCCAAAGTGGGCGGAGCCAAGGGACGATTGCTCTGCTGCTGATATTTAAGCAATCAGATGATTGATCTTCATCGGACAGCTAATCACTTTAATTTCCCTTCTGTTTTAGTTTCAACTCCTTCACTTTTTTGCAGTATTATGAGGTTTTTGTCTAGTTTGAGTCCTTACGTCAGTCTTCCACATCTCCTGAATGTGTTGGACGAGGTCGTAGAGTTTATCCAGCTCCTTCTCCGCGCCCTTTGGTGTGATGTGAACTGGGATCATCACCAGATCTTCCAGAACTGTCAAGAATCAGACAGGAATCAGGTTAAGTTTACAGTTATTTCTCTGGGTCACCTTTGACCTATTAGGATGTAAACTGGTTGCATATATTATAGTGTCGTTATTATCTTTCACCTGTGTACGGGGAACCGAATCGGAGGACGTACGGATCTCTGTTAATGTCGTCCTGTCCATGAGTCTTCTCATCGTCATACTGGTACGAGCCTTTCAGTGTAACCAGATCGGGCCTAATAACCCAAATGTTAAGTTTAAAATCAAAACATTTTCACCTCCCTTCAAAAAAATAATAATAAAAAAATCACCTGTTTCATGTGAACTCGCCAAGGTTATTATAGCCAACTAAAAATACCAAAGACTGAAACTGATAAAACATTAAAATAAACATTGAAATAAATACATATATATATAATTAACATATATATATAATTTTCCTGCTAATATAATTAGCAGGAAAAAACTAACCATCCAGGAGTATATTGTGCATTTATAAAACTAATTAAAACACTGAAATTACAGCTAAAATACCCTTTAGTTTTGTTTATGAATCTTTTTTCAGACTTTTGAACTGATGTGAAATTCAGCAGTTTTAGTCAGCTGTCGTTCTCCTGCTGGCTGCGCTGCGCTAGTCCACAAAACCACAACAACAGAGAAAAAAAATTAAATGTACGTAACTGGAATAGGTTTTCAAAAATAATGTCTTCAGTTGAGTATTCATTACTCAACAATACTTTCACCTTTTTGAATTTGCACCTAAAAGTTGACAAACTAAACTCAAACTTAATATTTAACAAATAACTAATGAAAAACAGCAAACACATTCTAAAGACCAATTAAACTAATTCAATTACACAAAAAGTTGCAACGAAGTAAAACTGAACTGAAAAACCCAAAACAATTATAATCCTGGTTCTCAGATAACATTTTCAGTTTGAAGACAATATTTATTAAATAAACTGTTTTACTTGTTCAGATCAGTCAGATTTAGTTATTTTCTCATCTTTACTGGCAGTTTGTGAATGAAATGATCCTCCTAATGAATGAATGAATGAATGAATGAATGTCACCTGTACAGGAACAGGAACTGCTCCTTGTAGCCAGTTCTGCCCAGGCGAACGCTGATTTCCTTCTCATAGTGATGTTCCCTTTCAGGACAGAGCAAAACATACAGAAACGTGTTTTCATCATAAAAGCAGTGGACGAATCAGATTTATAAGATGATTGTTTGTGGGAACAGTATATGTAGAGATGAATGTAATGATGTTTTAAACTTTTACTGACTTGTTGAGAGCTTTCATCAGAGCATCCACTGCTTCCTCGTTCAGAACCTCCAGGATCACAATGATGTCATAACGGGAAATAATCTGACAGAAAAAGACAATCGAATGAGTTTAATTCCTCAGATTTTATCAAACAGGTTGAAATATATTCATGTAAATATTTTCTTTAAACCTATTTTTCCAAAGCAGAAATAAAACTTTGTTACACATTTTTACCTGAACCAGGTAATTCAGAATGCTGGGGTCCGACACTTTTTTCTGTCCAAACTTCTGAATGTTAAACGCTGCGATTTTCATGGTGGCTAAAAGTTCAGAAGAAAGTTTAAATCAATTGTAGCCTCCTGTTGACAGATATTCACATTACAGAAACTAAATCTGTATTTGTGGAAAACCCAGACCAAACCTGTCTCAACGAGGGCGGGTTTGTTTTTTCTGCCTTGGACTTCTTTTGTTTGTTAGTTTTAGTGGAGCAGTAATTCTCAGTATGTTGCAGGATTCGTGGAAGTCGAGTTTTTGTTGCAATTAATTGATGCGTCTGCACGTAGCTGCAGGCCAAGACAAACAGACACTCTTATCATTAAAACCAGTTTGAACTTGCTGAGTTTGTCTGGACTAGTTTCCTCTTGTGTTGTTGAACATAAAACATTTGATTTAAACTTATTGCTCAGGTTCTAATTAGACCTTTTTATAGCTTACTTTTTCCATTTTCCTCATGTTATAAGTGAGATAATCTGCCTGTAGGAAAAATACATTTTCATCAATATTTATATTAATTGTTGACTTGAAACAAGTTTCTATATTTGGCTATAAAATTACTCGAGTTAGTTTTGTCTTGTTTCCAGTGCACTAAAATATTTGCACTAGAAATTAGATTTTGTGTTTTAGCAGTGATGCCAGAAAAGATTCTGCGAATAGGTACATATTTATTACCTCTTTCACTGTTATCACAATAAATACCACAAAATGAATCAACATCAACATACCTCAGGATGTAATTTATCCTTTTGATTCAGTTTGTTGGAAATCAGTTATTCTGGTTCTGAAGACGCTCTAGAAAAATAAAAAACAGGAAGTTGTTTCTCACCTGCAGGAGACTCTGCTGTGTGTCCAGAGGAGTTGAATAAATGTTGCAGGCTTCACTATATATTGTGTGAAAAGCAGCTATTTGATTGGTCTAGAGCCAACCAATGGAAGAGACATTATAACAAATAAACCCCGCCCTTCTATTGTATTCCTGCTCAAACATCTGTTTGTCCCGAAACATAAAAAGTGTTAAAAATGTTCGTTTCTGTCAGGATCTGGGTGTTTCTCTCTCTCATGGAGCTGCAAGCGTCCCTCGGTGGGCGGGGCTAAGTGCTTCACCTGCTCTCTGTCAGCCAATCAGCAGAGCTGAAGAGACGTTGGCTGTTTCTCATTTGATGTCCTGACTGCCAACTTCTCCTCTCTGACTGGTTCCTTGTTATTTTCTACCAGGGTTATCTTTGCTCCAAGTTTATTGTAGTTTCAATTTGGATCTGCTTTGAGTTTATTAAACTGAAACTCTGACCAGCAACCATCAAACCACTAAAAATTATGTCCAACTCTGTGCTTTAAATGCTGCCTTTTTTCTCTTCATAATATTTAGAATTATTTTTATTCACCTGATTAGCTCTATCACAATCAATCAAATAATAAATTAAAACGAACTCGTTTTCCATTTGCATGATTTATTGTTTTTCTCTTTCTACCAAAAACTGTCTGAAAAGTTTTCAGTCTGGTGTTTTGGTATTTTTGAAGAACAATGTTGTTTAAAAAAACTTCATAATTCATTTAATTTGTTGTTTTGTTTATTTTGGATATTTAAAATGTCTTCCTGTTCCAGTGTTAAATGTTTATAAGAATTTAATCTTTATTAATCTTTGAGAATCCTTGCATTATTATTAACATTATAAAACCTGAAAATAGTCTCAAAACAACATTATTGTTTATTTTAATAACGTCAGGGACAATTTATCGTCCAGAAATATCTGTTTCTATGACAGACTTACACCGGGCCTGATTCTGCAAAGTATCAGTCATAAAAAAAACTTTTAGGACTATTTTTGCTAGACTTTACTCTTTTCTACCCACTGAAACATTTTATTTATTTGAAATTCACCAGACACACACCTGCAGTTTCTGTTAGTTTCATGTTGAAAGAAACTGATGTGAATTTAATTTCTTTCGTCTGATTTTGTCATTTTGTAATTTAAGTTTTATACACAAATTATTTAAATTTTCGTTTCTAAAGCATCAAAATTTCCTCGTAACTATATTTTAGTCCTTATGAACAATCTAATATTAATATTAGATTGTTTTGATCAGTTACTCAGTACTTGAGTAGCTTTTATACCAAATACTTTTTACTTTTCTCTGTTCTGGTCTGTCACATCAAATCCTTTTATATTATCATATAGCATAAATATATACGTTTGCAAAGTGTAAATAAATATTTGAACAGAACAAAGCTAATTGCACTGTAAGTATTTATTAGGAATGCATTTAGCCATATTACATTGATTTAGCATAGCACAACTGTTTTAATGTCAGTTATATCAAATGAGTTAAAATAAAACAGAAAAACCAGCTTATTTACACTTTAACAAAGAACCATAACTTTATATTTCAATGAAAAACTAAACATTCATGTCAGCCTGGAAACCACAGAAGCATTAAAATCCACGGAAATGATTTTATATTGGTCAGTTTAACATGTTTCAGCCAAAAGAACAAAACCATAAAAAAAGAAAAATAACTTCAAGAAAAATAATAATCTGACAAACCTGGAGAACTTTTACCAAGGATTTGACACGTAAAATGAAATTATATGAAAATCTGGGTTGATATTGTTACCCCACATTATTAATATGTAGCAACATTATGCAGATAAAATGCATCCCAAAACACAAATGGTTATAAAACAGAAATAAAGATGGTTTAATGTCAACCCTTTTTATTTATCAGATTGATATGCAGAATAAATATTATATGTAAACAGTGGAAACCATCTTAGCAGCAGCTGAAGTCTAAAGACTTCCCTATTACCGCAATTTGGTCTTCAGCCAATCAGCACCAAGGACAAGAAATGCCGCTCCTGGATTGGCTGCTGCTGAAAAAGCAGCCAATAGCTAGTCAAGTACCGACGAGTGGAAGTATTTCAGCTTTTAGACCTGATTGGCTAAAAAATGAGAAAACAGGCAAATATTCAGAATAATTTACACAATTCTAAAAAAAAAAATAATGTGAAAAATATCAGCAGATTTTTCTATAGAAAAGAGAATAAAAACATATAATCTAGATTCAACAAATCTAGATTTGAATAAACTGTTGATTTCAACACATCAGATGTCATTTCAGTTTTAGATATTAAAAATATGAGACTTTTCAAGCTCAGAAATTCCTTTTGTTCTTTTTTCTTCAGAAAGTTTCTGAGTTTAATCTAATAAATTCAAAGTTCTTTACCAAAATTTTACTTTTCAAGCTCAGAAATTTTAAAGATTTTTCCAGAAAATGTTGGAGTTTTTTCTTGCAGATTTTTTACTTTTTAAATGTTCTTCCTTTTTGTAAATATCATTTCTTTCCTGCAGAAGCTGAACTTTCCTCCCCTCTCTGGTCCACAGAGGCAGAAACTGGTCTTGTTATCATTTTCAGTGTTTTCTCCTTCTTGATGCTGAAAAATGGAAACAGTTTCTCGGTGAAGCAGTGGCTGAAGGTGTGGATGTGGCCGCCAGTATCGGCATCTGAGAACGACAGCTTCCCCCTCTCACAGTCCAGATGGACTCGGATCCTCCGGGGCGGCTTGACCACCAGAATCGAACTCCTCGCTGGAGGGAAGAAGGCCAGAAAGGCGCCGTCCAAACCGATCCTCCACGACCCCGACCCGACGGACCCCTTCCTGTCCGCGGACTCCGCCGCCACGCCCACCTCCCAGCCGCCGCCTTCTCCGACCTCGACCTCCCAGCTGTGCGACCCGGAAGTGAACCCTTCCGAGCCCAGCACGGCGCGGCAGCGGCCGAACCGCTCCGGGTTGTCTGGCAGCTTGACCCGCTCTCCGTGCGCCGCGGCGCTCAGGTCGTCGGCCGGGGTCAGCTCGGGGTGAGCTGTGTTTGGGTCCAGAACCACAGCGGAGAAGCAGACGGCCGGCTTCATCTGGATCCAGATGTTGAAGCTCAGGTTGCCCAGATGTTTCGCCACGTCCAGGAGCGCGCCGGCGGACGGCGCCGGGTCTTCCTGCAGGCGGCGCTGTTCCGCTGTGGTTAAGGCAGCTTTGTAGGAGCGCAGGAAGGAAGCGCTGTCAGCCTTCAGCTGCTTCTCCGTCTCTCTGATTGTGTTGGACAAATCTGAGATGATCCTGCTGAGGGCTTCAGATTCCTCCCTCATCGCTTTGCTTTTCTCCCGCTCGTCCTCCTTCAGCGCAGCGATGCGGGCCTCCTCTTCCTGCTGCAGAAGCTGCTGAAACTTCTTGAACTGATCCCGGATCTGCTTCTCCGTGTTTCTGTTCTGGCTCTTGATGTGTTTGGCGTTTTGGTCGCAGCTCCCCTTCGCCTCTTCGAAGAGCTTCAGCTTTTCCCGCAGAGCCGTGAGGGACTCGCGGACCTCCTCCCGGCGCTCGTCCGCCGCCTCGTCGATGGGTCTAAACCTGTGGTTGCTGTGAGCTTTGGAGTCCCTGCAGACGACGCAGACGGACTGCTGGTGGTCCAGGCAGAACAGCTTTAGCTTCTCGTTGTGCTGGCTGCAGATTCCCGGCTCCATTCCTGCAGAAAGCTTCGTTTTTTCCGCTAAACACAGATTCCTCAAAGCCAAGCTGATGGGCGGGTCACTCAGAGGCCTTTCCTTGCAGACCGGACACTCGTTTATTTGCTTTACCTTCCACCAGGACCGAACGCAGGCTTGACAGAAGCTGTGGCTGCACGACAGAACCACAGGATCCGTGAAGATTTCGTGGCAGATGGGGCAGCAAAGATTCTTCTCAGAGCTGGAAGCCATTTCCTGTCTGCTAGAAGCTGCAAACAGATCAAACAGAAAGTCAAATCAGGAAGTTTTTCTGCTGCTAAACATTTCCTGCCCTGACTTACCGCGTCTCTCCGTCTGTTCTGAGGTTAATTTAAAGATGAATCTGTTTCAGGCAGCAGAGAAAACAGTAGGCACCTCTAATCTCTTGTTTGAGATTAGAGGTGGAGTCGCTCCAGGTTTTTATTTTCACTTTCTTTTTCTTCTTCTTCTTGCCCTTTTTATGGCGATTGGCAAACAACTTTCCGGTCTGTTATCACCACCTGAGGCAGAAGTACACTGTAAACTGTAACATTGCATTTAATTGAAAAATATGAGTCAACAAGACTTGTAACACTTAATCTTTACGGTAGATGGAAAACAGGTTTACTTAAATCCATGTAAACGAATCAATTACTGCAACTTATTAAAACAAGTGAATTTATAATATTTAATGACTGCAAACCCAAATAACTTGATTAATTCTGTTTAGTTGCACATAAACTAAATAGCAAAAACATATTTTTTTTTCTCCATGGTAAACAATAATCTTAAACTGATCTAAAGTGTTATTCTCAACAAATTTCTATTTTAAAGAAACTTGGTGTCATCAGAGCATACTTTATTTTTCGACACCGAAATCATCATGTAAATATTCAATTTCACATATTTCCTAGAAAAAGAAATTTTCTGAGCTCATGAAGTTAAAATTTTTTGACGTTTTCAACTTTATAAGCTCAGAAAATGTAAAGTTTTTAAATGTAAAAAATTGTATGAAAATTTCAGATTTTTCTTTTTACCACAAAGATCAGACATTTTAAACTCTGAAATTAATCTCAGAAATTTGAATTTTTTGACAGAAATTTACTTTTTTTATCTTTACTGCCCCTCAGTAAAATCAAGTGTGTAGTAAAAAGAAGTGAGATGTTTTGTGTCACCCATAGATCTATTCTAACCTGTTGAAGGACAATAGATGGTTTCTAACCTCGTCTCACTGATTTTAACATTTAAACCTACAACAGTGTTTTTTGCAGAACTCGTTTCTATTGGAGAATTGTGAGGCGAATAAACTCTCAAATATATAGATAAACATAACAAACCACAGAGACGAGTTCTTACTGCCAGCCACGACGGGTCGGGAGATTTATTCACATTCTACCACGGATAAACATCACAAACATTGTTTCTCAAATCTCAAAATCAAAGTCCCCAAAATCTCTCCGTTCTTTGTCTACAGACATTCTTATAGCTTCCAATGACGTCGGTCAAGATTCTGGCTGCCCATTGACTGAGTGTGTGTTGGAGCTTCCACGAATTTCTGACTGAACTCTCATCTAAACATCTGCTCCATCTCAGAACTGAAAAACAAGTCAATTAATAATAGTTGTTGTTCTTATCTATCTAAACAGCGTACTTTCCAACCCGAGTTTTGGTCCAACATTTTGTACTTTCCAGATAAAATCGGGTCAGATCGACCTTTCAGGCGCCAGAAATCGTTTCCCTTAAAAACAACGCTTTAACGTATTCATGCTCCAACGTTTCCCACTTCAGTATATTTTTACTTTCAGTTTCAGGTCTGTGATCAATGAGCTGCCGCTCAGCGGAGACGGATTATCTCGTTGTGTCAACACCTCTTTCATGGGAGGGAAACGGAGGCAAACGGCGAGTTCAGACCTGCAGGTGGAAAAATCCAATGTTTTAGTTTCAGGGAAGAACGCGGAAGGAGTCAGGCGTGTTTTAGAAAGTGTGGACACGTTTTTCCTTAAGCCATGTTTCTAAAGAGCTGAATAAAACAGATCTCTTTGTGTTTGGATGAGGTGCTGTTGCACATTAAGTTCCCCCGTCCTCCAGTCTTTTAATTTCTGCGTTTTTTTAGTTGCAGTGAAATGTTTTGGTTCATTAAAAGGCCGTAAATCGACTGAAGTCTGAGGGGGAAAGTATTTATGATTGTAGCCTTTAAGTCAGATCTGCTCTGCAGAATGGCTTCAGTTCAGCAGCAATGGAAAGTTTACTGCACAAAAAAGTTCAACTACAAACTGACGAACTCCAGACTTTAACTAAGCCACTCCAGAACTTTAGCTTTTTTTTCTTACTTGCTAAAATGTATTTATTTATTGTGATAATATATATTAAAACTGAGAATGCAGCAGCTAATAAACTAAGCAATTTCCCTTTGGAGATCAATATTGCTGGGTTTCAGACGTGACCCGGATAACGTGTGAAATTCAGATGGGGGTCTGGAAGTGGATTTCAAAACAGCAACATTTGAAAGACAAAAATAACGTTTATGTTTCTCTCTATTAGAACAACATTACAGACATTTTGATGCTGGATCAACAGAAATAAATGGCCGGCGTTTACTTCCTGCCCTCCATCTGCACTGGATGACGTCGGTGCTGCATCGTCTGAAACCCAGCAGTTCTGTTTTATTTTATTCTTACATGATTAATTCATCGAGTATAAATGAACACGGCTTTAGGCTGTTATTCTGCAGTAATCATTTGCGGCTTCCTTCAGGTATTTTTAGACCAACTCGAATATAAAGTTTATTTCTCCAGAGAACAAAAGACCTGAGTGAATCAGGGTTGTTGGTTCAAACCCCTGAGGTGCTTGGCTTTATTCCCAGTTTTTACAGTATAATTACAACACCTGTAACGTTTTTATGTGTTTTTCTCCAGATGTTTGCCAAGGCTGCAGTTCTGGACAAGCAGTGGGATTTCTCTGGATTAAAGAGTTTTCTTTAGGTTTATTTTCATCATAACTGAGGTTTGCACATTAAATTATGAGATTATCTTTCCACTTACAGAGGAAGCTGAACTATGACATATATTTGATACTTTTAAGTGTTTGTTTTTTAAATTTTTCTTTAACTGTAGTTTTTAATAAATCACCTCCATTTGTTTTGTTTCTTGCAGCTGTTTTTTTTTTTTCATTTTCAGACTTTCAACCTGATTATGACCCAGAAATGTGAATACCTTTTTCTATTCTTCTATGGAGAGAGGAAAGTGCCAAATTACAATAAACAACATGTAACATAATTATTGAAAAGTGTCATTAATTTATTGAAAAATGAAATATAAAAATTTATCAAGTATGTAATTAATTCTGTGTTCCTTAGTTAAATGTATTTTTTCTTTAAAAACTAGATATAATTATCTCTTGATATAATAAAATACTGACCAGAGTCGTAGGGAACCTGGAACAAGTTGTACTTTGTGACCCGGCCAGACAAAACGAACCACACCCTCATTCTTCTTCTCATGTGCAACAACAAGATTCTGTCTTCAGGAACCGGTTTGCTGATTTTGTTCTTTTTTTTAATTATAGTTTTGGCATTAAATTAGCATCTGTGTGTTTTACAAGGTTTTACTGCATGGAGCTAAAATAAACACCCTGAAAGCAGGTCTAGTTAAAGTAATTTGGAAAACAGTGTAATTCATAGGAACTCTTATATTTATGCTCTATTTTGTTTCCAAAGCATCATTTTATCCCTCAGATTGTTTTTTAAATCCTTCATCACTTCTAGAGTCAAACTGATCCTTCACAAGAAGTTAATAAAGTTAATAAACATATTATTTGCTCTGACGTTCCTGCTTGGCTTTCGACCAATCAGCCGGTTTTCACTCTGAACATTGTTTTGGTTGTAACTCAACTCCCTTCATACAGGACTCTTCAACATCTGCCGCAGTCGTCCTCATCTGGGTTTATCACAACTTCATTTTTATTCATCTTTGGATTTGAGCAGCAGCAGATTCTGCAGGTGAGGAACAAATTTCCTGCTTTTTGTTTTTCCTTTCAGCCCTAAAAGCCCTGGAGGCTTTTCAAACGTTGGGACAATGAAACAACCGACCTCCTTTGGTTCTCTGGAAGAAAACCGGCTGATTCCTTTCAAATGACTAAAGACAAACTTCTGTTTCCCTTATTTTACTTATTATATTTAATTTAGCAGAAGCCAAAGCAACAAAATGCTTTTCTCCTACAGTAACCTGAAACCAAAATGTATTTATTCAAAGATAAAGTGACCCTGAACATCTAAAACATTTAAAATGTTGTTGGTTATTAAAGAACTGTAGCTTATTTTAATAATTGTTTTATAAAAGCTGCAATAGAAATGTTTTATTAATCTTTTCACCACATATGCTAAAGACTAAACCTCTTAATGTCAGCAAGCAGCAGGAAATTAACATTTTTATGGTTAATTTATTATTATAAACGGATACTTGAGTAAACTATCAAATATATTAAAATGAGTTTTTAAAAGTTGCATTTTACATGTCATGTTTACTTACATGTCAATAAGGTTCTAGTACTTTAAAGTCACTTTCCTTCCTGAAATGACAGAAATGAAACTCCTCAAAAATATTACGTTACTTGTTATTTAAATTCTGCCGTCATGAAGACTGAAAGGTTTCCAGCTTCAGTACAAACACGCTTGGCTCAGATAGATCTGAGTGTTTTTGTAATAATTTGCAGCTGCTGGCCGTAAATAAAAAGGATCAGAGGCCCTGAAATCCGACTCTTTGTGTGTAAAACGGTTTTTATACGTCGTTTAGTCTGAGTGGATTTCTTAAATGATGCTGAAAATCAGCATCATTTAAGAAATCGATCATCTAATCTGAGGTTAGAAGGTCATTTATTCCACCTGTTTGGACTATTTAATCCCATCACTTAAGTATTTCAGTTTTCTCAAAACTTTCCATTTGTAATCTACAAACAGCAGCAGAGACACTAAACATGTTTTCCTGTGGAGGAAATAACAGGAAATGCTGTTTCCTGAGTCTCCATGCTTCTTCACATACAGGAAACTTTGGGATCAACGACCCAAATCGCTTCAGCTCTTTATGTAAAGTGGAAAGTTCCTCTAAATCTGATTTGAGAGCATCAGACTTTTTGTCTTTTTTTGAAGCAATACATGCGCTTACCAGAAAAACTGCTGCTGTTCTAAGTTCCTGCCTTTGAAAGGTGCGCTACACAACAGGATTTTCTCTAATTTAACCTCACAGTTTTTCAGATTGGCGTTTCATTAGTTTTATTTTATGTGACATGTTTGCTGTTTTATGTCTTATTGGTGGTTTTGTAAATAAAGTTTATTTAGCTACATTTTTGCGCTAAAGATACATTTTTATGAGCGTCCACTAAAGAAAAATATGTTTAGCTTGTATTCAATAATAGAGTTCTATAAAAGCATATATTGTCAAGGCTTATGTAAGTATAATTTAGGTATTTCTATCACAGATACTGAATTACATTTTTTATAACCAATATTTTATATTTTTAAAATAAAATGTTTTTTCAATAAAATTATATTCATAAAATATTATTTTTAAATTGTACACAAAAGTAAAATTTAAAATGTGCTTTGTATGCACCGACATTTCCAACATTTTGGAATTAAATTTTATCTGCAAATTTTACCTTCGGGCTTCGCAGGAGTTCAGGACCAGAACATGGAAGAATAAAATCTGCATGTTCTTGACGTTACCTCTAAAAGTGTTTATAGCTGCCAATTGTAAGAGTTAAGATGTACCTCAGCATGCGCTACAGCAGAAGCTAACATCTAGCCTTACTTAGCTCTACTAAACTCAAGACTTTACTGATGTTCCACTCATATCCTTTAACACAATACATTATTTAAAAACAAGCTGCCCATCACCTGCGTACCACTTCCTGTCGTCTTTGTCGTTTCCATCAGTAGTAACATCCGATTGTTGATCACTTGACTAGTTTGATGACTTTTATAAAATACAATTGAAATAAGTTTTCTCCAAATGTTGTAAAATGTTTTCATTAGGATGATTTATTTTTGTAACTCCAATTTGTGCAACGATAAGAACGCAGCTGGTGTCTGGATTTAATCATATTTTGATTATTTATTGAACAATAAGTGGAGAAAATTGTAAAAGCAACAATAAAAATGAGTAAAAGATGTAATGAAAGGATATAAAATTTAAATGGCAGAGAGAAAACGGTGTTATTAGATCTCTCAGGCCTTTTCTGGTTGTTTTGTTTATGTTATGAAATATCTGCCCCCAAGATTCAGCAGACAGAAAGTGTCAGACATTCAGGAGTGATGAAAAGCAACCAGAGACCCTTCAGGCTCCTCTGCCTCGCTTGTTGGGTTTGTCCAAATGCAGGAAGTCGGTTGCATAATCGACATTGAGACATTAGTGAAGCTGGAGGAAATTTCCATCCATTTCTGCTGCTTCTCCCCAACTCAAAAGTTTCCATCAGGAGGCCTTTTATGTTCAGTCTAATCAGGCAGGTTAGTATTGATTCCCTTCAAATTATCCTAAAGATGTGTTGAAATCTAATCTCTCCAGAACTTGAAACAGCAGGTTTATCTGAAATCCTTCATGTTTTACAGCGATGTCAAGCAGGATATCTAAAAGCTCTTCAGGAGTTTCCGAGATAAAACTAGTTGAGACAAAACCGACATGCAACACAACAGTTTGAGCCGATCTTAGAGAAAAGAGCGTCTGCTTGTTTTCTGCTGCAGCATCGCAGCTAAAACCTGCTGAACCACTTCCAGATGCAGAAATACAGAGAATTAGTGTGTCACAAAAGCAAACAAACCGAGTCAGAGAACAGAACCTCCACCCTGCTGCTGCTCTGAGGACAGATTAACTGCTGCGCCTCAGTCGTTATGAGTTTCTGTGTCACTGAGGCAGATCATTCTGCAGATTCTGGTTTTGTTTGTGTCACGCCACCCTCATGTAAAGAGCACTTCCTGAACTGGAGGAAACTCGGTTCTGAAACCAGAAACATGAACCGTCAGAACATCTAGAACTAGTGCTAGAATCCAGCGGCTGACTCTTCAGAACTGATGCTTAAGTTGAGTTTCCTCCATCAGATCAAACCCGGAGCAGAAATACCAGATAACTGAGGACTCGGAGTCTTCTGACCCAAAGTAAGACTCTTTATTGGACTGTGGTGGTTCTGGTGAAACTCACGGATCGAAGATGCTTCACTCCTCTCTCCTCCAAACCTTGCCTCAGATTTAACATTTAATATTAATTATTAAGTCATAATTATGAACAAAACCTTGTATGTAAAGCTGCAGTATGTGCCTTTTTTATTTAATATATATACAGTATATATATATATTTTATGTATTTACAGTCATAAACAGTCTCCATGTCATGACAGTATAAGATCGTCTGAAAAACTGATAGATGGGTATTACTGCCATGTGAAGAAAAACAACCAATCACAGGAAGGAGGCGGGTCTTCTTAGCGCTGTCAATCAACGTCATGAAAACCATCCATGGGCTTCAGTGGCTAACTAGCATTAGCAATCATTTTCTACTCACATGGAGAAGAGGATGGGGGGTAAAGTGGCAATAAAATGTGCATGATTGACAGCACTAAGCCCCGCCTCCTGGCTCCTATTGTTTCTAGTTAGCAATGTAATAAATAATTCATTATTCTAATGAATTTTCTAATAATTTAGTAGAATAAATGAATAATTTTAAGTTATTAATATTTGTTATTTGTTTTGTTGATTCTGATTTGTTGTTTTTAAATCTGTTTTGTTCTATTTTTTTTGTTACTGCACTCTTCAAACCTTATAATAATCACTTTTGACAGATAAAATCAAACTAGTCTTTTTCACTTTATTAAATGTAAACATTTATAATGTTCTTGATTCAGATGGAAATCTGATCAACATGAACATGAAAAACGATGAGATAAAATCTGCAGCTAAAAGCAAACCCGTTTTTTATTTGTTTTTTGTACCACACACCTTGTTTTACCTCTGGGGCAATTGATAGTTAAATGTGTCACTTTTTATTTTGTCTGCTGTTGAACAAATAACTGCAACCTTCACATGTGTTCAGACATGATGAAGCTCGTTAAGATGCTAAAAATGGCTTCTGCTGTGAACTCTCAGCCAACATGAAAATCGCAGCCAACATTCAGAAGTTTGGACGGATTAAAGTGTCGGATCCAGATGTTGTGAACATCCTGGTAAAGGTAAAAACTCACCCTTCTTAGGGTAAACAAACATACGGTGCTCTGCAAACACACAAAGTATTACCAATGATTTCTGGTCTAGTTTCCGGTGCAGAAATGTTTTTACGGTTGAATTACAAGAAAACGTTTCAGCCAGAAATAGGAGCTTGTTTCAAGCCAGTTTTTTCTTAAAGTTGTTGAAAAAGTTCTCGTTCCTTTGGCAAGACATTTTTTCCATCTTGTAAGTGAAATGATCTGCCAATGAGACGAGTACTTACTCATCAATTTCAAGGAATTACTGACTTAAAACAAGCTCCTTTATCTTGCTGAAAAGCTACTTGTAAGTCCGTTTTGCCTTATTTTAAGATATTTGATTTAAAACTGTTAGTCCTAACTTGTGGCCTGATGTATCAAACTGCTGTGATGTTCAGATTATTTCCCATTATGACATCAGTGTGATCCTGGAGGTCATCGACGCCAGCGGGAAGTCGGTGGAGACGCTGGTGCAAGCGCTCAACAAGTTAGTAAAAGTTACCAAAATCATCAACAGCTCAATAAACTGATATCCACAGAAGCACTTCAGCTCAAATCACCTTTCTCTAAAATAAACGTCATCTTTATGATTTTGATTCATTTTAATTGTTTTCAGAAGATACAACAAAAAAAAAAAAAACAGCAATGAATTTTAAAAACAGTAACAAACTTAAGTTAATGTTCACAGTTTTGTTTTTATATTTTATGATTTTATTTGTATTGAGATTGTACTGTTTAAATCAAGGCTGAAGAAGAAAACATGACTTTGAGGTTAATTGGTGTCTCTAAAAACGTTTAAGCGCCAAGTTATAAACATATTTGATATTGAGACTCAATCAGCTTCATCCACCGCTTTTCAGAGCCAACAAGAAACATCACTACACTTTGAAAATCAGCTCTCGATTGGGCCGGACGCGCTATAAGGAGCAGTTCATGTTCCTGTACAGGTGACAGTTCATTCATTCACTCACTCATTCGTTCGTTATGAAGTGCTCTATGAATGAAGTCGTATTGAATGCGCATGCAGGGACGACCTGGTTGACCTTGTGGGATCGTACCAGTTCGATGATGAGAAGACCGAATGCCTGGACGTCTTCGCCAGGGATCCGTACATCCTTCGGTTCAGGTGTCTGAACACAGGTGAGCCATGACTTGTGGTCAGATTGATGCCTTCATCTCTCCTGAGATGTAAAACCAGATTTCTGTCCGATTCTCCTCGCAGTTCTGAAAGATCTGGTGATGATCCCAGTTCACACCCAAACCGAGGACTCGGAGAACGAGCTGGACGAACTCTACGACCTCTTCATTCACGTGAAGAAGAAGTGGAGGACTGACATAAGACTTCAACCAAACCAAAACATTAAAGACTCATACTGTAATATTTAAAACTCCAGAACCGGAGAGTTCACGTTCTTTTCCCCACGGCTGTAAACTGGGAACAAAACCTCAGATCTGTCACTAAAAGTAGATCAAATTAAAACAAACTGGTGACACTGGTTAAGGTTTCCTGATTCTCTGCTGCAGAACGATCCTGGGGGACTTCAACGCCGACGGCTCGTATGTTTCAAAGAAGGAGATGAAAACCATCCGAATCCGCAGCAACACGAACTTCCACTGGCTGATCGGAGACGATGTGGACACAACGGCGAGCACCAAAAACACCAACACATACGACAGGTAGAAACCGAACGCCCAGCTCCTCCCAATGAACGTTTAAAGCAACTATAACTCAAAACTCTTCAACATTTAACAAAAGGGTATTAAATAACCAGAACTGTGACTGCGACTCCCTGCTTCAATTCTTCTTCTCCTCTTTCAGGATCGTTGTTTACGGAGACGACATGCTTCAGGCTGTTGTTCCAAAATCTGCTAAAACCTTCAACTTCCAGAAAGCTTACAAGCTCTCCGAAGAGCAGGTTTGTTCTTATTATCACATGTTGAAACGTTGCTTCTGAAAATATTTCAATTATGAAAAATTATTTATGACCATGATCAGACAAATTACACAGTGTGGGTTTCCAGTCATACCTTAGCAACGAGAAAACATTGAGTTAAGTCATAATTAATGAAAAAGAGTTTTGAATTGTGACTCCACTGTTGTGTTTTTGTGACTCATGGTTCGTTCTGTTCTGTTATTTCATACAATTAACAGCTAAATTACCATAATTACAGGCACATGGAGATAAAATTGTCTATAACTGCACGTTTCACCTTGATATTTGTCTTTTTTACCCATAACTGGAGACGGCCCAGAAGATGCAATAATCTTAAAGTTTAATTATTTCCAGGCTCTGAAAGTGAGTGACCATTATCCAGTGGAGGTGGAGCTGAAGTCTATGGTTGAAATAACAGATGAAGGCGATGGTAAGTTGAATAATAATAAAAATAATGATAAGGGTATTTTTTAGTTCTATAGCTAACGGTGTTTTACTAACTATAAATCTTCAAAGTCCAGAGAAATAAACATAGTTTCAATTTACGGAGGATTTTTCTATTTCTTTGGGCTTTGAAAATTTACAGCTTGAAATCCTTTTTTTAAAGCTGACCTCTTGTCATCCACAATCTTGTCTTCTCGATGTGACTTCATAAGGAGTGATGGGGGGGTTGAAGTCCACCCCAAAGGGAGGTTAGCTAACTGCTGCAATCAAACAAGCTAACTCATACTAGCAATACAAACCGATAATTAATTTCTTCATATTTATGCACAGTAAAAACAGTGACACAAACCCTCAAAAGTGCAGACAAACAGGAAGTCACTCCAACTTTCAGTGCGTTCGGCAGCCATATTGGATTATGAAGACGATGTTGCTCTGCTTGCTCTGACTTTCCAATGTGACTCCAATCTTGACTATGATTTTAGTCAAGATTCCAGTTAATTTTTCCAACTTTAAGTCTCAAAATTTGAGCTGGAAAAGAACAATAAAGCCAGATTGGCAAGCAGCTTGAAGTGGGGGTGAACTCTTTTCCTTTGGCTTCATTTAGATAAACAAATATATAGTTATGTAGTTATGGCTGCATGACATAACTACATACACAAAAGTCCCAGGTTATCATTAAAAACATTTTTGCCTGGCCATATCATCTGCATAATTAGAGTCCAGTGTGTGCATTTATATCAGATTTAAGTTTCCAATCTTTGTACATTTTTAATTTTTATGAGACTATTACATTTAAAAATTATGAAAAATAAACAACAGTGGAGGAAAGAAATAGAGTTTTAAAATAATTTTTGTGGAAATCTCAAAGCTTGGCTTCTGTCTTAGGTAATGCTGGTGGCTGCTTTGTTTGGTTTTGCTGGAAGACAGGAACTAAAAGTGCAATTATCTTTCAAACATCAGCTTCACTTACCTGCATGGAGCTTCCCTTTTGATTACATGACATATCTGCTTCCTCTGCAGGCCTGAAAGACAAGCTGGGCGGGATGCAGTCTGATGAAGATGAGGATCTAACAGAGCTGAAGAGAGGAAATCTGCTCCTGGAAAGAGAGAAGCTCAACCTGGAGATCCAGATCCTCTGAATGAAAGTCGCCAGGATGACCAACGGAGCTACAATTTAACCTGAAGAGGCAAGAGTTCAGCCTCACTTCACACCTACTCAACAATCTGCCAATTTCCAGGTCTGAAGTTGGAAAAACCAACGAGATTAATCTGAAACACAGCCAACATGACCGTAAGCTGCAGTAATACTGGTTAGCTGTTAGCGTGTACGGCTACAGGAGCCAGTTTCACAAGGCTGGTCTCTGCCTGACTCCTGGAAAAACTGATCCAGATCAACCAGAACCAGTTTTCTACCTTGATCTGGGCCTGATTTGACAACACTGCAAAACCACAAAATCTTACCAACTCTTTTAGTTTCTAGTGCAAATATCTTAGGAAACTTGAAATAAAAGAAAACCAAGTAACTTTTCAGCAAGATGTAGAATCATGTTTCCTTAATATTGATGAAAAAGTTCAAGTTCTTTTGGTAAAGCATTTTTCCTATATAATAGAACTTTTTCATCCATATTAAGGGATTATTAAGTTACTTTTCTTGCTGGAAAGCAATTTGTAAGTTAGTTTTGTCTTATTTCAAGTGAACTAAGATATCTGCACTAGAAAATGAATCAAAATACTTGTTGAGATTTAATGTTTTTGCAGTGAAGCAAACAGAAAAAATATAAACATTTTTACATTCTCCAGAGCAGAAGATGTGATCCAATCCTCTTTGAATACCCTTGACATTCTGATATCAGATAATTTTTCAAGTACAAGGCCTTGTTTACATCAGATTTCATTTTGTCTTTGTCCGATCAGCAGCTGCTCTGTCAGCCATTGATGGTATGTTGCAGTCTGCAGTTTTGCATCTATCATCTAGACTTGATCATCCTTGGTGCAGAATACCAACATCTCGCTCTCTATATATCATATGTGAATATAAATTGAATTATGTTTTTATTGTTTTGTTTTTGTTGGGAGTTTTCTGCATCTCAACCATCAGTTTCAGCCTTATTGTCATCAAACTAGCAGCATCACTGTGCGCTGCAGATCGTTTAGACGTGGCACAGTACTCACTAATAATAAGAATAAATAATACATTTTATTTATAAAGTGCTTTTAATGGCACTCGAGACTCATGCTGCAGAATAATAGTTAAAACTCCAATAAGAAGAAAATATTTGTTTCGTAAAATAACGAATTGGAAGAAATTATGCACTGAAAGAAAATCACAATGAGCATCTGATGTTGGATTTTATGAGTTAATTGTTGAATATTCCAAAAGATAAATTATTTATGCTTTTAATGCTCAACATTTAACACAAATGCTTGACATTGTGACAGGTGGTTTTTCTGCGCCCTAAAAACTCCTTTGTTCTACTATCCTATGCGCAATTTGGAGGTATGTGTGCTTCACCATGGCTTTCTTACTTGCTGAGTAAGAGCCATGCTCTGGTTGATTATGTCACTTTTTGTGGGTACAAATAAAGTATTTCCTGCACCACAAAATTGGGCCACCTGGTTCTCAGGTGGCCCAATTTAACCTTTAATTGTTTAACTTGAGAATCTGAAGAGCAGTTTCATGTGTATTTTTTTGACATGTTATTATTGTATCTTGAACTGAAACTACATTCCTGGTTCTGTTAAATTTCTTAACCAGCTATATCTGAACAAAAAGTGGCAGCAGCACCATGCTGTTTTGTTTAACGACTCATTTTTTAAGTTACTGTCAAAATTAAAGGTTGTTTTTTAGATTTTTTAGCACAACTCAATACAGATGCTTTTATTTACTTTTTTCTTCTCACAGAATGAAAACTGTCTTTTGAAATAATAATTTAAATAATTACTAAATTTTCTAAAGGTGATTTTTTTGTAATTAATTTAACTCAATGTTTTTTGTGTTGCTGTTTGTCAATGCGGAGTGTAAACATGTTTTGTACAGGATAATTGTTTTTACCATATTTTATGAATAAACTGATTTACAATAAAAACTGACAAAAGCAACAAACATCACTGGCTGTGTAATTATTGCAAAAATAGTTTTCATCAAGCCGTAACACTCCTCTGGTGAGTAGCTTTAAATCTGTAAAACGGTGGAACGGCAACTGACTTTCCAACAAGAAAATGTCAAAATATCTTCTGGTAAAATTATCAAAATATAAGAATACTGTGAGAAAGTACAAATGAGGCCTCATATTTAAAAGTTTTCCTTCCAAGCAGCTTTACAAGTGTATCAAATTTCATGTCTCTACGATGAAGGGTCCTTTGAAAATTGCTAGGTGGCGCCGTTGAGCCATTTTTTTTTAGATGTTTGCAACAACCTTAAAATACAAAATTTTGAAACTTCCTTGATGTTTCCTTGAAAATTTTAAAGTTTTAAAACGTTTAAGTTTTAAAACTTAAAAGGTTTTAAAACTTTTTTGCTTTAAAACAAAGTTTTAAAACTCGCCCCGAACACAGAGGCTACAACCTGCATGTGGTCTTCAGTTCTTCTCTTTCATGTCTTTATTCTAATAATTATCCAAATTAATCTTCTTTATCATTCTCACTCTTCGTTTTTCTTCGACTTCTTAAATCCTAGAAATTTTTTTAGTCTTTTCCAAATTGTTTTTTTAGGTTTCGTTTGACCGTCCTGCAGGTCCAAATCCTGGATCTTGGGTTCTTCTTGGATCGAGATTTCTTCAATAGCTCCAGGATCCTTAGAACAACCTGGTTCTGGTTCTCCAGGTTGTTCCTCCCCTGAATCCATCTGATCATTTAAATCACTAATTGGGTCGACATGGCCAACTGATTTTTCCTCCTCTTGTTCTTGTTCAGAACTCGGCGTGTTGGATGACGGTAAATCTATTGTGGGTTCAAATATATTTTCTGCAGAATTACTTTGAAGCTGGTTTTGTTCTGCTGCCTTTTTCAGTGTTCTTATGTCACTTTCGTATCGAATGTTCAGATCTTTATACAGAATGTTGACTTTGTTTAATTCATCCATGGCGTTGCTCAGCTTCTCCTGCAGGCACTGAATCTCATTTTTTCATGTATCCTGTAGGACGGCTTTTTCCAATGTTAAGTTGTCCATAAGCTTCTTTTCCTCCTCTGCTTTCTCTGGGTAACATCTTCTCTCTTCAGTTATCTGCTGCTTCAGGATCTCAGCACTTTCTTTCTGGGCTTTAAGTTAATCAGTGAGCTCCTGATTTTTCCCCAGTTTTTCTAAATTATTCTCTTTTTCCTGCCTGAGCTCTTGCCGGCATCGCTCCAGGTCAAGTTTCAGGGCAGAGATCTCTCTTTCATAGGTCAACGTCAGATCATTATATGATTGTTTAGATTCATCTAATTCTCTTCTTAACAGCTGTTCTGACTCAATTTTCTCTGACATTTCTATCCGCATAGTTTCCATCTCGGTTTTCATATCATCCAGTAGTCGTTTCTCATTGATCTTTTCATCATAAAATGTTTGTGTTTTGGCCTCTTGCCTCATCACAGTCACTTCTGCATTATATTTTGAATTGAGCTCCTGGTATGAAGTCTGAAGTTCTTTGAGTTTCCAGGGCCTTACTCTTCTCCTTCTCGGCATGCAGTTCTTCCACAAAAGACACCCTTACCTGCCAGGACACCCTTACGTCTTCGTATCGCTGCAGTAATTCCTCCTTCTCCATATCTTTTACTTCGAGGTGAGCCTGAGAAGCAATCACTGCAACTTTCAGGACTTCCGGGTCACTGAATTTCTGCAGCCTTTCTAGTTCTGCTTTGGCTTTGCAGGCCTGATAAAAAAAAATCGAGCTTTCAGCTCTTCTTGTTTTTTCAGCTGGAAAACCATTTCTTCGAGCTCTTCCTCAAGTTTTTCTTTTTCTGCATGCCTTCTGGCCGTTTCTTTTTTTAGAAGAGCGTTCAGTCTTCGCACTTCCCCTTGCAAGTTGTCGGGGTTTGCAGGTGGGTTTCCCCTCCTTGTATTGGGTCCCATCTTCCACTAGTGGATCTTTCACTGTGCTGAGACATTTTCTCCAAACTAAACTCGTTGATCAGTAAAGTATTGTACTAATTACTCCCTTTGCGATTGTTCAAACTTTTGCAGCGCCACTCTGGAGATAAAAATGAACTAATAATCAAATGTATCTTTTAAGACTCCCAGTGATCTTGGGGTTTCCCAACAAGACAATGCTGACGGTTTTAACTTTTCACCTCCTCACCTGCTTTCCTGCAGACTAGCAGACAAACTTCAATAAAACTTTCAATGGCAGGTAAAGTAGCAGGTAAATGGTGGTGAAACCAAAAACAACTCTGTCTCCACTGTTTGCTGGAAGAACATGGAAGATGGCGAGGAATATTTTAGTAGAGAGCGTCCATCCTCACTTTTCATCAGTTTGAACCTCTGAGCTGATAAAGGTGTTATTGTTGCTCTGGCAATAAACAACATGCATTAAAAGTCATTTATTGATAGTATGATGATTATTCTTAATCAAATTAAATAACATTTACCTTAGTATGCAATATTGTTCAGGGATTAAAGGATTTTTATTGTCATATCAGCCACTGGCCACCAGGGGCTCCCAAGGCGCCCCAGCCTGGCTCCAGGGTGTACGGTGGCCCTGAGGTTCAAACCACTTCAGCAAATTGAAACCACAGTTACAAAAGCTCTATAACATGAACGAAAGCACAACATTAATGAAAGCGTTTTTATATCGCTGAGAACGTTCATGTTTTTAAAAAAACACGTTAAAGCCAGAATAACTTCTGATTCAAAGTAAAAACGAGCCGCAGAGCGATCAGCGTTTTCTTAGGTCTCCCATTGGGACATACCTGATCCGTTTCATCAACGTTGAACCATCCAGGCATCGAACAGAAGCTAAACAATGTGGATGTGCCTAAACTTAATTCAGCTGAACGGAATCAAAATAGAAATTCTTTTTTTACGTGAAGAGGAATGATCTAGAAATTATGCAGGAAGAATATGAATGTGAATTTAAAGAAATACAGCAAATTAAAAAATTGTAGTTATCCCAATTCACTTAAAATGATTTTTAACGGTTCAAATTAAATGTTTATTTCAATATATAAAGTTATGGTTTTCACAATAATTTGTAGATTTACGTCACGATTCAGAACAGAACCAACAACCTAAATACTCGTTTTATCCTGTTGTTGCAAATGGAAAAAGAATTGATAAATGAAAGTTGAATAGATATGGTTTTCTTTTTCTGTAAAACTTAATAAATAAATGTAGCTGCCATTTAAGTCTAAAAACCAGACCAGACAAGTTTAGCATTAGAGACAAATTTGCTCTTCTAATGAGGTTTGAAAAGGACAAAACGTTTCATTACAACTGGATTCTTTACTGTTCACTGATGATTTAACTAATTCAACTGGAATTAAAGACAATTTATATGATTTGTCTTCCGTCTCTAAAGGCCATATTATTTGTTTCAAACATTTTTCTTTGTCCACACTGTAAAATGTAATAAGTTCACTTTACTTAAAAAAAGTTATAAAACCTCAAAATCTCCAAGTAAAGTAGCTAATTAATTCTAAGGTGTTAAAGCTATAAATAACTATGTTTAGACCATTCAGATAATGGCAGTAAACCTGAGTGCCGTTAACTCAAAATCATTAGTAAGGTTGACTATAAAATGTCAATTATGACTACTACAATTTGTGAGTTATGTCAATTAAGCAGTACTCATAAAAATAAGTTATGCTTACACATTTAAGCATTCACATTACTTGGAAAATATCAGGAAACCGATTGCCTTGATATGTTCAAGTAAGAAGAACCAAAAGTGTTAAGTTATTGAAACAGACAACAGTTTGAATGTGGTTGAAACCCTGCAGCTCTACAATCTGCTTTGCTTTAGTTTAACTGCAGCCTCTGAATGGAGCCATTGCTCCGATTTACTGCATGACTGGCAGTTCAGTTCAGACTCTAACGCTCGGATTTTAACCTTTATTGACTTCTTGTCACCTCAGCAGCAGGACAAATGTCGTTATGTTCTCCCTACCAATGTATGAATGTGATTGATTGCAGGTTCCACAGCAAAACTACACAAATAACTTGGAAGTAGCAACAGTTTCGGATGAAAAAAAATACACGAACATTAATAAAAATGCAGTTAAACGAAAAAGTAAAGACAAAAACTAAAAAACGAAAAGCTGGAGGATGCGGGCATCGATCCCGCTACCTCTCACTTGCGCCAATTGTTGTGCGCTTAATTTCCAGGTGGTCCAATCATATGACGTGTTGGTGGCTTACTTTTGACCAATCACCGTCCACCTCCTGGACTTTTAAACTCCGTTGAGAAGAGCTTGGATCATTTTTTTATTCATGGATCTGGAATGTTATATTATTCCATAGCTAAGTAGCTATAGCTAATAGCTAAGTGTGTTTATCTAGTTGAAGTTTTTCGAATGTATGAAACTGGTTGTACCAAACACACTATTCAGTCTCTTGAATTAGCAAAGCGCTCCGTTAGCTTAACAAACGTTGCAGGCCTGAGGCACTGGGTTAGCATCGTCCTCAAAATAGCTGTTCCAATCATGGCGGCTCCCAGAACCATCATGAGGAATGGGTTACTCACCGCGAGTTACCAGTTTTTAAACGAACGGCAATAAAACTGCTCCAACTCCGGTCCAACAGTCCGTTCCGGCTGACGAGCGTGGTCCGGTTCTGTGGCTCCAAAAGCCAGGCAAAATGTTCAGGAAAAGTTAGCAGTTCACAGTTCGAACCTCCACCATGAACGGCCGCGGCTGACTGAGAGAACGAGTTACAGTACGAGCTACAGTACGAGTCCATCACAACCAATCAAATTGCTTAAATTTGATTTTGCCCTTGACTGACCAGTAAGGTAGGGACAAGTGAAATTGATGCATTTACTTGCGGTAGTAAAGAACAGTTATTAACAAAACGCTACATTTACTGCGTGTTTTAAGCCAACAAGCATTACCTGAGGGGTTACATATAACCTCCATCCTTTTGGAAATGTGACGGCAGACGCTCTCGCAAAGTTTTCACTCCCATCCGCCCGTCGATCTGTTTTGACATCTTTAGCTGTCTTTGTAATGCAAGTTGTTTCATTGGAGGAGTAATACTGACACCTACTGGCGAAATACTGAAATGGTTTCTAACCAGTGACTGCTGATGAATGACATCCTTTCTATTATTTCTAGCCAAAATGAATGAATGTTTGTACTCTAACCCACAAAATAAAATTATTTTTTTAAAAAAAACTTAATAATATATATTTAAATAATTATGTTAACCTGCATAACATAACCTATATTTCATGGGCTGCTGTGGTGTTAGCTGGGTGAAGGTGATGTCATCAAGTGACCATGTAAATGTGTTCAGGACTGTTCTGTAGTGAGACATTGGAAGTATTATGCAGTATTATAAAGCCCCCGAAAAGCCAATTCATTTGGAGGGAAAATCATAATAATAAGAAACAGTACAAAAACAATAGGCCTTCGCAGCACTTTGCTGCTTAGGCCTAAAAAACCACATAAAACAAGATATAATTACAAAAAAAAATTTTTATTGACACCTCCCACTTCACAATACAACAAAAACATAGTTCAGGTCTTTTCTGTTAAACATTTTCCACTGAAGAAATGTTCCCTTTTATTTTTGCCAAAAAATAAAGAGATTTCATAAGCAGAGTTAATTTAGTTGTTGGGTCTGAAGGGAGATAATTACTTTTCTTCTTTCGGGGAGGCATGTTGTTGTCTGATCACTCAAACAAAGGTCGTTTTCTGCACTGTACTGAGAGCTGGAAGAGCTCAGTGCAGGAACAGCTTCTGAGTGTTTCAGGGTTCATGTTTACCAGTAAAAAACAAACTGAAGGTTGCTAGGCAATATCATCTTCAAACTTTACTTCTTCCCCGACTTCTTGATCCCACCGCTGGCTGCAAGAAAAATTACACGGATACAAAACTGATAAAATATCAACTGTGGCTGATTTTGTTTAATTTATAACATGAAACAAAAGGATTTTCTATAAAATTAGAGACAACATTGGGCTCAGATATGGAGCTTCTTGGGTGTGAAATGTTTCTCCATACGTTCTGTGAAACCATAAAATGATGCATCAGACCAAACACATAATGCTGTTAATCCCATACTCAGGTTGTGTGTTCATGGCTGCATTTCTAGTATTATTTAAAAACCCACAGAGGTGCAACAAAAAATAAAATATCAACCATATGTGATATGTGTCTTCCAGACAAAATCTGAAACAAATTTAAGGAAACTTGAGGAACTGTTTATGTTCCTCCCATCTGTTGCATGAACAAACTGCAGCGTCGATGTGGAATGGTGGCTGTAAATAAAGCTCAGGGTATGAAGTAATTAAGACTCATTAATGTTATTAAAGGGCCAGTAGTATGTGTTTTCCAGGGACCTAATGCCATTTTATAGCTACATGAAGTAGCTATGTTACTTTCATTTGTTGTAAAAATGTTGCTGATATCAAATATGACATAAAAAAAATTACTTCCTAATTTAATGTCTTGAAAGTGGAATTCTGTCTCTTCAAAAACTTCAATTTAGATAAACAATTTAATGAAGATTTTTCTTAATTACTTCTCTAGTCTCACCTAAAGGTCCTTTTCCTGACGCTTTGGCCTTCAACGCCTCCATGGCTTTCTGGTCTTCCTTCTGCTTCTGTTTGAAGGCAACGTCTTCCTGCAGGCAGAAATTATTTTTAATACGCCACAAGCATCACTTTCGGTTAAATTCATTTCCTATTCACAAATGAATGGGAATTTCCAGAGGATTCTTTGAACACAATGAATCCACTCATGACACTTTAAATATTCATGGTCAGGAGGCCAATAAAGAAAATGTCTTAATCTGTGACTTCATAAGTTAAATTGTGAAAGAATAATCTAAATGGATTAAACTTACATCATCCATTTCCTTGTTTTGTTTCTTGGGCGCCTTGAGTGGTTTCTTTTTGCCTCCTGAAAAATGTATAAATAAAACAAATCAACCAACATTGCTGTCACTCCGTCTTTAAAAAGCAATTTTGTATTTATTACTTTATGATATTTTTACACTTAATGAGCTACTGCTTATTAAATCTACTGCACAACCTCAGACTTTAAGACATATTAGTGCAGATTTTATTTGAAATATTTTCAACCATGAGTGAAAAATATCAAAGTGATTTCTGACTCATAGTCATGTATCAAACAGTACAAGTTCACACTGGTTGCTTCCATTGGTTTAAAAAAAACTGCTAATCGAAGCATTTGATTAACTGATTACCTGCCTAATGTCCGTCATTCTGGGAACGTTTGGGGGTTTTCATTCCAGAGAAAGACTAAATGCTGGTTAATTCACCTGCTCATCACTTCAAACCTTTATAATTTCGGTCATTTCATTTTGATTTATCTCAATCTCTAATTAAATGAAGCACAAAGACCCCAAATGGTTCTACAACGATGTCAGATTGAGCAGGTCAAACATAACAAAAACGACAGTTAGCGCTGCTAAATGTGGGTCTACACTCTGAATCAAGATCTATACTTGTGTTTTGTTTTTTCTCAGTGAATGCGTGCATTTTTAGACATTACGCAAATAAGTGATGATGATGGACATTTTTGAAGTGAAACACAGCATATTAGCAAGAATCTGTTAGCATTTTTAGCTTCATGCACAAACTGAAGCGCCCAATACATAAAGTAACAAGGTCAGAAATTCATAGTGTTGCAGCTTAGCACAGCAAAAAAGTCTCACCTTCTCTACCGGACATATTTAAATCGTTTAAATAGGATATAAATCACTAAAATTAACGGTAAATGACAGCAACTTGGGCTTGTTGTCGATTTAATCCGCGCTGGAAGGACCCCAGAAGAACCGCCGGAAGTAGGTTACCAATCATATGCCTGAACAAAAAACACCTACATGATGCTAGCTGGTTCTTGAAACACCAGGAAAATAAGTGGTTAAAGAAAATTTATTCCGAAAAACTAAATGCTGTGACAGCTCTAAAGGAAACAGGTGCGTTTATTTTAGTAGCTGAATCCTTAAAATAGAATTACGAGAGACATATTCTAGGCAGTTTTATAAGAAAACAAACACCGAGGTCAATGTTAGCATTACAAAGCTAGTTAGAAAGGTAGCAGAAAACAATGATGTAACAAAAAGGAGTTTCAATTAAATAAGCCGAATTATATGTAAGTATTTAGAGTGTGGCAGTAGTGTATGTATTTAATGGTTTGTCTTCAGTGAGGGCAGAAACTGCTCTTTGCTGTGTTACACAAAGTCAGGATTGTCTGCAACAATTAAAAAAAGACTAGAAAAAAATATTGCAATTGGTAAAAAGCTTGCTGTTACATTTAAGTTATTTTAGATTCAGAATGACTATTTATTTTAAAATGCGTAATAAACCACGTATTGTTCTTATATTGACAGGTTTTGTTATTGGTATTGCGCTACTTCTATGTAAATCAATTTAAAAGCAGCAAACCTTTATATTGATTTATGAAGCTTTAATCATGAAAGCAGCTGTCAGGTAATTTTTTAAAAACCTTAATAGATTCATAAAAAGGTAACTTGTGAAGTAACTAATATATGTGCTCGTATGTCCCCCCATAAATTAGGAGAGTTGGATAATAATATCGAAAATACAGATATTTTTTTACAGCAAACTTTCTTTCATTTAGAAAAATCTAAGAAGTATGTAACTGTCAAGTTTAAGAAAAAATAAACTTAAAAAAAAAAACTTTAAAAAAAGGCATTTAAGTGCCTGAAAAGTATGAATGTTAGATAAGGTACATTTTAAAAAATAAAGGAACTGTTTGTTTTAATAAGGTAAGATTTTGTTAGGTTTTACAACTAACTAAATCTTGCTTTTTTAAAGCTGGAAATTCAAACTTTAGGGATTGTTGAGTTTTTACTCGACTTCAGATTTAATTTGCTCTTACTCTGATACACACAAGTCCTTCACTTCAACATTTTAATCTATTGGTCCTAATTTGATTGGATCCAAATGTTTTAAAAAGATTTTGTTTGTTTGGTTTTCTTTTCTTTTTAGAGGTGCCTTTTTGGTGTCGGCCCAAACGTTATCAATGAGGTAAGAGACTCATGAAATGCTTTAAACTGAATTCAATTTACCAGAAGAAATTTAAAAGAAAATCTGAAGTCAATCATAGAAACATTTGTGTCAGAGCCCAAACCTTTGGGAATGACTGAAGGAACTGAATTAATTAAAGAAGTTTCTCCGTCTCAGGTACAGAGGAGCTCAGATCTACATCTGGGTTCGAGGCTCATGCTGTCTGTCTCGGTCCCACCTGGCGGCCCGAACTGCTCTGGTTCAGCCCTACAGCTCTGAACCGCCGTCTCGACCTTCTCCACCTCCTCCACCCACTGACCCCTTTCCTCTTGTACAGAAAGGTACAGGTGAGGTGTTGAAGGAGCGCAGCCTGTCTGCCCTGCAGGTACAGCTGTCCAGTACCAACATGCCAAAAAAGACAGAATTATCAGAACTGCATTTTCTGTTTGTTATGATTAAAGTAGCATTAAATAAAAAAGTTCTTCCCCTTTTTGTCCCATTAGCATGCAGGAGAGTTGGGGCGGCAGTGGAGCCAGAGGTCGGCGCAGACGGCCACCGCCACTATGAACTACTGGTGGGGGAGATACGAGGAGTTTGTGGGGCTGAACGAAGTCCGTGAGGCTCAGACCAAGGTCACAGAGGTCAGAAATCACAGAAAACAGGCATGCCTGCAAGTTTAATCAGAGAGAAACATCTTTATGCAAAATTTACAGTTTGCATGTTTCTGTTCTTCTGTTTGGGTCTTAAATCCCTCTAAAAATCAAGACAGCACAAGTACATAAAAAAACATTCAGCCTGTTTTTGGTAATCAGTTAATGTTTTTTGGTGTCTGGAAAATGAGACGTTGCAAAATGTTCCAGAATGTTGAGTTTCACAGTGCCATTACCTACCAAGCAAAGCCCAGTCCGTCACCTAGTAACCAAGCTGAGATCCAGCATGTTTGGTCAGCTGGTTTTACTGCTGGATGTGCTGTACAATGGCTGCTGGAAAAGACAAGTGTTTTGTTGTTAGCTCACCAACTAGAAACCAGTTGCTGCATTCTTATTGGCTGTGCAGGAGTCTCCACTAATGCTTTTCAAAGTCTCACAGACTGAATGTGTCTGCTCAGGCTGAAGCAGCGTTCATGGTGGCCAGAGGAATCGTGCGTGAGGCGCACACCAGCCTGGAGGCGCTGCAGGGCCGCCTGAAGGAGGTCAGAGACCGGCTGGACCGCGTCTCCAGGGAGGAGGCTCACTACCTGGAGCTGGCCACGATGGAGCACAAGCTGCTGCAGGTCAGCTCAGGAAACAACCACCAGTAAAAACTGGTGATTCAACACAAACAGCGAGTTTGACTTACGCAGGGTGGATGAGCATCAAAGCGTCTCCACTTTACATCTACAGCTGCCTAAGTGGTCAAACTTTCATGTTGTGAGATAATCAGGGTTTGAATGAATTTTCAATGAGATGTTTTTAAGATCTGAAAAGTTCTTTATTTCTGTGTAAACACTGATATTCAAACTACACAGTTTTGTAATGAAGTTCAATCTAAGATTTGATTAAAAACCCACATTTGGAAAACATTGTTAAAAATTTAAACCAGATACTCAACAAAAATACAAATACAATTTTTTTTTCTCAGAATAAACCTGTGTAAAACAGATCAGCCATTTTTTTTTTCTGGACTGCAGGAAGAACGGCGTCTCCGGACTGCGTATGAGAACGCCGAGAGTTTGGAGAGGGAAAAGTTCGGCCTGTTTTCGGCGGCGGTGAGGGAGAGTCACGAGAAGGAGAGGACGAGAGCGGAGCGCACCAAGAACTGGTCCATCATCGGCTCTGTGCTCGGAGCCCTGATTGGGGTCATGGGGTCAACGTATGTCAACCGCGTCCGCCTTCAGGTAACAAGAGACGCTGACTGAACTTTAACCCTGAAGCATGAAATACTAAGAGAGGGAGACAGGAAGTAGACGAGGAAGCTTCTGGGTGGTTGAAAACATAAATACCGCCAACAAATCAGCCCAAAAATTACACCAAATATTTTTATTTTTAAGATTTTAAATGTACAACAGTAGAGATTAGGAGTTGAGTGGAGTCTGGTGCTTTAGCAGCAAATGAATCCAATGTGTTGGAATCTCCATCTTGTTTTCAGAACCGACCTGTTTGGCCTGATGATGCAACATTGATGTTCAATTTGTTTCTCAGTTTATTTTGGACTTTCTCAGAACTTTGTGTTGCTCTTGTTCATCCTGATGTGGGTTTGAGGTCAATGACCTGTTGAGTCGCCAGCTGTGTCAAAGCTTCAACCAGGAGAGGAGAAAATATTTAGATTTAAAATTAATTTCTTTCAACGTTTGTTTCTGATAAGACTTTAAACAAATGTTAAAACTGTAATGTAAGACAATCAATTAAATTATTTTTTAAATATATAATTTTTTTTATGTATACATGAAATGATGGAAGCCCACATCAGCCATGAAAGAAAAGATAAAAATCCAACAAAAATGTATAATTTATAGTATTACGGTAATAATTTCAGTAGTTTGTTTTATAGCAAATGTTGCAATTTTGGTCCTCAGTCGAACCGAGTCCATTGGACTATTATGTGTGAAAACACCCCTAGGCTCGTTTTCCAGGGTGTGCATGCATATATTTGAGCCTGTATGTATAGTTTTGACCCTATAAACCTGAAACTGAAGTGGATTTTGGTCTTGTGTGTCTGCAGGAGTTGAAGAATCTTCTTCTTGAGGCCCAGAAAGGTCCGGAGAGTCTGCAGGCGGCGCTGAAAGTCCAGGCTGGGAACCACCAAACCCAGCAGGACCAACTAGGCGAACTCATCGACAGCCTGCGGGTCACTCTGGCTGACGCCTTCAACAGCGCCCCCCAGGGGAAAGGAGGACCCACCACAGCCTCGCCTGCCGTTTCTCTTTCTGCCTCTAAAGACCTTCAGGTCCAGAACCAGAAGACAGAATCTCTGCTGGCGTCGCTGGCGGCCCAATTGGGTCGGCTTCAGCTGGGCGTCAGTAAGGTGGACGGCGAACTGCTGGCGGTGCGGAAGCTTCTAGAGACCGAACCGCAGACCCAAACCCGAGCCGCTGGCCCTCAGGGAGCAGAGAGACGGGAGGCGGTGGCGAGACGCCTGGAGGACACCAGGAGGACGCTGGGGGACGGAATCAGGATGAACATGGTTTACAACGCCGTGTTCAGCTACACCGCCGCCGCCGTTACCATCACTGCTGTGTACCTGCTGCTCCGGGGAACTGGTTGAACTGGACCTGGACTGGTTTATGACGAGTCACAATAATATCAGTTAATTATGAGCTTCCTGTTGAAGCAGATGGCTGCATCTGAAACTTCATGGTAACTGGAGCACCAAGACTTGCAGCTATTTATCATGTCCAATCACTGATTACAATATTAAACCATCAAATCTTCCATCAGATCATAAAGGAAAATCTTCATATTTCCAGGGAAATATCTAATCTGTCATTTATTACCCCTTGTTTTGCTTTTTTTAACTCAATGATGTAACCATTCTGATCCAGAGCAAGTTGCAGGCTGCCACTAGGGGGCAGGCTTCCGTCTCAATCAGCTACTGCTTCTTATGTAGTGATTGATCATCCTCTCTCCAAATGCAGTTAAATTAATAAGTTTGACCTTTAACCTGCCGAATGTTTCTGACTTCAAACTAATTTATTTGGTTTGGATGAAACAATCTAACCCAAACCCGAACCCCTAACCATTCCAGCTGACTTGAGGAACATTTTTGAATGAACAAATCATTGATTTTAGGATTTTTCTAAAGAATAACTGCACGACTGACTGGTATATTCCCAGTTAATCCAATAATTTCACATCAGCTCCAGGGGACCAGGGCAGCAGAAACAGCTTCTCTGGAGATGAATGACGTTGAAAATCTCTCACAGGGCCCTTTAATTCAGATAAATGTATGAAAAACATTTTTGGCTCTGTAGATTTTCTGTTTGCTGCAGCAGAACCTCTCAGATCCTGGAGTACTTGAACATGTGAGAAGTTTCTGACATCATGCACTGGTATATTAAAAGGTTGAATGGAAATAACTCACCTCATGGCTTTTGTTTCTCTTCTTCAGAACATGCCTGTTCAGTTCCAGGTGTGACCAGGAGGGGGCAGCAGAGGAAAAAACGCCCGTTATTTTATTCGTTCCTGTTTTGACTTCCCAGTCTGAAAATTCAACTGGAACGGATTTGTTACTGGGAAAGTGGGAGCCACTCCGACTGTATCCAGTTCTGACTTATTTTAAGGTCAACTTCACATTTCAATCAAACCGCTCTGGTAGTGGAAACATTTATTGAACATACTTGTAAGACTGCATCTAAAACTGATGGTACATGAAGGACTTGCAACTCCGTAAATACACAAATTAAAAACTCTTTGCTTGTGGGAACTGTGTACATAAATGTAAATGTACAATTTCTTTATTTTAAACATCTATTTATGAATTACATTTATGTATGCAGTGGTGCAGTTGGTAGAACTGTTGCCTTATAGCAAAAAGGTCCTGGGTTTGATTCCCGGCCCGGAATTTGCATGTTCTCCTTTTGCATGTGTAGGTTCTCTCTGGGTACTCCAGCTTCCTCTCACAATTAGAAAGGTTAATTGGGCTGTCTAAATTCTCCTTAGGTGTGTGTGTGTGTGTGTGTGTGTGTGTGTGTGTGTGTGTGTGTGTGTGTGTGTGTGTGTGTGTGTGTGTGTGTGTGTTGCCCTGCGACAGACTGCCGACCTGTCCAGGGTGTACCCGCCTCTCACCTTAAAGCCCTGGAGAGGCACCAAGCCCCTCAATGGCCCCCACTTGGAACGCCACTGATCAGGATGAACAATGAATACAAATGCACGCCACACTTCTAAGATCTTTATTGAATCAGTATTCACTGTATTTTGTTCGTCTATTAAATAAGATCAAATAAAAATGAAGTAAATGACAAATAATGAAATCAAAATTAAAACAGATGCACCAGAACTCTCTTGTTGACCGGTTCTGATCGCCTTCAGCCCGGGCTGCCCCTCTGCCGGCCCAGCAGGTCGTATTCACGGTACAGGATGAAGTCCTTCAGCCGCTTCGGCAGCGGCACAAAACTCATGAAGACGGGCGACCGGAGCCGGAGGCGGCCGAGACAACGACGGATCCGCAGGCGGCAGAGATGCTGCAGGCAGCGGGGGTTTTCTGGAGAGGTGACCGGGAAGAGAAACGGTGACCTTCATCTCCTCCTGTCCGAGCTAAAGGTCAGGTTTCTGGTCAGGTTTCCGGTTTCTGGTCAGGTTTCAGGTTTCCGGTCAGGTTTCCATTACCTTGCAGTCCGCAGATCTCGGCCCACTGGGTCTGCTCCATCAGAACCGCCTTCAATTTGGAGCACAGCGTCACGTGATCCACGTAGTCCAGCAGCACTCGAACCACGTGACCCGACAGGTCTTTCAGCCAATAGACGGTGATGACCTCACAGAACTGCGCTGGCAGAGAACGTGACGTGGTATGGCAAACCGATTTAACATAAAATCCCATCGTCGAACTATCTGCTATCCATACGTATTAAAATAGTTTTGTTACCAAAGTGTCTTTGATCACAGAGCAGGTCCATCCCTCGTAGTCCTCAGGAACATGGGAGCTGTTGCCATAGGGACAGTCAAAGCAGCGCTCCACGTCGTAACCATAGTTACACAGCATCCTCAGGATGACCTGATGCAAACATTTCATTCATTATGTAGATTATGGTCATTAAAACTTCATGCAAACGTTTTACCTCGTCTTTGAGCGCGTACTGCAGCGCCGAGGGGAAATGCGTCGTGTTTATTTTGGAGTAGTAGTTGACGTTGGCGCCGTAACGCAGCAGCAAGTTGATCAGATCGTAGTTGCCCAGACGCAGTGCAACCTTTTATTTAACAACAGACAGGAATTCAGGTTTCACATAATCAACAGACGTAGCTTCTGTCCTGAAGTATGAAGTGAGACTCAGAGGAAAACAAGAAGATTAAACAGGAAATCTGCTTTACAAATCAAAATTAAATCATTTATGTAGCTCTTTCTTCAATACTTCCACATGATGCCATCTATTTTATCAAGAGCATCAATTCCTGTCCCGCAGGAAAACAAACCCACAGCATCATGCCGCCACCTCCAGACTCCACAGTTCTGATGGCCGTTTTTCCTCCAAATGTAACGATGCTGATTCTGGTCAAACTTCCTCGTTAGTCTCGTCTAACCACATCTATGACTCCACAAATGAAGATCTTTGTCTCTGTGTGCATCTGCAAACTGTAATCTGGCTTTTTAACTTCCCTGTTATTAAATGGCTTTCAGCCCTTTTTAAATTATTATCATCATTATTATCTTCTGATTTCCAGTGTATGTTTATTGATGTTCCTCTGGCATTTTTAATCCCTTGATTCTTCGCCTGGACAGGTTTTACCTGCAGACATTTGACCGGGTCTTGGTTGGGCATGGCTCCGGCCTCCAGCAGCAGCTTCACAGACGCCATGTCGTTATTGGAAACAGCAAAGAAGAGAGCCGACTTCCTCTCGTCGTCATAGCTCCGGCGGATCCAGGGGTGGAGCATGAAGTTGGGGTCGTAACCTGCATCCAGCAAGGCCTGATGGGAAAACATGACAGTTCACCAGATTTGCTGATGAAGCTGAGGTATCGGTTACGTACAAATTAATATTTTGATTCAATTTTTGTTGTTGCCTTATTAAAAGAAAAACAGACTGTTTTTTTCAGTGGTTTTCTATTTTGCTGGTTGAATTTCATAATGTGTGATGAAGGGCCGGAAAAAAAACATTTCAAGGGCCACAAATGGCCCCCGGACCACACTTTGGACACCCCCTGCCTTAGACCCAAGTTTTATCAGAGCAGGACTGTTGATTCATTGCAGAGATATTTCCAAACTGAAATCAAACACGTCTGTTTATGAGACACACACACACACACACACACACACACACACACACACACACACACACACACCTGGATGCAGTGTGTGTGTGCCTCTGCAGCCGCTGAATGAAGAGGGCTGATCCCGCTGTCGTTCACATCTCCCATGTTGGTGACGGGCAGCAGCAACTTCAGTGACCTCAAACACACACACACACACACACACACACACACACACACACACACACACACACACACACACACACACACACACACACACAAGGTTATGTGTTACTGATTTTACTTGATTTTATAGCACAATCAAATTATAGCACAACTTGATTTATTATGTCATACATGAACTGGATCTGGATTATAGTGGAACTAAACAGTGATGGTGGGAGTAAATCCTTATTAAATAAAAAAATACATAAATAAAGCATTTGAGAAGAAAGAATTACAAAAAAGGACTCAAAATGGAGAATTGTGTCAATTTTAGAGGGATAATTGTAAAAAAAAAAAAAAATTAGATAGAGACACTTTCTGATGATATCGTCTTTTCTTAGAAATGTTCCTGCTTTAAACAGACTAAAACTGGTCAGGTGAGGTAAAGTGCTCACTGCAGGTGTCCTCTGTGTGAGGCCCGGTGGATCGGCAGATGTCCGGTGTGATTGGACACGTTGGCGTCGGCTCCGTGATCCAGCAGCAGACGGACGACGGCGGCGTTCCCTGAAGCAGACGCTTCGTATAATACGGACGCCTCATCGTGCGCCTGAGAGAAAATGTCTGCTCCTGCAGGACAAGCAGCATTTTATAATATGACTATAAAGAAATTGAAAAATGGAAAAGAATCAGGAAGAACAGAAACATAGAAAAACCTCAAAACAACACAATAACACAGAATATAAATATTTAAACTGAAGTTATTGAAACTCCTGTCTTAATCATTTAGCTCCCGCTAAAGAGCGCTGCAGCTAGAAGTAATGCTTATGATTCAGAGTTAGCCAGGGAGGGCAGAGCACCGGAAACATTTACTAAATAAGAGAGAATAAGCATTTGGTAAAAAGTCAACTCAAGTACTGATCATTTAATTACATCATCAGATGGACTGAAATGTAATGTTAAGTGGAAATTTTCATATTTGGAGAATGAAAATGACAATAACTCAAATAAGTAACAAAAATTAATAACATCAAGGAGAATAAAATGTTTCCAAATCAGTTTCTTTCAATGAGAAACTTAAGAAACTTCAGAGAAACAGCAGGCGTGTCTCTGTGTCTGGTGGATATTTGGCTGAAACAAGTTGGTTTTTCATTCAGTGGGTAGAAAATCCAGAAAATTTTACTGAAGTAAGAGAAGAGATACTTTCTAATAAATTTACTCAAATAGAAGTAAAAAGCAGAAAAAAATTTCCTAAAAGTTTATTTTCAAAAAAAGTTACTCAAGTAAATGTAACTACCCAACTCTAGGGTTAACGCAGCGACATTTTAATTAGCAGTGCTGTCGTTATGAAAAAGACAAAGTTTATTTGATAGTTTTCTGAAGTGACCCGATCTGGCTGGACCTTCTGCCTGACCTTTCCTCAGCAGGAGCTCCACCACCCCCAGGTGTCCTCCCTGCGCAGCCAGCGCCAGCGGCGTGAAGCCGTAGTTGCTGCGCGGGTCCGGCCGCGCCCCGGCCTCCAGCAGCAGCTTTACCAGCTCCACGCTGCCCGCCCGCGACGCCTCGTGCAGCGGGCGGCGGCCGTGGCAGCCCGCCTGGTTCACACTGGAGCCATGGAGGAGCAGCAGCTTCACCAAGTCGGTTCGGTCCGAACGGATGGCTGGACACAAACAGAGAAAACTGGAGTTGGACCGATCCAGAGCCAGCGCACAGCTTCAGCTGGAAACCAGCGATCAGGCCTGAACTCTGACCTGAACATTCAGAGCCACATAAAGGCAGTTACAAAGTCGGTCTTCTATCACCTGAAGAACGTCTCCAGGATCAGAGGAATAATGTTTATTAGAGAAACTCATCCATGTGCTTATCTTTAGTCACATTGATCACTGCAACAGTGTCTTCACAAAAACATCTCTCTTATCTGATGTATAAATAATCTTCCAGGGAACTAGCATTGTTTCATCAATATTAAGTAGTTATTAAGAGGTCTGCATCATGAAAAATATGACATATTGTCTGAGACTACAGCAAACACAAAGTATCAGTGGACAAAATGGATATTATGCAAAACAAAAGACAGAGAAAAAACTGGGCAAACTGGACGGGACAAGGTGAGAAAAAGCTCCCCAGTAAAAGTTTTATATTATATAATGTTGATGTCAATTGTTCATGTATGTTTTATTTGTAAACAAATGCAAAAAATGGTAATAAACAGTTAAATGATAAATATTAAGTAATTATTGACTGAAAACAAAAAGATAGTGTAAGTTCATTGCATCTTAATTTAACTGTAATAAGACATTTGCACTGCAAACTAGACCTAAAATACTTGGTAGAATTTTGTGTTTATTACACAAAGTGTAATAAACTTTGTGTTTGCCTTTTTAAACTTCTGTAGTTCTTATACTGAAAAAACTGGTAAATATGAAAGTTTCCTGCTTATTGGTGTAAAACCTCACAGCTGTGCGTGACTCAACGTATCTGTGTCTGACATAAAGGTTTGTGATGCTACATGTGGATCACAGCAGCAAACAGTCTGGCCCACCTACAAACAGCGGGGCATCCTTGTCCTGGTCCTGGCAGTCCGGCTGAGCGCCGCGCTCCAGGAGGAACGAGGCGTTTTCCACCAGACCGCCTTCCACCGCCAGGAAGAGGGGCGTCTGGCCCCGAAGAGTCCGGCCCTCCAGAGAGTCCGGACCAGAAGCTGCAGGACATTTGAACCGTTTGAAAACCCGGTATCTCGACTCTACTTCCTCAACACCAGATATAATTCAAGAGTTAAAGACATTTGCACTGGAAACGAGGCGAAAAATACCTGGTAGGATTTTGTGTTTTCACAGTGCACAAACGAAAATCTTCACTGCACAAACATCTGACACTTATTTTATGTGAATTGGGTAATTTGGTGGGGCTGGTTGACCTTTGATCTTTAAACTTTCGTTAATATTCTCAAAGCAAAAGCAGCACAAACAAAATTGCAGCTGAGTTAATTAGCACCAATTTTGTCTGATTTAAAGATGATTTATTTGACCTTTAGTGACCTCTGGAAACATTTATTTGTTTGTTTAAAATGGCAGCAGCACAAACGAAAACATTTTCTGCAGTTCAGTTAGATGAGGTGGAGCGTAACCTCATCTGACCTCTGTATGTGACCTCCAGGACGGCCTGGTTGCTCTGAGCTGCCGCCTCATGGAGAGGCGTCCAACCTCGGCTGTCGCTCCGCAGAAACTCGTCTTTAAGCCGGACGGAAAAATCCTTCAGCTGCTTCTCGTTTCCTGGAGCGACAGAATCATCCAGGACTTTACTCTGAACCGACACCGGGATAAATCCGTATGATTCTCATCCCAAATGAGACGCTAAACCGCGCCTCTTCAGCTGCCTGAGATGGTTTTCTGACTATTCATTGTGTTTGTTTACATGACCACATCACAGTTATTATTTTAGTATAAATCAGAGATGTTTCGATGTTGTTTACCTTGTTTTATAGCAGAGAAGATCTTGGAGATGTTGGAAGATTCTGAATCGGCACTAAAATAAAACAAGAAAACTCAGATATCACTCAGATAAAAAGTCTTTAGCTTTTTATTTTCACTTACTTAATTAAACAGTGGCCCTTAAAGCTATTGTATGCAACTTTTATTAAAAAAAATGTTTTGCTTAGATATTTGTTGAAACTCACTATGTTGTGAAAAATTTAACTTCTCCAGGCACTAAATAAAAACAACTAATCAGAGCCAGGAGGCGGGTCTAACTTTATGGCCCCAATTTAGCTCCATACTTCTACCTCTGATTGGCTGCTTTTGGTCGGGAGCTTTGCATTTCTTCAGAAAGCAGGAGCAGCTCAGGTTGGAGGACAGTTTTAACAAATATGTAATCATTTTTAATGAAAGTTAAATTCTGCAGCTTTAAAGTTGAAAATGATGTCAGTTTCCATTAAACTTTTCTGCTTGTTTTAGTTTCTGCATCGTTTCCTCGCTTTGTAAAATTTGAGGTTTGTTCTTCATAAGAGGCTCAGTGATGGAGCCTCTCACTCCGTCACTGACCTCTAACCTCTGAACTGACCTCGGCTTGTTTCCCGCTGACGACTCTCTGTGGGCGTCCCTCTGCTTGCTGCTCTCCAGCAGACTCTGCTCAATCATGTACTGAATCGCTGCATCTTCATCATCCTCTTCCTCCAACGTATATACACTGGGATTCATTGCATCCAAAGGAAAACAAACCTTTTTGTCTTTGGGTTAAAGAGAAAAGAACATCAGATGTGTTATTTCTGCATTTTATTCATCTGCTTTGTAAAGTTAAAGTGTGTAAGTTTAGTGTTGGATCTCCTCTGGGACAGAAATGATCCATCTTTAAATACAGGAAAAAGCTTCAAAATGAAGTTAATTTCTGTCATAATCCTGCATCTTTGCTCTTTTACCTTGTTTTGTTCAGCCGAATTGCTGCATCAGATTTAAAGCTGTTGAAGGTTTGAGAAAGAAGCAGGCGAATGAAACCAGAGCTTTAAACCAACATGGCTTCCTGCAGCGACAGACTCCCAGGTTTTCCAGTACAACACGTTAAAGAAAACAAAACATTCATGGATTCACCCAGCAGCGTTAAAGAGACCAGACTGAACTGTTTCTGTGGCTGCAGCTCTGGCAGCGTTAAGGAGATATGACACCTGTTACTAAATTTACTCTCACCAGAAACATTTCTGACCCAAACACATGACTAACACAGCATGGTGGTTGCACCTCTCTGCACTTTTTACATTATGTTCAACGAAAGATCAAACTGGATCACATTATTGTAAATTATGTGTGATTTTCAGCATGTTGAAAGCTTTTAATAGTGAAATCCAACCAAAACTTGCATCATTTATCCAACTGAACTGGCATCAATTCAGAACCCATTAGCTTTTTACCATAAAACAAAAAAGCTAAAGATCCAACATTTAAATAAAACTAAGTCATTTTACTTTAAAAAAAAAAAAAAAAAAAAAAGGTTTGTAAAGTTTATTATTGTGAAACCAAGTGGGTTTTGTTTTGCATGCATTTAAAATCCCTCTATAGTTAAACTTTTGGTAGCAGCAAGAATCAGATTTGGGTTGTTAATTCTTGAATGTCATCCAGTAAAATGGTTGAATTTAATGTTAAAGTAATTGTGATGTCCCCAACATTTTCTAACATTTTATCTGGTTTTAAAAGCTTTGTAAAGGGAATAAAACACTTCCTCTTACAAAAGATTCCCCTGCATCAACTCCCATTATTTATACAAATAGGTTAATATTAAAGATTTGCAGTAACACTAAATGTTTTGATTGCAAACAGAAAACTGTCCTCCCAATGGACAGTGTGCAACAGAAGCTGACATTTTTTAAATCAACATGCTTTGCCAGTAAAACAAACAAAACAATCACATTTGAAGAGCACAGCAAATGTTTTACTTATAAAATGTGTCAAAAATAATGTTTTATTGTGATGATTGTAGCCAGAAAAAACAAGACCAAAACAAGGAAACTGTAATTGAAAAGATGTTTATTTCAGTTTCTGTCTCCACCGTTTATGACCTGGGTCTCTCCTTCTTGCCTTTGTAAAGCGCCAGCAGAGACACGTTGGCCACTTTGACGACCTTGAAACGAACTCCAGGGATGTCTCCCACGGCATGACCCTTACGACCGAAACCGGCCACCAGAACCTCGTCGTTCTCCTGCAGAACCAGAACCACAGGGAGGAAGTTAGAGACGGCAGAACTCAACAACAAACAAACATATTAAAAATAAATCCACACATTTAAAGCTTCCACTTAGGAATGGAAAGTGAAAACCTGAACATTTTGTCTCACTGCACACATTGAAGCCGTTTACCTCGATGAAGTTGAGACAACCGTCATTGGGGACGAAGGCTGTGATCTTCTTGCCGTTCTTGATGAGCTGGACTCTCACACACTTCCTGATGGCAGAGTTGGGCTGCTTGGCCTCGACACCGCTGCACAAAAACACAAAACTCTCATCAGCTGAAAAAACAAATGAATCAGAGGATGAGCAGTGACCGTCTCTATTTTTAATTATTCATAAGGCAAAAGGACGTTCCAAAATTAAGTTTTCCATAGAGCTTTTATTATACGAAGCATCAGGTACAGAGTTGAATTTCCTTTGTGACAGCAACATTTACCTCCTGGAGAATGAAACAAGCCTCCTCTACCAGCCTAAGAGTGTCTGTCAGTTGTTAATCTCGTCTGGCTGTACTCACACTTTCTCCAGGACGATGCCCTTGGCGTGAGAGGCTCCTCCGAAGGGGTTGGCCTTCAGGGCCGTCCCCAGGTGAGCCTTCTTGTACTGTTTGTCATGCCATTTCTGCTCACGCCGGTGATTGCGGAGCTTCCTGGCGGTACGCAGACCACGACACTTTCCTAAAGAGAAAGATACATTGTATTACTTTGCTTTCACCTCTGGCATCCGTTCTGTCATTATCCGACCCACTCAAAACCATCAACATCATGCATCCATCTTTTATTGCCCATCAGCACTACTCTAAACCTTTAGGATGACTAATTTACTTGTGCATTAGAAACAAACCAAGTTGTTGTTTTTAAATACCAATAATGCCAAAATTGGCACAAAAAAAGCACATTTAATAAGTAATACATGCTTTCCTAGTCCAAGGCTTTATTACAAAATAAACTTAAGAAGCCAGAATACAAATTTATATTTTTAGCACCACAAATTTCTAAGTTGTTCAAAAACTGTCAATGTTTGTGATTTTGGGTCAAGTTTTAATGCAAACAGATATTAACGTAATTCATTATGCCAATCTGTATTTTTGACACAAACATGGGGGATTAAATGTTGGGCTGCAATATCTGCTGCTTTGGACAGAAACATCTCAAAGTTTGTCTTACTAATTTAGTTCAGGTCACTAGAGTCCGAGATCAGAAGACGAGTCATTACGAGTCAAACCAAAAACATGTTTACGGCTACATGAATTTCAGAAAATAGCTTCAACAAGTTAAAAACTACACGGATTATTCAACACTGAAAACTGTTTTTACCGGAATCTCCAAAATATTAACTTTCCATAAACGATCCATTTAAAAACTTTTGATTCATCTGGTTAGTCTAATTTCACTTTGTTAGTAATATTAACGTTAAAATTAATCAGCATTAAGATCAAACTGCCGACCAGCTACTAGCAGCGGAGCTACATTATGGCCGCTCCACGTTGCGGACAGACGCCGCCGCATAAACCTCTTTTTTCTCATTCACTTCAGCATTTTACTGAATTAAATGCATAAGAAACACAGCAGAAGACGCTCGCGTACAACGTCGATATGAAAAATTGGTACAACCGAGACACAAACTGAGTGTTTTTTATAAAAACTGAGCCTTACCCATGATTGCAGAAGCGAGTCAGGGATTGGAAAGGAAGAACCCAGCATGCACCGCGGCAATGTGTAGTCCGAGGACCCCATCTGCATGTGACTATAGAGTGCCTGAGTAAAACTAAGTAGTTTAATACATTTCAAAATAATCTTTTATTTACCCCCTAAAGGTTGTAATATGTTGTATTTGTGCAATTTTTCTTTAAAGCTCTTGTTGAGATAAATAAGTATAGTTCATAAGACAGAGGAAATTTATTTTAAAAAGATGTAGTTGTCGTAGTAAGCCTAGAATGTCATTACATAGAAGGGACCTAAAAATCTAAAATTATTTATTAAACTAATTAATGCAATTTTTGAATTATTAGCAACCAATTTTTTGTATTTGTCCAGTAGTGGGCGTTATGTGTTTGGCAGGCATAATGAAGGATCAGCGCATTTAATCAATCGTAACTCGCTAAATACTAAATAAACCTTCACGCTTTTTAAATTATTATTATTGGAAACTTTATTCAAACAGCTGTCATGGTTACTTTACAAGGAAATGTCTTTTTAAAGTATTTTTGAATTGGACTAGTACATGTCAGCATACATAAATATTTCTAACAAGATAGAAAAGGAATAGAATATGAATATTCATAGCCATAGAATATAATGGGAATATTGTATTCTATTCTATTCTATTCTATTTATAGAATAGAAAAGAATATATAAAGAATATATTCTTTAGAATTAAAGAATATATTCTTTAGAATATAATTCTAAAGAATAGGAATATTATTATTCTATTGTTTAAATAGGAATTTTATAGAAATGATATATGATATTGATGTATGATGGGCACATTACACACCCACAAACATACATACATACACACACAAACACACACACACCACACACACACACACACACACACACCACACACACACACACACACACATGCATGCACGCACACATATATGTGTGTGTATATATATATATATATATATATATTATATATATATATATATATATATATATATATATATATATATATATAATATATATAGTTCCTGGGCTCTGTTGTAGCCATTGATCCATATATATATCCTGCGCATTATGCGCAGGACCCTCAAGCTCCCAGGCCTCTGGTAGAGGACCCGAGCTCAGAGGATAAGAACCACCCGCGGTGGGTGAGAAGGGATTTTTATTTTTTTTTATGGATTTCTTTACACTAGGTCAGTATATGGATTTATATACACTAGGTCAATTGGACATGTTTCCATTTTCAAAGTCAAATACAATTCAAACATACTTCATGCAGATTAATATTTGGGGGAAACCGGAGCAGCCGGAGGAACCTTTTGTGTGGCAACAAGGCCTAACATGCCTTCCCCCTCTCTCACAAACAACTTTCTTGTCTCAAATAAAGGCAAAAAACCCCAACAACCCAAATAAACATAAAAACCCTCCCCATTGCTTTGAAAATATATCTAATCAAACAGAACGTCTTCAGTGGACGGTTCCTGATAGTTGGGAGCACAGCTTCCTCTGGAGTCTTTCTCTGGATTGTCTCCACTTTACTGATGGACACTGGAACATGTTCAGCTGAGCCTGAATCTAAGATGAATGTAACCTCAGAGACAGAGTCTGATTCAGGCTCAGAATAAGTCTCAGGGATTTCTGAGGGCACTGGAACATGTTCTCCTAAATCAGGCTCAGCAGGAGTCATCATCTCCTCTGGAGATTTTAAACCAGAACCTGACAATTCTTCAAATGCTGCATAATCTCTGCAGGGTTCCTCAACCGCTGATGCATCAGGCGTTCCAGTTGCTTCCAAGGTGGCGTCTTCTTGGCAGACTGGACTCTCCACAACCTGGATGTAGTTCTCACATGTTGTCTCTGTGTGTTTACATGGTATGCACATGGCTTTCGCCAGGCCTCTGAAAAAACGCACACACAACGATGACTTCTTCTTTGGCGTGACCTTAAATAAACATTTGCCAGTGAATTTGGTGAAAAACCTCTTGAGCTTCCCTTTAAGACCTTTGACCTTAGATTTTGGCTGAACTGGGCAGACGACAGGTACTTCGTTGGATTGCTCTCTGGAGCCCCACAACTTAACCAGATCCCTTATCATTAAGGTTGTTTCGGGAGCCACATTTTCGATGACTTGCTTGACTGCAGAGTCATCAGAGTCTAAATTGGGAAGGACTCTGTCCATCACATGTTTGGTGAGTAGCTTATTCACATTCTCGGTGTGCTCGGTCCGGTAATCTCCTTCGATACCGA